CTAAGACTGCACTATTTACCTTCCATCACTTTGGCCAATAAGAGTACACAATTAAAAAGTCGATTCATACATTTTTGAGAATTTGAACGCGTTAATCCTCAAATTTTAAGCTCTTACTCTTCCCTTCTTGTTAGTTTACAAATTAAATTAAATAAAAGCTCAACACTTGATCGATTCGATATAAATTAGGTTTTTCAGCGATTCGCATTCAACTTTTGAGAATGAAGGGTTCGGTTAATATTACAAGAATGCCTTGCTAGCACCGCATGAATTTAAGGGATCAAAAATGAAATTTTTTTTAGTACATATCATGAATTTCTACTGACAGTAATACATGAAGGTTTAAATGCACTTTTGGGTACTGACAGGGTAGTGATTTTTGTTTGCAAGGAGCCCATCCTAAGATATCTTCTTTCTTTGAAATAAAGGTAACAATTTTGAAAACAATTCTAATCCTAAATGACTGGTTAACACAAGTGAAAGAAGATTAAATAGTGAAGGACTTCATCTTAAATATTTCTTTAGGGCGTGAAAAGGGTTCCCAATAATGGGATTAAAACAATTTTTCTATAATAGTATAATATTCCCATGCCCGTTCCTGTTTCTGTTAGGGACTCGTCTGTAAACCGCACGAGCCCCTCAGGTTTGAGGAATCTGAGCCCAGCCACTGCTCCTTGTCCGGGAGAATGACTTTAAATATATCTCTTTGGTCTTAGTAAGACAGCACTTCTTGCGAGGAGGGGTTAGGAGGATCTGAGGGTTTCCTCCCAGATCCGTCCGTGCCCAAGTCTGCCTCCTAGGTAGAAACAACTTTGATCTTTTTGTGTACACTCCTCTGAATTCATTTGAATTAACGTGAATTAACTAGAATTAACGTGAATTAATTTGAATTAGTGTGAATTAATTAGAATTAACGGGAAATAATTGGAATTAACGGGATATCATTTGAATTAACGGGATATTTTTATTGCCTTTTATTTTATTGCCTTTATTTTATAGTGGGCGGACTGTTAGCAATTTGCTATTCTTCCCACTCAACCCACTATACAATCACAAACCGCCATGCCTTACCTGGGATTCGAACCCAGGCCCCTTGTAGTCAAAGTTAGAGCTTCTTACGTAAGCTCATCTGAGCTACGCAGGTCGGCATATAATTTGAATTAATGTGAATTAATTTGAATTGACGTGAATTAACTAGAATTAACGTGAATTAGTTTGAATTAGTGTGAATTAATTAGAATTAACGGGAAATAATTGGAATTAACGGGATATCATTTGAATTAACGGTATATAATTTGGATTCACGTGAATTAATTTGAATTAATGTGAAATAATTCACGTGAATTAATTTGAATTAGGTAATGTGAAATAATTCGAATTCACGTGAATGAATCCGGAAATCCCAGACATGCGCACAGGGTATCATTTGATTCGTCACGTCGAGTGCTATCGAATGACATCGGTTCCACTCGTCTAGGAGAGCCCGGATGCTTTTTAATGACCCGTACTCTCATCAAGACTATCGAATAGCATCGATACCGCACGTCTAGGAAACCTCGGAAGTCCTAGACATGCGTACGAGTTTAGCCTAGGTTAGCTCACCCTGAAGAAATGCGTAACGGCTGTTACCGGGTTGGAAGAAGAGTTTTAGTGGGTAAGGTGGTTAAATAAATCTACCTACACCTGATCAACACAGCCAAAAGGAATTTTGAACTTGGTTTTGACACTATTAGAACCCTTTCGACCTTTTTTGGCATGATTACGCCCACAGGAATTGACGGATTGACTAGAAATTTGGCAGGTATCATTATCACAACCGTAGTTCCCGGCCATTACATTTTCGCTACAGCCTTACGCCCTCCCAAAGGGGAGGGGGGTATCGATTTTATCTCGCGTACACTGAGATACATTATTCGTCACTTGAAACTTAACTATTTTCTAGATGCAACTCAATTTGCTTCCTCCTCGGAAATTGTATGGATTAGTTTGAATTAGTTTGCATTAACGTGAATTAATCTGAATTTGACACCAAAAATGATACTTGATTTCCCCTAGCCGGCCGCGATCATTTCACTCCTCCCAATCGTTTAGCCGTGTAGAAGCTTTCCAAGCCCGTGCTTCCACAACCAACTGTAAAGGCTGTACTCCCAGAAGTGCCTCCATGACCAAAGTTGGCGTCGTTTTCGTGGCTCCAGTGACTCCCAAATGGGCGAGTCTCTCAACCTTTCGAACTTGTTGTTAAACGCACCCCCGATATCTAAGAACGCTCCCAGGGCTACCCCCCCCCCTGATAGACATTCCCCTCCCCTCCACCTTGCACACAAGCGTGTGAAGAGTCGTCTCCGTGGATATGCCAGCCCTATGAGCATCTTGGAATGAGTGTAATGGTCTTCTCCGCCATTTTTTAGAGGAAATGACGATACGAACCTGATATCCTGAAAACCTCCTTACTTCAAGGTTTCCACCAAGGTTTGCAGCTGTCCTCATTTGATGCTGGTATGGCCTCGTCTACTAATGCGGCAGCCGCTTCCACCTGCCCTGCTTTCCGACAGAGCAAAGGTGGCCCATTCAACCGCTCTGACTTTTTCAGCACGTGGTAGTCCCAGTCAGTGGATCGCGGATTCCGAAACCTATAGGACCCGCAGTGGGATGCCGGGTTAAGTTGGGGAAGAATGCCCCAGCGACCGCTTCACCGACACCAAATGCAAGGAAGACCGTACCAAGCTCCTCTCTGAGGACGAACATCCTCCATAGGCTCGTCCTGAAACCAGGACTTTGCCTCTGGAGGCGCTTCAAGATGGTGGTTGTGTCATCCAGGAGCCCGTATAAGACGGCTATCACCTTGGTTAACCTAGAGACGTGCCTCTGCACTTTCCCAGGGTCTAATGAGAAGGACGGTCCTCTCCAACCTGTGGAAGGTCTTCGCATTCGGTCACAATGGCACCGAGTGAAGGATTAATTGAGTATATCCAAGCAACTCGTTTGGAGATCAAGCATTAGTGTCAAAACTGGCAAATGTCACTACAATCATGTCAGTTACATGCTTATATTATTCTACCTCTTATTATACATAAAATTATTAGAAACCAAGATTGTAATTAAAGTAAGTCGCTCCATTTCAACTCATATCCATTTCAAATTTCAATTACTGCAGGATTCTGGTTTGGCAACAATATCCAGAGGCGACATGGCGATGATCCTTTGTAAGTTTTTAGTTTATTCCTAGTCTCCTGTAGTAACATTTCAGACGTAACCGTTGAAAATTTGTGCGAAAGCAACTACCACATCTACGCCAAGATGGTAAAATGCTGCGAGGTGTTTGCACCGAACGATATGGACTGCCGCACGATGCAACTGATCGGAGGGGATATGGGCTGGTTAGCACCGCACTCCGCGAAGAACATCTCGCTAATTTCTCCAACACTGGTAAACGTGAAGGAAAACCTCTTCTCTATTAATAAATGTTTCAGTACTTGCACAACAGATTTGGACACTGCCTTGTTTCAATAACCTATAACTCCAGTGAGACCAGCGTTAACATACAGTTCAACACGCTGATTACGCAATTTACCGCAGAACTGCTAGGTGAACAGATTTTTGAGGCGAAAATTAATATCAGCTTAAATTTTAGATTACTGCGGAGATAAAAATACGACCCAATGCGACACTGTGGATCTGGACCCACTAAGCGAGTGCGAACCGGTGAATTGTCAGATGAAGTATTTGGGCGCGCGTAATTACTTCAATTGCAAATGGAGACGTTGCCAAAAGGTTCCGCTATGTGTAGCAGATCCCGACAAGTCACTACCTGACGTGGTAAGCATCAACGTGTTCCTCTCACAAAATGGACGGCCTTCTTTTTAAGTCCTATGTACCGCTCAATAACCAGTGCCGAGACTTAGAGGATATAAACTTAAAAGACTTACAAGAGTTGCAACAGGACCTTTGGAGAGGTGAAGTCGGGCCAAGGGTATCGGTAACGCGACCACAGCCGAACATTCGCTGCAACCATGGAAAGATGAACGAAGATAGCGGATTTTGCACGTGCGATGATGGATGGACAACTACAGCAGTTGATGGAAATCAATACGAACCGACCTTGGCAATCTATCACATGTGCAACACAGAAATCATTCCCGTAAGGTCAAAAGCTGGCCACTTCTTTTACGTCGTTTTTGTAAGTGAATTCTTGCGCGTCAACAGAAAGCTCTTAGTACTTTGCTTCAGGTGACAGGGGCGTCTATTGCCCTACTTCTTCTACTGACTTCCTTCCTATGCCATCTAAGCTACAGGTACATTTACGACTTGCACTGTGTGTCATCCTTTGACTTGTCAGATGTGAGCAGCTGCTACTGTGGGGCTATACGCCAGTTGACTGTGACCGAACCAATATCAAATCAATCACAATTCTGTAACTGCTGCCGTAATGCCTACGAGTCACTTCCAACACAAACAGTTGGTACCAATTTTGAAGAACAACAACCGCCGATAGTTGCAAGCGAAGATGGTGTTTCGTACCCAACAACATCAATACAGCAGATCTCGGACCACACCTCTGAATATACAACCGAAGAGGAATTATCCGACTTTTGATCTCTTTCTCTATTAAGAATACTCTGTATAAGTTAATCTCTATTCTGTATCTCATACTACTTTATTTAGTATACTTCTCAGGTTGTAAGGAAATCATTTTTAAATTTGGTCTTCTTCGTAGGCTAAAGTAGTGGGTGAATTTCATCCCTTAAATATCGCTTCTTAGTCTGTAGACTATAGACGATTTCCTTAAGCAAAAGTAATGAGGGTAGCCAAGTTAAGTGCAATTTAGGGGAGATTGGACAATGATTATTCACGTAGGGACTAACCAAGAGAAAAATTGCTCTGACGGCGATAGTTATTCATACAGGGTGTCCAACGGCAAACTGAATAGGTTGGTATATGGTTGTAAACTTTTTATCTTCTGATCCAACAACCAGTGACGATACACTGGAAAAGGTTCAAAATGTGATACAACAAAAAAACAGTTTTATTTAACTTAAAAAAAGTATGTTTAGAGATAAACTATTGTAAAGGATGCACTAGCGATAACGTCTGTTTGGATACGCCTCTCTTAATTAAATGCGGAATCGTTTTTGGCACCATTCTGAAATAGAGACATTAAAAAAATGAAATAGGGACATGTTGGTACATACTGAATGCAATCGATAATGGGACAGACAGACAAACACATATTGCAACCGGTGCAATCCTGATTCACGTGGGGTACGTGAGTTTCTGGGTCGAATTCTATAGCTTGGTACCCTGAGTCATTGCAAGCCATGTAGCACTTTCCGCAGTTGATGCACATGTCCTATAAGATAAACGCTGACCAAAGACTTTCTTTGAAATTAATTATGATCTTACATCGTCAATGAGAGCAACAACCTGCATTTGCAAGTCTAACTGTTTGTAAGTGCCAATACGTGGTACTGCGCGTCCCGTTACATCTTTAAGTTTAACCACCTCGCCGTTTTTGACAAGGTTAGCTTCGTGGTCACCATTACTAATCACTTCGCCGTTCTCCTTCGGTGCGGTTCTTAACTCCTTCAGTTTCTCCTCGCGTTCGCGACGATAAGGTCCAAAATGTGGGAGTACCTGAAATGGGGATGAGTATGCGACCAACAACTTTGTTAGGTAAACCTTGTTGTCTTTCCCGTAAATGGTAACCACCGGCTTCCCCAGCTGGTGCTTAGAAGTTGGAGGGCTCTGCCCGTCCCATTTCGGGAATTTGTTCTCTAAGTATAACAACGTTTTTAAACCGGTGCAATAGTCATTAATGAGAGTAAAGTCTTGGTTCTGCACCGCGCTTCCCACTTGAACTGCGAATGCTCCACACTGTATGAATTGCATGGCGGCATCTGCCGAATCTATCCCTCCCATGCCTAAAGCAACTCTAACTTTAATGTTCCAGGAAATTAGTGATTTACCTAGTATTGGAAATCCTGGAAGCGCGCGTGCTATGCTCGATACCGCTTTTAACGCGATGGGTCTTATGGCGTTGCCACTTACACCTCCGTACGTGGTTCTTTTTTCGAATCCGACCGAAGGCCAAGCCGTCGCATCGCCTTTGACACCCATCAATCCAGAGACTGTATTTATGACCGAGGCACCACTAGCGCCACCTAAGTAACTGGTTTTTTAGGAAATTGAATGCTAAAATCTTACCCTCATATGCAGCAGTAGCGAGTTCGGCAATGTCAGTGATATTTGGGGTTAGTTTTACAAATACCGGAATCGACACGGTGTTTGTGACCCACCGTGCAATATCTCTAACTTTGTCAGGATCCTGAAGCACAACAATAGCGATGGGGTTAAGCTAAAATTAGAGACTCACCCTTCCACACGCCAACCCCATTCCGGATTCCCCCATCCCATGTGGACAGGACAAGTTTAATTCCAACGCATCCGCGTTCGCCATCTCGGCCATGAGTGATAATTTCACCCAGTCACTTTCATTGTGAGGACACATCAAGCTGGCAATAACGATCTGAAACTCTCGACTAACTCAACTGGGCCAGTATCCTCTCATTACCTTCGTAGGGAAGTCGCGCTTCAGCTCGGAGATGCTTTTGCACCAGTACATCGCCTCCTTCTCCGAAATTAGCTCAATGTTCAAGAAGGATCCCTGCTGGGGGCCGTAATTAGCGCCGGAAGTAATACCGCGTACGATCCTAGGCGATACGTTCGTCACCAGGTCTTGATCGAGCGAAAACGTTTTGGTTACGGAGAAACCCCAGCCCTGCTCGAATGCGCGACGGATCATGGCGGAACTAGTCGCAGGAGGCGCCGAAGCCAAGCCGAATGGGTTTTCAAACTTGAGCCCCAAGCACTCGACTGAAATGTCCACGTTGTCGATCTCCGTGTAGAACAGTGGAAGTGCCGGTTTTGTGGTTACCGGAAGCCCCTAAAACTTAGGGTTTGGAACGGGACGGACTGAGAGCTTTACGTACCTCTAAGGCGCAATGCATGTACCAAGCGGCGGTTTTGCCATCGTTCACAGATTCGACGGTGGTTTCGGCGACACCGCCCAAATCTCCTCCGCACCAAACTAAAGGGTGCGAGCTTTGCATTGTGGTTAAATCTACAGTGGGGAGGTTGCTTTCGGTCAAGCTCAGCGGGAGTAACGCGTTAATGACTAAAGATAGATGGTGTTAGCGATTAGAAGGGCGAATTTATCATACCCACTCTTCTCGTCGAACAAGCTGGAACCGAAGGCGGATATCACGAAGTTTGCTTTGAGGGTGGTTAACTGTTCGTCGTCCTCAACCCATTTTCCTTCGTCTGTTTGTTCCGTGCGTTTAAATGTGAGCGAGCTTATCCTTCCTCCTTTAACGTTCACCTTGTGCGGTGATAAAAATCCGATCAGCTCACAATTCTCCTCTATAGCCAATGATACCTCCTCGGGAACGGCGCGAATGTTACTAAAGCCCCTTCTGAACACCACGAAGACCTTCTTAGCACCGCAACGCAACGCGGATGTGGCACAATCAAAGGCGGTATCACCAGCACCTAGCACAATTACATTACCATGCAACCGAGGCAACGTGCCCGAGGTCGCCTTGCAAGCGCACATCCCCGGTTTGCTCGCGCGAGCCACGTCCGGTAAAAACGATTTGGAAGTGTAAAATCCCATTTGGGCCGTCAACCCTTCGAATAACCCCATCGGTTTCGACTGCGGTAAGCCGATACCAACGAAAACTGCTTTAGCCCCATCATCTAGGACGCGCTGCACCGTCAAATCATCGGTCGACAGCGACCGCCCCCTCACAATTTTCACCCCCAAATCTTCAACCAATCTAATCTCAAAATTGACAACCGACAACGGAAGCCGATACTGCGGAATTTCGGACGTACTCAAGCCACCCAAGTAGTCTTCCTTCTCGTAAATCGTTATATCATCATACCCAAGCCGGCCCAGGAACGTAGCGCACGACAAGGACGCCGGTCCGGCACCGAACAGCACGATCTTGCTATCCGGATGCTTCGGTCTTGGCGTTTTCGGGTCCCTTATCTGCTTGACCATCATTTTACTGAACATCTGGAAGGGAGTAGCTTGAATGTCGTTGTGCACGTCCCGCGCATACAAACCTCGGTCGCGAATTGCTGAAGACCGCCGATATTTATGGGACCCTCTTCCGTTGCGTACAAATTGCAACCGCCCACGCATAAATCGCTGGTCGGGCAGACCATACCGCAGGTGATTCCCAGGGGGTTGTCGGAAAAGATTGCCTTGGCCGCACCATAGTAATTCTAAAATGGTATTTCGTCATTTACTTTCTCTCCCTCTCTCTTTTGGAAAGATTAAAGTGTAACTAAATACCCAGTCATAGCCCAGATTTTCTTAGCAGTTGAAAGGTGCTCACAAAGAACACTTGCGTCATCCTCCTTTGCATCATCAAAGTCTGGAGAAGGTTCCTCAGGAGGGTTTTGAGGTTTTAAGTTGTCTAAGGCCGAGAATACCAGCTTGTGCATTGACGCGGAACCTCGAATACGCGCAGACAATTTGGGAAGGGTTTGACTTTTTGATCCCGACATACCTTTTCCGGAAGAGAAGTAGTTTCTGGATTAAACGCTTGGGCAATGCCGAGCGTGGGCAGAACAAATCTTGAAAATATGAGTAGAACTGGTTCAAAGCTTTGATTTTAGGTTGGGATGAGAAGTCGCGTTGGGTAAAGGTTTCCAAAAATTTTGTTGACCCATATGCTACACTTTCACCACTTGCAAAAAAAGAAAGGCTTAAAAAATGGGATGTCGCGCCAAGGGATATCACCTTATTTGATATTATCGTATTAGGGATGAAAATGCATATCCTCAGAACAGCATTTTTTGAGTAACCCTTCGTTTTGCTTGCCACGCAACTTCAGATGATGACTAAGAACTTTATCGTGGTAAGTTCCAGAAGTTGCCAGGTGGATGGGTGGGGTGGTCTAGCTGATAAATACTTCAAGGTAGAAAATTTGCGTTTAGAAAAGATCCTGAATTTCACAACATGTCTTAAAATCCACTAAAAAATATTCCACAGAAGTTTGACGAAATGTGTTTATTTAATTATAATCACGTCATATATTCAATTCTGCAATTATCATCTCGAATTAATAAATAAACAAAAAATAAGATAAGAATACTATTCACAATTACGATTGTATCTTATTTCATTATATTCTACTTTACTTCGCCATTATCTACAGTTCAAAATCTGCCTCCTAGGCCTTTAATTATTTTTCCCATATCTATTAGGACCTCGCAGAAGTAGGTCTCTGCCATAACAATTGTGCTCAACTTTGGGCTTTTTTAGCTTTTCAACGGTACCATTTTCAATTTCTAAACTACAAATATCAATGATCTGTCTCTATATAAAATAGAAGTTGAGTTCCCATTATATAGCTCAGAAATCACTAAACTTTTAACCATCTATTTACATAATGATTATAATATCAATCTAAATTTAACAATATCTTTAAAAAACCAAACAATGTTTAAAGGCCATCCAGAAATAATCATCACTAATGCTGATAAAGGCAATGCAACTGTCCTATAATTTATTACCGAAACATTTTTTTAGTATGGTCAATAGATGTCGTTGATGGAATGGGTATCCTAAAGTCACTAGATATAGAAAGTACCGCAATCATCCACCATTTTTGGGAAAATTTGCTGCCAACTTAAAAAAATTGACAAATTAATAAAATCTGAATAGCTGTAATCTTTTATAACCTAACTTCATAGTACTGTCATGTTTTATAAAAATATATACAGATATCTCCAAACAGGTGGAACAATCCCTAACATTAAAGTTACTAGAATCTGGTAACTTCCGCCATTTTTGGTCAAAAATCATGCGTTCTCTCTCTAACATACGACCCCAATGGATTGCGGTACTTTCTATATTTAGTGACTTTAGGGTATCCTACCCTAATGCAGCACTGTCTGTATGGCTGCCTACGTACGTATTTTCTATTGATTGCATGATGCTATGTAAACGTACTTAGGATGACGTCATAATACACCTATAGCTACTATACAGGGTGGCCATTTGAAAACGAAACAGAGCCTATTTTGGGGACCTCAAAACATTTACGAAAAAATCCTCGGATCCGTCAATTTTTGATCCAAGGGGGAACCATTTTTTTGCTAGTTTCGCCCCCCTGGGGGTAATGCCATAGCGGGGGTGACAAGTGCCCCCAAAATTTTAAATCGAATGGGGGAGGTCGAGTGATACCTTATTTTGAAAGTATTTTTATGTAGATCATAACTCTTAAGATTTAAATCAGTTTTATTTTAAGTGCTTAAAGCTAAAATCAATCAAGTAAATGTTGAAAATGTTGGCCTTCGACTTCCATACAATAATACAGGTTTCGTTCAAACCTTTCCCGTACATTTTGCAAAACTTCTGGGGTGATTTGACGACATTCATCAATTATTCTTTGTCGCAAGTTCTCTAGCGATGTTGGCTGACTAGCATAAATTTTAGTCAATCAGCCTGCAGCGAAAATATTGTTGAGAGTGTTACATAAAAGGCTAGAGAAGATAATGGAAGAAAATGTGGCAGAAGACCAATTTGGATTTAGAAGAAGGGTGAGAACAAAAGATGCGGTTGGATGTGTAAGAACAACATGTGAAAGATATATGGAAAAGGGAAGAAATCTGAGTTTGTGTTCGTGGACCTGGTAAAGGCATTTCATTATGTTCTGTGAGCCATTTTAAAAGAGAAAGGTGTAGCTTGGAAGGATAGAAGGCTTATGAGTAAGTTGCACACCGGGCAGCAGGTAGCATTGAGAGTGAGCGGAAACAGAACGAATTCGTTTTAACTTCGTAAGGGCGTGCCACAGGGGTGTCCCTTATCACCAACATTATTTAAGTCAAAGTTCAAAGTATTGGAAAGGTAATAAGGGCGTAACTACGGGAGAAAAAGAGTTGTGTCCATTCGGTTTGCTGGTGACCATCTCCTGTTGAAGATGGGGGAAAGGAATGTGATTTAGTTATAAATGAGAAAAAGAGAATTGGAGCGGCAGAAGAAACGCAAGTGTATGTGAAAGATGAAATGCTGGAACAGATAGAAAGCTGTAAATATCTAGAAACAACTATAAGAGATGATTGGAGGAGCTGGAAAGAAATATTGACACGCATTGGAATGGCAAAAGAAGCATTGGTAGGAAAAGTAGAATAGTGTGCAGCAAGTTAGACATTAATCTAAGAAAAGGAATAGCGAAGTGCTTTGTATGAAGAGTTATGATCGAAGGAACCGTGAGGGGTACAAGGAAAGGAGGAAGAAGATGAGTAGACGATCTGAAAGAGGGGAGAGAATATGAAAAGAAAAGTCTGCAAGAGTGGAGACGGCACAATAGAACAATAGAAAAATAAATAAAAATCATTTTGTTCGTTATTCAACTCAACTTTACATATTTTGAGTGTCTAGATGGATCCAAATATTATCTGAAAAGTGCAAAATGCAAAGTTTGGCAATTGATTACCATGCAGTTTTTTTACCAATTCGATCTTAATTCAACTAAAACACCTTAGCAACCTTTTTTTCGTTTATTTTGGGGATCATTTGAGCCTTTAGTCGTCTTGACAATTATTTAGGAACGTGTGATTGTGAGAGTACAAAAAAATCCATACGCATAACATATTACGCAGTCATTCAGTCATGTAGATAAGCACTTACTTTGTTAGCTATACTCGTGATAAACGATTTAATGTCAAGTTGCGTAGGACAGGACTTTTGGCACGGTGCGTCCGCGCACTTTAAACATCTTGCCGCCTCCTTCAGCGCGCCACGCTCACTCAATGTCGTCGGTTTGATGTCATCAAAATTATTCTCAAAGTGCGAAACGCAACTCTATGAAGAAGGGCTTTAGTGGAATGTTCAAAAAAGGATTGGGGTTCCACTTACATTGCACTTCTTATCCTTATTTCTTTTCCAGTGCTCCTTATTTCTCTTCGTCACAGCTGAGGGTTGTAAGGTTGAATGCGTTGCCACCCTCGGATTCAACGCTAACAGATTCTGAAATTAAGCCCAAAATTAACTCCGATGGCAACAGCCACTTTTAATATCTCACTTCAATATCTGGTAAGTCCACACTGAACTGAACCATGGTGAAACATATACTACACTATTCGTCGGTACAACAACTGCTTGAATAATCTCAATTATCTGAAGCGATTGAGTACAAAAAATTACACTTATCAATTAGTAATAATAATAACAATAATATTGCCTTTATTAGTTAATAGTTCGTGTACAGGGTGTTCAAGTATACTGGCACCACCCCATTTCATAGCATTCCAATGTTGCTTGTTCATCCCTGTATCTAAGTGCACCAGTTCTTGAGAAGTTTTAATCGTCATTATATAATATCGGTTACCGCGACCTTGTCGTGAAATATTCCACCTTGCATGTTACCCTTGTCCAGTAGGTCAACAAGTGTTCTAATCTTTCCAATACATTTACGTCTAATAATAGAACCATTGATATGCACTACTAAAGGTCAGGGTACATCTACTAATCTAGTTGAATTCAGTATTTAGTCTCTTCAATAACTTACCGTCATAAAGGCAGAAACACTAACTTCTCTCTCGCATGCTGTAAGGTGTGGAATAGTGTCAAATAAGGCACCCTTCTGGATGGTCTATTTTTCCAATTCGGAATAGTATTAAAAGGACTCCTTTGCCCAAGATGAAAAAAGGCATTCAAATTCAAGGGGATGGTGATCGTTTTCTATACAACATTAGAAGCGCCGTCCAGAACAGTAGGTGCTATATGGAAATTCTGAACACCTTACGTGAGAGAGTTTAGGAGAAGGCCCTAGAACTCTGGAAAGGAAGGCGATTGGTTTCTTGATCACGACATCCTACCTTGTCATACTGCGCCCTGTGGCAACCAGTAGGCACTATGAGCGGCAATATCTTTCGATTAAGTCCACATGACTTTTCCCTCTTCCCAAAAATTAAATCGGTGCTGAAGGGATCACGATTTCAAACTCTGGAGACCGTCAAACAAAAACTGGGGGAGCTACTCTTCGGGTTGACAGAAAATGACCTGCAGCACTACTTCTAAGGTTGTAAGAAGATTCGTCTCTGTAAATTCGCGCTCGAAAATTCACCCCCTGAATAGTTGCCCCTGAAATTTCGCCCACGGAAAATCCGCCCTCGTAGGATTTGCCGTCAGAAGATTCGCTAAATATTTGCCCCCAGAATATTATTCTCGGAGAATTCGCCCCCAGAAGATTCGCTCCCAAACATTTGCCCCCGGAAGATTCTCACCAAACAAATCGCCCCGCGAGATTTTCCACAGGAAACTCAATGTCTCACCGATAAGAGTCGCCGCCAGAAGTATTCGCCGTTGAAATATTTGCCCTCAGTATTCGCACGTGGAAAATTCACCCCCGTCGCAAAACTCTCTCGGCAGGAACCCGATCCAGATAAGTGACAGCAAATTTTCCGATGGCAAACCTTCCGCGAGGGCGAATCTTCCTGGGAGCGAATGTTCCAGAGGTGAGTTTCCGGGGGCGAATTTACAGAGCCGAATTTAGCGCAAACGGTTTCCAAAACGGGAATATTCGAATGAAGCGGTCTAGAGATAAGGAAGAGGACTACGTTCTCTCAATTACAACAGGATTTGGACTTCCCCAGAATGGACCAACCACCAACATTCAAAGGGTGAAATTTGATGCAAGTTCCCAAGTCACAAGTAAAATAGATTCAGTTTACAGTAAAATTGTAATAGTGGCGACACCTCAAAGAAGTTTATCGAATTATATTCAGAAAGACCAATGAAAATACACAAGAATTCGCTCCCTTTGCAAGAAAAGTAGTTGAAATTGTAATAGTGGTGACATCCCACTTCATTTTATTCAACTATAGTCATATTGATCCCTAACAATGCATGAATGTCGCAAGAGAGGGCAGGGGTGAGTAGAAATTAAATTCAAATTTCAAAATTAATACCCCATTACGTGGGTGTTATCTCAAACGACCAAATCAAAATATATTTAAATAAATTATTATACGGACGGCTAATTGTTTGACTTATTCTATGACTAAAGCTTCATATAAGCACAGATCAGTGGAAAAACCGGCTTTGGACCACAAAACACGCCTTTGAAAGTCAAAAACTCCTTGAAAAGCGGCTAGAAGGATTTGGAATCCTCAAGTTGCCTCTGAAAAAAGGTTTAGAAGACCCTTACGAGCCTTTTATTGCATCAGAGCGCCTTTGAGAACGTCTAAAGACTTTTTCAAGTGCCCCTTGATTTTTTTCCAGTGCCATGAAGGACCTTACGTGCACTTTCGACAAAGAGATGCACTTAACAAGCACTCGAAAGTACTCAAAAGTTGTGGAAAAGCACAGAAAAAAGGCTCAGATTCAGTAAATATGCTCTAAGAAGGCGATAGAACGCAATAAATAGACCTTCAATAACATTTGATTGTTCTGAAAAGCTTTTCAGGGAACTTTCGCGCCTTCAAGAACATTTTAAGTCCTTAGGTGCTTTCCAGATTTATAAATGAACCTTCTGAGACCCTTTAAGAGAAAAGTATGTGTAGAAATCAACCCAAAGTACGGTGAGAACCCCGGAAAGGACCTTCAAAGAATTGAGAGGGCCTTCGAAAGCCTTTGATTGCTCGACAAAGCTCTCCAGGGCCCTTTAACATCTTCAAAACACCTAAAGCGCTTTCCAGATATTTAATAAATCATTTCCACAGTCATGGAGAGCTTTCTGTGCACTTTCGAGAGCCCAGACAGCATTCGAAAATACTCAAAAGAATTGAAATTTGATATCTCTAATATGGGCTTGCGTAAGTCCGCAAATGGCATGAAATGCTCTGGGAATGCGAAGATTTTATACAGTCCTGTCGAGCACCCAGATTTGGAATTCTCAAAATTGTCTCGGGAAGCTTCAAAAAGCTTTGGAAAGGTCTTTAATTTTTCTGGAAAGCTTTTCACGGTGTTTTAGTGCCTTGCTCGAGTACTTTCCAGCGCCATGTAGAACTATCGGTGCACTTTCCAGGGCGAGGTATATCCAGAAAGCACTCGAAAGTGCCAAAATCTTTCAAATTAATTAAAATTAAATTAATTAAAAGATTGAAATTTCCCGCGTCATTTTGACAAAGCTTATAAGAAACTGAAAGACCTTTCTACGAATATCCATGCTCACAAAGGCTCTCCTCGACCCCTCCTGCCCTTTTTTCACATATTCTTCTTATAAGTAAAAGAGATAATGGGCCGTATGAATAAAAGTAAGCAAATGCTTATACTTGCTAAATTGAAAATAAATACTCGTAACTGCCCCTTCATACGTGTCTGTTTAGCATGGTTTAGCAGCGCTGCACTGCGTCCTGTCCTTCTGCTTATAAGCGCTGCTAAGGCGCCCAGTGCGAAGGAGCACTTACGAGTATTTACTTTGAATTTTGCAAGTATAAGCATTTGCTTACTTTTATTCATACGGGCCAATGAAGGAGGCAAAGATGCAATGATCTGGAGAGAAGACTACGGTGACAGTTTTAGTAGTTACAAGGTTCTAATAAGGGAGTGGTTACCAATATATTTATGGAAGGGAAACAAAATATTAAAATAATGGCGTGATTCAGATGTGGAAATGACAACAGAGTAAAAGAGAAATGGAGACAAGAAAAAGAAGAAAAATGTAGAATGTGTGGTGGTGTGAAGAGGAAGCAGAGAACATAGAACATACGTTATGGAATTGCGAGAAGATGGATAGGACATGGAGGAAGCAGAAGTGAGAAGAGGTGAGAAGTGGATAAGAGATATTCAAGAAAAGAGAACAAAATTGTCATTTTGGTATGTAGCTACATTGTAAACGGTTTTGCCATTTTTGGGTCTAATAAAGATTGATTGATTAAATTAAATCTAACCGTGCCCAAACAGACAGACAGATACTCGTCGAAAACCCAAAACAGCCCATCCCCTTGAGCCAGAAATTCAGACGAAAAATCAGAATGTTTCGTACAACCATTTGGTCATTTTAGGCGTTAACCCCATTTTGTGCTCAGTAGCAATTCACCCCTCAAGGGCTGCTCAGGGATTTCTGACCCTCTTCAGCTACAGAACGGGAATGTAAGGATAGGAGGTGCTGAGAGCAAAGGAATTACCACGACTTTATGTACGTGGTAGGTATAGGGTTGACTAGGTGTATTTTCCCCAATTCCCTGTATTAACAGAATTTATTTCCAGTCAAAGTATTAGAAATCATGTAGATAAAGTAGAAAGAAAGAGAAAAAAATTAGCTTTCTAATGACGTATGACAAGACCTATAATTACCATTTTAAGAACATTCAAAACGGCGGTCGCACTCAAATACCCTGTAGGTATAAGAAAATTCTTTTTAACTTCAAAATATGTCTATATTTGGTCGGTTTGAACGTGAGAGCTTCCGGTCTATCTAGCGACCCTGTATTTTGTCGTAGGTACAATACCCATTACTATAAAGAACCTTGGATGCAATGGAAGACATGGACAGAAGGTGCGGCAAGCAAACGAAGGTACTTTGATTTTATAAGTTACCTTACTCAAATTTCAGATTCCCAATAACCGAAAGGGACGAACGGCTAAATAATTTATCATGCAAGATCCATTGTTTTGTAGGGAATCTTTAAAAATCAGTAGTGCTAGTGCTATTCGTAAAAAGTGACGAAAACATGGCAGGAAGAGGGAAGAAGAGAGAACAAGTTAAAAAGTAATCGTAAACGATTTACATAAAGCGCATTTCCACTTGCATTCATTTCCCATTTGTAAGATGCAACTTCTGTTAAAATCGTCAAAATCCGCCCACAAATATGAAAGATAGCGTTGCACATGGGCAATCCATTGTTGACGTGCTACTTCAATTTCAGTTTATGCGAAGAATTTCATTTCAATGCTTTTCTAAATAAGAAAGTTGGAACTGCACATGCGCATACCTAAATTTTAAAACTAATGTTAGATTTTCCTTTGTTCCAAGCGCCTAAGTATCAAATTTCACTTAAATAGTTCCATAGATAAAAAAAAGTTGGCACTGCGCATTCGCAAAATAAAATATTGAAACTAGCGCTAGATTTTCCTTTATTCCAAGTGCCTATGTATCACATTTCATTTAAATTCTTCCATAAATAAAAAAGTTGGCACTGCGCATGCGGAAAGCCAAATTTTGAAACTGGCGTTTGATTTTCCTTTATCCCAAGTGCCTATGTATCAAATTTCGTTTAAATTCTTCCATAAATAAACAAGTTGGCACTGCGCATGCGCAAAACCAAATTTTGAAATTGGCGTTTGATTTTCCTTTATCCCAAGTGCCTATGTATCAAATTTCGTTTAAATTCTTCAATAAATAAAAAAGTTGGCACTGCGCATGCGCAAAACCAAATTTTGAAATTGGCGTTTGATTTTCCTTTATCCCAAGTGCCTATGTATCCAATTTCGTTTAAATTCTTCCATAAATAAAAAAGTTGGCACTGCGCATGCGCAAAACCAAATTTTGAAATTGGCGTTTGATTTTCCTTTATTCGAAGTGCTTATGTATCAAATTTCGTTTAAATTCTTCCATAAATAAAAAAGTTGACACTGCGCATGCGCAAAACCAAATTTTGAAATTGGCGTTTGATTTTCCTTTATTCCAAGTGCCTATGTATCAAATTTCATTCAAATACTTTTATAAGTAAAAAAGTTTGCAATTCGGCTTATAAATGGTCGAGATGCGAAAAGGGCACTGTGAATTTTGAATCGATTCGATTCACCTTTTGGCATTGCGTATTATATGGCTAAATCTATGCCCATATTGAATTTCATGCAATTCAGTTCATAACTAACGGAGATGTAAAAGCGATCGAACATTTCTAAACAAAGTTATCGTTCACACGGACAGATAGATGGACAGACAGACAAAGGAACAGACGGAGAGACCAACCGGCAGGCGACAGATAGCAATGCAAAATTATAAACGATCTCTAGGATCGTTAATAAACGGCAAAAGTGTAAAATTATGGAACATGTGAAAAACGGTTTTTTGTTTTTTTTACGATAACTTTTTTTGTAAGCGGTACAGAAAAAATTCCTTCCTTGGTACAAGACTCGACACCATAACGAACCAAATAGCGAAAAAAGTAGAACAATAGCTCTTAAGATAAAAAAACTAGTAGCGTCGCAAAGTTAGCGGACGGACGGACGGACGGACGGACGGACAAAGTGGCCACAATAGCGCATTTTTTTTTTATTTTTGTGGAAATGCGCTAAAAAGTAGTCGAAGACTTGGGCGGACGGACGGACGGAAGGATCGGCGGACGAAAACGTATGGGATCTTTTACCAAAATTTCAGAAAAGGAATAAAGTGGTCCTAATTGTTACTTTTTCCATTTAGAAAAATGCTTTGAAAATCAAAATTAGATAGGTAGTACAAGCCATTTGGGTCCAACTGTACTTGAAGCGATTAATCAACACATGTTTTCTAAATTTGTGCAGGTTTCAACGCCGATTACAGATAGCAGCGTCTGCGCGAAATTGATCTCTACTCAAGAAGTTCGATAAGGCGCTTTTTCTCTGCCGCTGCCCTACCACATCTACATCAAAATTCCCAATATCCTGTATCGTACGAGAATTCGAGTGGTGCGGTAGTGTAGTGTAAGTGTCTTCTTCCAATGGTAAATGGTAATGGTTTTCCCCTTGGAGAGACTGAATCATTAAGGCTAAGGGTGAGTGTTCCTTCTTTTTTAATTCAGGCGAAACCCCGACTTAATCAAAAATGTATCTACCTCAAAAACACTACAGTTACCGGTAACCAAAGGGTGTCCGTACCCCTAAAAGCGAAGGAAAATTCAAAAATGTGTTTGCACAACCCCTTTATGGTAGATTTGTTTTTGTAAGCGGTGGTTTTGGGGCGTAATCTCCAAAAAGAATCATTTTTTGTTGATACACGCATGGGGTGATGTAAAATCAAAGTTGGTAATTATTGATTATTTGAATAAACCATAAAAACGCATTGTAGGTCCTTGTTTTCCATCGTTTTAATTACTAAATTAGTATAAAATTGGAGATTTTCGTGTTACATGCAACACGTGTTCAAAGATAAAGTGCCACGTCACTAACGCACCTGTGGCCGTTCAGAAACTGTTTCAAAATGGTTGCGTATATTTTCTGACATTTATGGGTGAATTGAAGTTTTTTATAGCAAAAAATGTCCAATTTTGGGCTGTACGAGCAATTTCAAAAACCATGGCGAATAAGCAAAAAATATAAATGGCCTTTTTTTAGCCAAAAAGTTGCATTCAGTTCTCTTATATGCCATTTTTTATTAAAAACTCTAAAGGTTAGCAAAAAGGAGTCTACGTAAAATTTGCTACTTGCGTCGTTTCTTGATGCGGCAGCAAAGTATTGGCTCAACATGTGTTCAATGCTAAAAATTAACCTACAATCGCAGCCGGTATTTATCGCAAAGGTTTCTGCCAGTGACAAACAGATGGTGAGTTTGTTTATCTTTAAATGGGCTTCAATAGCTCCCACGTCTCTCTTCTAAATGCAGCATGTTTCTTCGTAATTTCTGCGGTAATAAATGGGTACCTAAATAAACATGAAAGCGCACCCGGTACAATTTTGTCCGCTCTGTTCGTAAATCGTTGCTGAACGGTGCAATGGAAATTACCATGTCTGAAAAAAGGTAAATGGTATTATATGAAACGCTTTTTCTGTACTCGCTCATGTACAACGTCACTTTACAATGTATTAAAAAGGTTCATTTCGATAATTAGTAGCATACAAGAAAATCATTCCAATCTTTGTGTTGAATAATTGACGTATTACTCTCGTACTATACCCATTACTAAAAGGATTCTTTTTTTTTTAATATCAAGTGAATGGCACTTTTCAGTAACTATTCAGTGGGCCGTATGAACAAATAAGAGAACGAACGAATAGACAAATATTGCATAGGATTAGATATGTAGTTTCATGCTGACTGTATGTTTACCCCCCCCCTCCCCCCCCCTGTATAATCGAGCTATGAGCCAGCCCCCCCCCCTACATATAAGAATAACTATACAGGGTGTTCATTGAAAACTTCCCACCACGGATTTATCAAAAACAACGAATTAAAGGAATAAAACGCCGAGACACGTCAAAAGATTTGTCAAGGGGGACAACTTTTTAACAAAACCCCCTTCCACCCTCTGCTCCCAGGGTCATTCGCTTAAAAATCATTTTAAATGAGAAGTGGTATCGAGTAATAGGTAGCTTGTTTGAAAGATTTTTCGAAGTCCTTTATTTTGACGTTTGATTTTTTTTAATCGGTCGATTGGGTTTCGAGAGAAATTAGAAAAATGTTTCTTTAATTTATTTAACCGAAAATATCACTTATTTGTTGCTAAAAACAGAAAGAATTTAATTTGATTTTGGACTCCATAAGTTAGATAAATTTCCAATTTTATCGGCTAATGTGTAAACCACTTTGGAAGTAAAATCTGAATCAATAAATGAATTTTCACTATCCCAAGTTTGTCACAAAGGTAACTACAACAAATTAAATTCTTTCTTTCCCATAGCAACAAATAAGTGATATTTTCGTTTGTTAGGTCGATAGGTCGATTAAATTAAACTAAGATTTTTCTAATTTTCTCGAAAGCGAATCGACGGATTTTAAGATATCAAACGTCAAAATAAAGGACTTCGAAAGACCTTTCAAACAAGCTATCACTCGATACCACTTGTCATTTAAAATTTGTAAAGGAATGGCCCTGAGGAGCAGAGGGTGAAAAGTTAAAAAGTTGTCCCACTTGACAAATCTTTTGACGTGTCTTGGCGCTTTTTCCTTTAATCCGTTTTTTTTATAAATCCATGGTGAGAAGTTTTCAAATGAACACCCTGATGTATGTACAGGGTCCTGCAACATTGCATCGGGTTTTTCCTACCTCATACTTGTAAAAAATATCAAAAAACCTGTTGTGCAAATGTCGACCCGCATCTACAGAAATTATTTTTGAATGTACAGGGTGACCCATTTTTATGTTTTTTAATGGAACATCTTGTATATTTTTAGTTGTTTCGATGTAATTTTTTAATCTCTGCATTTAGGTTATTCATTATTTTTTACAGAAATAGTTACACATTAATTAATTAAATGTTTATAAACCGGTTTAGACCGTGATAATAAAAACCAAAGAATGCCAGACAGTAAATAAGTGCCATAAGTTTATGATTTGCTGCAAATGTACTCCCTATTTCATAGTAACATAAGATTAATTAAAAATGCGAATTTAGAAAAAGATTAACTCGTATTTTTAAATAATGTGATTTTACTACGAAATAAGGAGTACACTTGCAGCAGATAATTAATTTATTTACTGTCTGGCATTCTTTGGTTTTTTATTATCACGGCCTACTCCTGTTTATTAACATATAATTAATTAATGTGCAAGTATTTCTGTGAGAAATATTGATTAACTTAAAAACTACGGGGTTTAGGCACAGGGCATCCCTCATAAAAATTGAAGAGCACACAAAGGACTATCGAATAGAGAATAGTGGAAGTATCATTTGAAAAAAAAAAGTTATGACACTTTGAAATTTAGAAACTTAACTATTTTTTGTGAACACCCTGTATCACTAAATCCAACATTCTCATTACCAAAGGTTTCCTTTTATTCAGATTAACATTATTGATCAAATGTATTTCTTAACTTTAAAATCAAAGTCGCTACGATTTAGAGCTTGGTTATACCGGGTGGTGCACGGTAAGTAGGAACATAGGGATTTAGCATGGGAAATTAGTTTTAAACAATATCCTGCCCTCCTATAGATTTTAGAGAAAAAACTGTAGAGTTTAAAGTTGTTCATACAAAACTGTTTTTACATGTTTTATTCAGCAAAATTAAAAATAAATTAACTACTAATAACAGAAATGTTGAAATTTATTTTTAATTTTGCGGGTATACCAAAAGCTTAATAAAACGTAAAAACAGTTTTGTACGCACCTTTTAATTCTGAACAACTTTAAACTCTACAGTTTTTTCTCTAAAATCTATAGGAGGGCAGGATATTGTCTAAAACTAATTTCCCATGTTAAATCCCTATATGTTCCTACTTACCGTGCACCACCCGGTATGCAATTATTCGGAAAAAAATTATTAATTTGGTCGCATGACAAAAAACCAAAATGTAAATAGGTCTCCATGCAGAGGTTTAAAAATGAGATCGAAACAACGAAAAGTATACAGGGTTTAAAAAAATCAGTTGTCTATTGACACTCTGGAAACAACGAAGTTATGATCAAAAAATCGAAAAATGTCATTTTCAAAAATGAGCTGGCGTTCATTTACTTTCAAAGATATCAAAAAAATGTTTTAACAAACCCCTAGTAATTGTTTCTCAGCCTCCTGATGGTGCTAAAATAAAATTTTTATCAGGCGTGAGTTTCGAATAAGTAACTCACATTCACTTTCTTATTTCTTATGGACGCCATATTGAATTTTTATGTCATTCGATAGAGAAGAAACTTACAAAACCAGTGATACTCAACCCTATACTAAACACTTAGTATTTCATTTGGGCCCCATCAGAAAGGCGAGAAAAAATTGCTAGGCGTTTGATATCTTTGAAATAGTTATTTACATAAAAGTCAGGAAAATGACATTACTAGCGGGGAAATATTGAAGTACAAAGCCCCTTTGAGGCCGAGTACTTTAATTTCCGACTAATCCCCATGTAAAATTTCCCGTTTTTTTCAATGGTAAACCACCTTAGATTTTCAAAAAAAATTTAAAATCTAACTAGTTACCTGTAGCATTTGATTTTGAAATTTTTCTTGTAAATTTATGTAAAAGTATAGAGCGTGCCTCCATTTAACTTGCCCCCTTACGCATATTCCAATTATGAGTGACGAATTTGGACCACCCTGTAGCAAAAAATATTTCCCTACACCCCTGCGGGCCCAGAGCATATTTTAAGCTATAAAGTAGGCGACACTAGTGCCGCAAAATTTAGCAATCGAGGAATTCATACTAAATGAATGTGTACCCGTCCATGTACAATAAAATATTTCTACCCTTCTGACCTTCTATCAATTAATGCACGTTAGTAAGGAAGGTATTGTACCTATTGAGTTAAAAAATGATCCCCCACTTTTTGGACGGAAATACGTTTTGAAGCGCCAGGAATCCAAATCAAACAAAATCTCGATGATGTCGATCGGTCTGTCGGTCTGTTTGTCTGTATTCGCATTTGCCGCTAAACGGCTGAACCGATTTGAACCAAATCTGGTACACGTATTTAGAACGTGCAAATAACCTGAAATTTTATAAAAGAGTCCTTTTTGCATTTAGTATTGTACAAAGAAGTACGCTATTTCATACACAAAGTTTTTTTCCATGTCAGGTTATTTGCACCCATTTCTGTAAAGAAGTATGAACAAAATTTTTAGTCTATTCGTTGTCGCAATTGCTTCTTTGCGCATTTAGGAAAATATTTTAAAACCAAAATTGAATAATTTTATTTCTTTAGATCGAACTGTACCTAAAATGATTAATCAAAAATTGTTTTCTAAATTTGCGAATAAATTTCTCGCTGCAACGCCGATTACAGATAGCGGCGTGTGCGCGAAATTGACCTCTGCTCAAGAAGTCCGATAAGGCGCTTTTTCTCTGCCTATACCTATTTCACATCTACCTCAAAATTCCCAATATCCAGTATCGTACGATAATTCGAATAGTGCGGTAGTGTAGTGTAAGTGTCTTCTTCCAATGGTAAATGGTAATGGTTTTTCCCTTGGAGAGACTGAATTATTAAGGCTTAGGGGTGAGTTTTCTTCCTTTTTTTAAATCAGGTAAAACACGATTTAATAAAAAATGTACCTACGTCAAAAAAACTACGGTTACCGGTAACCAAAAGGTATCCCTAAAACCGAAGGAAAATTCAAAAATGTGTTTGCACCACCCTTTAATGCTAGATTTGTTTTTTTAAGCGGTGGCTTTGGGGCGTAATCTCCAGAAAGAATCATGTTTTTATTGATACACACATGGGGTGACGTAAAATCCAAAAAAAGTAATTATTGATTATTTGAATAAACTAAATATGCATTGTAAGAGTGCAGGTGTCCTTCCTTTCCATCGTTTTAATTACTAAATTGGTATAAAATTGGAAATTTTCTTGTTATATGCAACACGCGTTCAAAGATAACGTGCCACGTCATTAACGCACCTGTGGTCGTTACGAAGATAATTTCCGAAACTGCTTCAAAATGATTGCGTATATTTCTGACATTTATAGGTATCTAAATTGAATTTTTTTATGGCAAAAAATCTCAAATTTCAATTTCAAAAAATGCCGCAAATAAGCAAAAAATATAAATGCGCTTTTTTTGCCAAAAAGGTGCAATCGGTTCTCTTGACGCCTTTTATTCGTTTCTAAAGGTTAGCAAAAATGAGTCTGCGTAAAATCTGCTACTTGCGTCGGTGCTTGCGGCAGTAACGTATTGGCCCAAAATGTGTCCAATGCTAAAAATTAAACTAAATTGCAGCCGGTATTTGTAGCAAAGGTTTCTGCCGGCCGGTCTTCCTGATTTAATGGTGAGTTTATTTTATTCCCCCAACTTTTTGGACAGAAATACCCGTTTGAAGGGCCAGGAATCCGAATCAAACAAAATCACGATCATGTCGATCGGTGTGTTGGTCTGTCTGTCTGTACTCTCATTTACGGCTAAACGGCTGAACCGATTTGAAGCAAATCTGGTACACGTTAGAACGTGCAAATAACCTGAAATTTTATAAAAGAGTCCTTTTTGCATTTAATACTGTACAAAGAAGTACGCTATTTCATAAAAAGAGTTTTTTCATTTCAGGTTATTTGCGCCCATTTCTGTAAACAAGTTTGAACAAAATTTCAAGTCAATTGGTGGTCGCAATTGCTTCTTTGCGCATTTAGAAAAATATTCTAAAACCAAAATTGAATAATTTTATTTCTTTAGATCGAACTGTACCTAAAATGATTAATCAAAAATTGTTTTCTAAATTTGCGAATAAATTTCTGGCTGCAACGCCGATTACAGATAGCGGCGTGTGCGCGAAATTGACCTCTGCTTAAGAAGTCCGATAAGGCGCTTTTTCTCTGCCTATACCTATTTCACATCTACCTCAAAATTCCCAATATCCAGTATCGTACGATAATTCGAATAGTGCGGCAGTGTAGTGTAAGTGTCTTCTTCCAATGGTAAATGGTAATGGTTTTTCCCTTGGAGAGACTGAATTATTAAGGCTTAGGGGTGAGTTTTCTTACTTTTTTAATTCAGACGAAACCCTACTTAGTAAAAAATATAGCTACCTCAAAAAACTACAGTTACCTACCGGTAACCAAAGGGTATCCGTACCCCTAAAAGCGAAGGAAAATTCAAAAATGTGTTTGCGCAACCCTTTTATGGTAGATTTGTTTTTTGAAACGGTGGTTTTGGAGCGTAATCTCCAAAAAGAATCATTTTTTATTGATACACACATGGGATGAGGTAAAATTACAAAAAAGTAATTATTGATTATTTGACTAAATTAAAACGCATTGTAGGTATCCATTTTTTCCATCGTTTTAATTACTAAATTAGTATAAAATTGGAGATTTTTGTGTTACATGCAACACGTGTTCAAAGATAACGCGCCACGTCACTAACGCACCTGTGGCCGTTTCGAAGTTAAATTAAAAAGGTGTTTCTAAATAATCGCGTATATTTTCTATTTAAAGGTAAATTGTACTTTTTCATGGGAAAAAGTGTCAAATTTTGCGCTGTACGAGCACTGTCCATACAAGGTTCAACAATTTCAAAAACCGCGGCGAATAAGCAAAAAATATAAATGCACTTTTTTTAATCAAAAAGTTGCAATCAGTTATTTTATATGACTTTTATTAAAAAGTCCAAATGTTGGCAAAAATGAGTCTACGTAAAATCTGCGTCTTTCTTGAAGCGACAGTATCGTATTGGCCCAAAACGTTCTCAATGCTAAAAATTAACCTATATTTTGTGCCGGTTTTTCCCACAAGCAGAGGTGAGTTCATTTAAAAAAACTTCAATAGCTCCCCGTCTCTTTTCTAATACAGCATAAAATCATGTTTCTTCACGGTTTCTGCTGTAATAAATGCTTTTTAGCGCATTTTTTAAGAATTAAAAAAAATTTGCTGTTGTTTGCGTCTCGGTTTGCGTTTTGTCCGTCCGCCCGTTCGGACCCACTTCTACCGTTTTGAACTACTTCTAGGGGAATGGTCCTATTTTTTTGCAGTAGGTAGCCTATACCTTGAAGGTGTGCAAGACGGCCATCAAATTTCGCTATCTAAAAGGGGGGCCCCCCCATGAATTATTTCCTGAGATGCTGCTTTTGAAAGTAAAACGTGCATAGCTTTTACATACGACAACCAATTGGTCTCAGATTTTGCATACGCATGCCTTTAGTGGTGCTAAGTTAAACTTTAGGAAATTTGGGGGGGGGGGGGGGCACATGTTCTACCCTTCAGGGTATTCTAATGAAAGGTCTCAACGAAATAAATTGCTTTGTACAAACTATAACTTTGCCGTGTGACTATTTTTCGAGATCAGTGAGCGACGGGGTCTGAGGGGGGTGGGGGGAGTGGTTTGCTTTTATCCTTCATGGTACTCTAATGAAAGGTCTCAACGAAAGGAATTAATTTCTACCAACCATAGTCTCCTCCTCGACCTCTTATCGTAATCGGGTATATTCCCTTATACCTCAAGATCGGAAGAGGGTACTCACAAAGGGCGATTGCGCATGCTGAAGATAGAGACTTGACCTTTGGGACGTGGGTTTCTTGGAAGGCATTAATTTCCCGAAATTTCCACGGATTCCTGGTGATTCAAAACGTGTATTTCTATTAAAAAAGTGGAGGGGGGCATTTTTTTACCATTATGCAATGCTTCCCTTACTAGCGTACGGATGGTAAAAATTGATTGCTTATGCGCAAATTCGATTTTTGTATTTGTTAACCAATTTTTATGAAATTTTAAGAGATGCTTCTTATAAAAGAAAATTGAAAACGTATGTCAGAAAATAGATTGCTCGTACGCAGAGCTAAGGGCTTAGCGCATTTTCACAAAGATCAAAAATGTGCTTTTGTGTCCACTTTGTGCGCCTGTCCATGAGTCCGTCTGCCCGTCCCTTCGGCTGTGCCCCTTTCAGGTCTTTGTCTTAAGAGCTACTTTTTTGCTATTTGGTTCGTTATGGTGTCGAGGCACCAAGGAAACAATTTTTTGTGTCTGGGTGTCTCTTACAAAGACGTTATAGCAAAAAATCGATTCTTTAGTTTTTCATTATTTTACATGTTTGCCGTTTATTGTGCTCTTTTTACGTTTTGTTGCGATTTGATTTTTGACTAACCAAAACTTCATGGATTAAAGCACCCAAAATATGAATCAAAAATCGGTTAAATACATTGATAGAGAGAAATAAAATTGTGGAAACCACGGTTAACTTTTTGGGTCATTGCCTATTATGTGCACTTTTTGAAAATATAGGTTGCGCATGAGCAGGCCCAACTTCCTTATTAATGAGAGGTTTTTTTCTAAATTTTTATAACACCGTGCTTCCTAAAGAAATAAATTAAACCTGTATATATTCCGTTTGTTACCCGTGCCATTTGATACATTTTTACCGGAAGGAAGAGCTAACTTGAAATTTTGTAAAAAAAACTTATACTACCTATCATTGCCTTCTGCTCATTTTTTGCATTTGGGTTGAAATTTTATAATCAAAAACGTGCAAAAAAATGTCCGTCGATCTGTGCTTCTAGATACTCATGTTTACAGCAAAATGTTTACGGAAAGGTGCAATTAAATTGAAATTTTGTATAAATGAAGGCACTTTCTTCATTTCGACACCCTACAATTTTCAAAAATATTCAAAACCTAAGCGCATCTACCCGTAAACTCAAAATCTATCACATTTGCAACGAAAATTCGAGAAAAAAATTACAAAATTTAAATCTTAACGGGCCTCTATCATTACAATCCATACTTACGACTTCATTTGTACTGGTGAGTGCTATTAACTTGAATTTCAGTTATATAAATATTTCCGTCTGTGCCCCCTTCAATCTGCATATGCCTTCAGCTAAATTTCTACGGGAATGTGCTGTTAAGTTTCAAATTTCGTAGCGTGCCAGAAATACGTATACGTTCTTCTATTTTTGTCATCCGGAAGGGATGATTTTTTGACTTTTTGATGCTATGTTAGTAATCTAAGATCCCCCATCGCTTGCTTTTGAACTTACGTTTGTTTTTTTTGTTTCAGATTCCAGAAGGGCAGCCTTATAAAGGTAGGATTTTTCTTTTTCGGTGCATGGGTGATGGTATTTTCTTTTTTTATGTATCTAGCAAGGGGGGAGTGAAAAGTGAATATAGTGATTGAAACGAAGAAAAGGTAGGTATGATTTTAGTTGATTTTCGCAATGTAATACTAAGTGAGCTGTGGCCCTCGTCCAAACCTATCATCTTGCTAGCGTAAGACTGACTGCAATGATTCTTCGAGTGATCTTTCTCGCAGTATTAACTAGTTTATTTTTTATCAATTCTTCCGTTACTTGATTGGGTAACTTGGAGGGCAGTCACAACACATTTAGTATTTCACGAAAATTAACTTTTGACGGCAGGTAAGTAGTGACAAGGCCCGTGTTCGCTTATTAATATTTCGTTCAATCAATAATATAATTGGTTAATAAGAGAACAGAGCCGATAATCGCTTTAAAAGAGAATGAACGCTACTTACTTTTCTTTTCGTTTGTTCATAGCGTCCTACTTCAAGACATTGGGCGCGATCTCCATCTCTGGTGAGGATGCAGGACCACACCAGCCTTGCTTCTTTTGTACACGATTCAGGCGAGTGAGGTAAGTGCGTCATTGTTTTTAATAATAAACCTACATACATCGCCCAGAACCTTTGAATTTTCTTACCGTCACATATTGATCAAAGTTACTCCTTTGTAAATCAAGTAACTTGTTCATTTTTCACAAAAATTACGAAACAGCCCGAACATAACATTAGAGTTCCTTATTGTAATGCATACTTTATGACTTTGCAGTTACCACCAACTTGCCATGCCTGTTTCCACGAACTTCTGCGTGCCGACTCCCCCAGGCAAGTCCGGATTAATAAGGCTAAGGGTAAATTTTCAATTTTTTATGAACGTAATATTCACAGTAAAATCTAAAAAATCATTTTTTTAGCCCAATTTCCCCTTAAGGGTTTCTGAGAAAATCCTGGATTAATTAAATTCTTTTGTTCCAGATTCCCGAAGGACGGCCTTATAAAGGTAGGATTTTTCGTTTTTATGCATGGGTTTCTTTATTTTTTATGTATTTAGGAGTGGGGGAAAAGTGAATAGTGCACAAAGTGATTAAAGTGAACATCGACGATTAATTTTAGCCGATTTTCTTGGTCTAATTCTAAATGGATTGTGATCGTCTTCTCAGCCCTCATTTTGGCGACGTAAGATTAGCTGCAATGAATCTTTGAATGATCATTTTCTCGACGTTAATCGGTTCACTATACGTAAATCAGTATGACTATGATTTCATAGCCATACCAGTTTCGTAAAGTAAATGGATTTTCTTTGCAAGTCTTGAGTATAAAGAAGTATTGCAGCTAATTATTCCGTTCTCAAGGTGAATGTCTTTGAGGATGGTCATAGTCTTTTTATTATTAATTACACGAAATCGGTTTACTGGTTTTTAAAGGAAGGTTAGTAATTAAATCGTTATACATAGGCGAACGCGCCTTACGAGTATACTTTGGTGGTCGTACTAATATCATCGAATGTTCACAGCGCCATCTGTACCCACGGTTCAAGATTTACCATTATCAACCCCTGAGATGGACCAAAGTCTACCCTCGATCAACAATGTCAAAGTTCAATCGAACAAGGTGAGTATACCCAAACCGTAGGCGTAATTTTCTTTTACCAAATCTTTAGATTTTCATTCCACACATGATCTAACGTAGACCCAAAATAGTGTAATTATACATGTACTGCTCCTATAAAAGTATATTGATTAGGAATACTCACTATATCTTTAAAACTCCAAAAATTTTGAAGATTAATTTTTAAATTAGGAGTAATTTATAATATTCCTCTTTTCAGTAATTGGTAATGAAGATACCCATACCACACCAATCCAGTTCGTCAACGAGTGCGTTTCCCTTCCGTACTTAGTGTTCCTTCCAGATGAGACACAATTAATAATGCTAAAGTAAGTTGTCACTTTTAACGTAGCGCAATTTTTTTCTTCGTGGCCGTACTAATCTCATCAATAGTTCACAGCGCCATCTTCATCCACTGGCCAAGGTCCACCATCGGCCTCTACGAGGGATCAGATCGGATTCAAGTCTACACCCGAACCATCCCAAAAGTTCAATTGAACGAGGTGAGTACTTCCAAGCCGTTTTGGATCATTCTCTCCACTCCATTAGTGCAGTATATTGCTTATCGATAACGCATTTTCTTGCTAAACCCATTAGGTGATTTATAACATTTCTTTTTTCAGATAGTGCGTGCTTATACCACATCATTCCGGTTGGCCAGTAGTCGACGTCGACGAGTGCTGTTCCCTCCCATGGTTAGTGTCACTTCCAGGCGAGATTCAACAAATAAGGCTAAAGGGTGAGTGTCACTTTTAAAAAAGGGTTGTCAGCACTTTTTCACTTCTCATGTAACTTAGGAATAGGGTAAGTTAACGATTGCGCGGAGTGTTATTGCTCTATAGTGTAATGATATGGTACATTCTCCATATTTTGAAGATATGTTGAATCATACAGTGTGCACTCACAAATTAAGGGGCCAAAAAGTTTTAAATTTTTTAAATGGGACACTCTATTTTTGATTCTAATTTTTAGTTATACATGAAATTCTTTATTTAGTATGTGTAAAACCAACGAAAAAGTTTTAGTTTCAAGGAAAATTCGAATACAATACAAAAATCGCATTTTCAATTTTGATTTCAGGCTTCATATCATTTATTTGCATTTAGTTAAAACTAGATGAACATTTTAATAGAACAATGTTCAGTAATAATGTTATAAATAATAAATAATTAAATAATTATTCGTACAAACAAATGCACAAAGCACACAATTTTATAAACTAAACACATCAATGTTTTTAACAAATACTGTAACGGTAGCTCTAAATTTGAATTTATTTTTTCGAATGTTATAGAGAGGTAAAGTTGACATTTTTGGAGATTGAAGGGCATTACATATCGTAGAAAAAATTAAAGGGTGTCGAAATTTAGAATGTCGATTTTCCAATTACTTAATTGTTTCGCTAATGGAATTTTAAGAGTAAAATTGTAAGCATTGGTGGAAGTGCTGCGTTTTTTTAAATTTCTGTAGAGCAGTTTTCATAATTGACTCCGGATGTCTGGAAACGAGATGACGCAGTAACTAGAGCCACAGTGGGTATCACCTACTACCGAATGACCTCACGCTTATATGAAGCGGTTTGGAGTTAACAAGGCCAATTAAGATACCCATTTTGACCTAGTTACTGCAACATCTCGTCTTCAAACCCCTAGAACTTATTATGAAAACAATGCTCTACAGAACTTAAACTTCGTAGAAAAGAAAATCTTCAATTCCACCAATAAATAAATAAATAAATAAATTCATTGGAAAATCGACTCTCTAAATTTCGTCGCCGTGTAATTTTGTTATAAAATGTAGGCCTACATTGCCCCCCATTGTGTGTTTTATTGCATGAATAATTATTTAATTCTGTACTATTATTTATAATTATGAAAATCAAGAAACTTCGAAAACTATTGAGGATAAGTATAGCACATTATTAATGGCAGAAACCTATATAGGGTGTTCCATTCAACAAAGCTGAGATATGCGAATATGACGGTTGGTAACAAACCCTTACTTAGGGTCATATTAGAACTCCGAGCGATCATTGATACCCCTAGAAGTAAACTTTTTTAGTAGTAACATGTTTTCCACCTTTCTCATGTATTTTTTGTTTCAGGTTCCAGAAGAGCAGCCTTATAAAGGTAGGATCTTTCTTTTATATGCATGGGCTGTTGCATTTTTTTATGTACCTATTTAGCAGTGAAGTGCATTAAAGTGTTTAAAAAGAAGATCAACGACTAATTGTAACTGGCTTTCATATTGTAGTACTAAGTGAGTGATAATCGCCCCTTCCGGGCCTATCAACTTGATGACTTAAGTTTGACTGCAATGATTTTTCGATTGGTCTCTCCCGCGACATCATTCAATTTACGTTACATTAATCGGTATGACTATAAGTTTATAGCCACACCAATTTTGTGAAGTACATTGATTTTTGCGAATTTGACTGTGGGCAATGATTGCATCCAAGGCTTCTGTTACCAAGTTGAATGTCCTGGGGACTGTTATACCTCACTTATTATTACACGAAGGCCAGTTAACGAAAGGTGAGTGATTAAATTACTTTATAATTCATTTGAAACGATGTTCGATGATCTGCTTCTATATTTTTCTACTCTGACGTTAACTGAAATGAACTTACTAAGCTATACTGCGCTCACGTTGCATACGCTATACTTCTATACTGAGGTCCCTTAATGAAAATATATTTAACAGCCGGATACAAGCACCACGAATGCATGAATGAAGCTTCCCGAAACCCTAACAATTTCCGAAGGATTGTCACTTCGAGGGGTCATCAGTGGGAATCTTTATTATAAAGATTCGAACCCCTGAAAATTGACATTTCGCCATTACCATTTTAGAGGTCGTCACCGCCCACAAAATTGTAGAGAGGAAAAATGACAAAATGTCAAGTTTCGGGGATTCGAACTCATAAAAAAGGTTCCCACTGGCACCTCGAAATGGTAACCCATCGTAAATTGTTTGTTATGGTCTCGGAAAGCTTGATGAAGAATTTGGTGCTTGTATCCGGTTGTATAATCTAAAATTACGTCTACGCATAAAACGCACGCCCGCGCCGTCTCGGAACGAATACCAAACCGCGTCGGAAATAGTGTATGTGTAGTGGTAGTGTTTTCGGTACTGGAAGAGATATGGCAATCTTTCTAAGCTCCTCCTTAACTTAGAAGAATGCTATAGATCACTGGTACCATAAAACGGTAAGTGAGCTTTCGGGGGTTCAGTGGGACTACTTGAGCCACCTGCGGATGGCCAACGCCCCACCTCCACCTTTATTTAAAAATTGAATTACTTTTACTCTTCTGTAATTGGTGGTTACACATCATTACACAGCCACGCTTTTCCCCTCACCACAGTGCGCTAGTTTGGAGCGCACCAATAGCCGATGTCATCCTGGCATGGATCAGTACGTGTTTAAACCATATCCATCCACCCACGGTTGTGAAACAAAGAATAGAAGTAGGAAAGTTCACCTTTTTGCTCCTGGTATGTCGTCTCACCTACTGTGTCGTTTCCTAATTGAAGAAAATTTCAGAAAAAGGTTTTGGATGAATGAAATTTGCCGATCCGCGGATTCGCCGTAAACTCGTCTAACTTCGTACGGAAAAAAATGGTTTGTTTCCATGAACTTTTAAATCCCGAATGACATGACAAATGCTATTTCAGCTATTCATTGGTGTGAAGATTGGGAACGTGGGTTTTTCGCAAACACGCCGGCTCTCACAACTCTGTCCTATCCGTGCAGGTATACAAGGAAACGAAGAAGCTTATGGACGTAGACGTGATCCTCGCACAAATGAAGGTAACCCTTTCACATATTTCCAAGTGTCTTACTCTCAAAAATCGAATTTTGAACTGCACCCATCTAGGTAAATTAATAATTTCTGCACTAAAGATACACCTTTCCTTTGCATTTGTTTAAGTTTTCGAAAGATTGAAACCTTATGCCTGCAAATTCTGCAAATGAAAAGCTCTGTAGTTTACGACCCAGCCATTTGAAAGCTTTTATAGTTTGCGACCAAGAAATATCTGCATTAAAAAGGTCAAAATTTAATACTCTTGCTTAACAGAGCTAATGAGTCTTTAAAATTGAATTTTTGAAATTTTAAGCTCTTAGAAACTGCTTGAAAGTACAGATTTTGGGAAGTGCAACATCTGCAAATTAAAAACTTTAAAGTCTGCGGTCAAAAAATTGAAATATCCGGTCGGGCACTTTGAAAAAGAGTTATATACACGGACGGACGGATGGATCAAAACTATAAAGGCTCTGAGGACACAGACACAGACGAACGGACAAAAAGTCTACATGATCAAAATTTAATTAAATACCTATTACCTACTGAAAACGGAATTTGAAAATTCCAGTCCGTTCGCGGGTTATCATGTACCCAGACGGGCTCTTTAATTAAAGTTAACGTAATTCCAACTTTTAGTAACGAGCGACAAAAAGCGAGCTCATGATTTTGGACTTTCTGTCCGTGCGTCCGTCCGTCTATGTAGGTACCTACATTATCTCACGAACGCTTTCGAATTTTCCAATAATTCTGTTTTGAGTAGCATGTGCGCTGGTTTATCACAAATTTCTTAAGCCCCCCCCCCCCCCTAGAAAAATATCCGCTACCCCTGCCACTTCACTCTGGAAACGGGCCCGGGGGAACCCATGATACTATAATAATCAGATATGCTCATGCGCACGCGAGCGCATCTATAATGACGTCACTGGGTGACAAACGAATTACTGGTAACATGATAATAGTATCATGCCATAATGACAGCTTGACAGTAGCGATCATCATGGGGGGAACCCCTTTTGCAAAGCGCGGTGGTCTTCGAGGGGTAGTCGATTTCGGACGCTAAAAACTCATTCTCCGCTGCGAATTTTGTCACGCGATTTAAAATTTCTGAAAGCTCGAATCGTGGTCTCTCTTTCTCGTGTCGCCAATAGAAACCGAGCTATGAGAAATGCCACAAAAATTTAGTGCTACTTTGTGGAGCGGTTTTAGCGGAATCCACAAAAATGGCGGATTTTATGATTGTGGGGACGTCAGAAGTGGGTACTGACAAAGGGACTGTGGTAGTCTTTGACAAGATGGAGGCAAAACTGGCTAATAGAATACCGATACAAAAAAATGCGGTCCCTTCCATCTCAGACAACGACTTTGATCATTTTTTTCCTTGGGACCTTTTTAACTTTTGTGTACAAAAAGCTCCTATTTAAAATATATTTTCTTAGATTTCAAAAAAACTATTCTGTAGTCTGTACAAGTGAGAAAATTTAGTCTTTTTCATTTTAATAATGGTTCCAAGCAGTGTTTTTAATAAATAGTCATTAGAGTGGGCATGCACCCACTTAAGACCCTGCCATCGGGGAAAAAATAGGACAGTATAAATAAGGTCTTACTTTCAATTACATTCTAAATGTTTTATGTGAAAAGTAGCTATAACAATGCGATATAAGCCTAGATTTCATTTACAAACAAATTCAATAACGTTATTGGTAATTAATCCTAAATCTAAATACTAACAATAAATAATTAATTATCAGTATTGGTCTTCTGAGCACCATCGTTTGCTGTACTTTCTTCGCCTTCCAGAAATTTATCCCACTTCTCAATCCTCTGAGTAATCTGCGAATCCGTCTCGGCAATTTTGTATTTGGTCCTCCCATCCCATATTTCTGCGAATAATTTTCTCTTCCCAAACCACCTTCCATTCAACAATTGAACTACAGCATCGGCCTCCTCTGGTTCTTTCATATTAACTTGGGCCACACCTTCCGGATGTTGATCGTACATGATGACCTTCTTCACTGTGCCGCACTTGGAACATTCCTCCCGTAAATCCTGTTGAATCTCCAAAATTAAGCTGACATCGGCATCAAACATGCTCGGTACAAATACGTTGGTTAAAATGACGACCTTCTCGTGCTTCGCCCTTTCGCCGCGCATCTTCTCCGGTCTCCAATCGAATAGTTTCTCCTGCATACGCTTCAGCTTCTCCCTCTCCTTCTTCTTGCGTTTCTTCGGCTTTAGCTTAGGATCGAAGGCTCCTTTCATTTGAAACTTTGCACGTTCAAGTTTCACCTTGTTCCCTTTTAGATCGGAACCGTCAAGTAACTGTAACGCCAGGTTTACCGATTCTATCCGAATGTACGTGCATAGGGCGTCACCCTTGAAGGATTTCGTTTCGGGATCTATGTACAGTTTCACCTTCATTTTGCCCGTCGATAGATCTCTCATTACGAGTCCACATTTCTGCATGAATTCAACAAACTCGTCTTCGGTCAGGGACAACGGAAGGTTGGTGACGTACACGTTGGTGTTATGCTCGTCGTCTACATCGAACCACGTCGGCTCAGGAGGCGGTGCCTTACGTTTGGGTGCTTGCTCGACCTTCTCGGGTTTTTTCTCCACTTCCTTGGTGATAACTTCGTCTGCTTTAGGGGGCGCCTGTTCGTTCTGGACGAATCCATAGTTCAGTTGATACATTGCCATAAACTCGTCATCCAGTTTCGGAAACCACGCATTCTTCTGAGTGTCCCAAAAGTATTTGACACCATCGCTGTCTGTGTATGTGTGTGTATCGTCTTCGAACCCATACGTTCTGCTGTCACGAAGCACCCACTCTTCCTTCTCAGTGGACCAGGTGTATTGGTATTTCGATTCTGGGTCAGTAAATACGGCAACACCATCTTCATAGTGGATGTTGTCCTTGTGATCTGCACTTTGCGGGGTGGAGTCTTGTGCTTCCTGCTCTGGCTTCAGTACCCAATTTTCTTCTAATGGAGGTTCCTTTTGTGTCTCTGGTGTATTTACTTCCTCTACATCTGCAGTATTTACATTTTCAGTATTTACCTCTGACGCCATTTATGTCACATTTTAGGTTATGAGAGGGGCAGCATTCCATATTCCAAAACTGTATCATTGAAAGTAATGTACACGGTGGTGCAAAAAAAATTTACAAAACAATACAGATTGTTCGCACTTATGAATCAAAACCAACAAGCGTTCGCAGTAGCGTAGCAAGACGTTTGTGGGCCTGTGTGCCACTGGGATTTAGGGGTCCCTCATATTCTTTGATTATTCAAAATTTAAATGTTCTTTTGACTCATTTAGGTTCTAAATGTCATCAATTTTTTTAATTTGTGTCTGTTAGTGCCTTATTTGAACAAATGTTTCAAATAGAATAATTTTTATGATAATCAAAATGAACCAAAACCGTTTAAAAAATAAATAAATAAAATTTGTTAGGCCACATACAATACTATTCTCTGTACCGTTGGATGTCTTATTAGTGGGTTTATAGTTTATACAATCATTATCAAAAATCGTTTAGAAATAGCCAATAGAAACACAATTAAGGTTTATTGCGCGTTGCTAACCAACAAACCATCCTAAGCTTAGTCCCACCATTGCTCTGGGTAGGGTACTCTTTGCTTTTATGGGAAAAACCCGCGGCGGTCTGGCGTGTTTGGAATACAAATACGGACTTTTGCTCTACTACTATGACTCGTGTAGGTTTACCATATATGGATAATTATTGCGTGAATTCAAGGACCCGAAATGTTCCCTAGAAGCAAAGTAAGTGCCGGTGCACACAAAGCGTATTTTTACCGGAACATTGGCATTGTTTGAGACGCATGGTGTGTATGGTAATGAATTACAGAATGCGGCCAAAGCAAGGGGCAAAGGTTGTCTTGTGGTTATCTGTCGGTAAAATAGATAGCGGAAGTGACAGCGGTGGACAGTTTATTTTTGCTCACTTCTACGTGTGGGTTTGTTTTCTTTAAATAAAAATCGAAGGGAAGTGCCTCTTTTAAATCCATTGCAGTGCAAAAAGAGTACGGTCGGAGGTGGAATAAATAGTGTGGGAAATGTGCAGCACGTGCAGTAATAAACATTTCACATTAATTTAAGTATTGTGGCCTTGTGTAATTGGAAGTTACACACCCATCTACTCTTATCTTATTAGTTCTTACCGACAGCGTAATTTAATTTAAATACAAAATGCAGGCGATTAAATGTGTCGTCGTGGGCGATGGGTGAGTTTTTCTTTTATATGTGCGGTAATCATATGCTTAATTTTCGAGAACTTATCCCAGATGTATGTTCCCTCTGTTTACCTTGAGCTAGAAAAAGATAAAGGATAGGCGCGATCGGAAAATGAACCAATTTTTTAAAATAAGTTTTAAGCCTTTGCTTATTTATAAAAATTGTGTCATAATGTTCAATGTCGAGTGTATAAATAATATTCGTTTTTCAGTGCCGTCGGAAAAACATGTCTCTTGATCAGCTACACGACGAACGCATTCCCCGGCGAGTACATTCCGACAGTATTCGACAACTACTCGGCGAATGTAATGGTGGACGGCAAACCGATCAATTTAGGCCTGTGGGATACGGCCGGTCAAGAAGATTACGATAGGTTACGTCCGTTGTCGTACCCCCAGACCGACGTCTTTCTCATCTGTTTCTCTCTAGTTAATCCTGCATCCTTTGAAAACGTTCGGGCAAAGGTAAGGAGAGTTTCTATAAATCTAATTAGGAAGTGATTCACAATGATGATTCAATTTTTTAGTCTTCTTTTCCCGACTGAGTTTAATCTGATGTTAAACTTTTGAACTGATTACAAACTTAATTAAGCTAACTAGACGGCGTACGTTTCGCAAATTAACGCAGTTTCTTTTTAGTGGTACCCGGAAGTGAGACACCACTGCCCGAGCACACCAATTATTTTAGTAGGTACCAAGTTGGATCTGCGCGACGATAGGGCGACCATTGAAAAATTAAAAGATAAAAAACTAGCGCCAATTACGTATCCACAAGTGAGTATGTCGTAAAATTTTAATAAAGTGCATATTTCTGTCTCGGATATTTCCATTTACCGTGTTGCATAAGATATTAAAATGTGAAATGGCTTAATCATCGAGTGTGAAATTCTTGGTCTGATAATTACTGCTATCTTTGTGGCACCGAGCCACTTCCTGGCTCAATATTCTTTCCTGACCACATCAAAAGGGACGGAAGTGCAATGTTTTTCCTTAAATTTGTGATTTGAATTTTTTTATTGCTTAAGATAGGTATACATTTTCAACTGAATCACTACAGGTAGTATAGTATCGTAATGTCACATAAAATTATATTTGCTAAATTTTTCGTATCTTGTATTCGTATCGTAAAAGAGATATTGAGGTGACCCTCTGATATCGAACGCACTGTATATATTTAATAAATACCGAGATAAATACATTTAAATCCAATAAATAAGTTAGATCCTATTACATACACTCAAATCCTTTTAATTACCCCATAAAATCCATTAAATACACTTAAATAATCCAATTGTATTTCGCTAAATAGCAAAAATACTTTAAACAATGGAATTGGTACTATTGATTCTATAATACGCAATCGTGCTTAGTGTTTAGTAAAAAAGCAGAGAGTGCCTTTTAAAATTATGGCTCGAGATCTCAATTGCATCTCCAGTGTGGCCCAAATTCCAGCATGAGTCACTCTCGTAGTCGATCTTTCATGCGTGTTGTATCTTTCGCATAATTATCACTGAATGGGATTGGGATATAGAAAAATTTCCAAAATTTTAGCGAACAATCCAACAACTGAATTTCTTAAAAGTCAATAGAGAGTATCAAAACAGTTTTTATTATAGGCGACATGTGCTCTTTTTGGGTCAATCCCAAGTGGCACAATCAAAACTTGAAAATTTCGCTCACTTTAAGAGATACGAGAGAAAATCAAACATTGTCAATATCAGAATGACCCAAGAGTCACGAAAAAATTATTACAAAAGTACTTGCTGAGTAATCTGCCCTTTTGAAAATAAGGACCTACCCTCATTTTTTAGATATAACACCCTGTATATTTTAAATTCTAAAACGGTAGCATTTTAAATTTTACACATTAAATAGGGATAATATTAAAAAAATTCAAAATGATTAAAAAATAATTTAAAAAATTTGAGAATGGTTCAAATGAATGATAAAAAAAACAAAAAATTAAAAAAATGTTTAAAAAAAATCTTTTCGAACTAATATTGAATTTGTTTAAATTTCTTTAGTGTTATAATTTTGGAAAGCGAATTTAATATGCTCTTTTTCGAATAAAATATACAGGGCGTTCCACTAAAAACAAATGAGGTTTCCTATGTCCTATAGGTTTTTATCTGTCACTACTTATTTCGAAAACTGCTGATAATTCAACAGTCATTATAAGTCATAATAAAGGAACTTGTAAGCAACATCTTTCTAGATATTATGAATCAATCATTCTCTAACGTTTCATAAATTTGGCGAAAAATATCATAATTGACGTTTTTGATTTTCCCCTGTACCTCATTTTTTAAATTGATGACCATATATATTTTCATCAAAAACTATCATATTAAATTCTCTTTTCCAAAATGTAGCACTAACAAAATTAAAACATATTGATTCAAATAGATTTAAAAACCCTAAAGATTCAAAAAAAATTTCGAAATTTTGTATTTTTCAAATCATTTTTTTTAAATCTTTTTTGAATATCATCCCTAGTGTATGCTACATTTTTAGATTATTAAATAATACAGGGCGTTCCATTTAAAAAGTAAAGTTATATCTGATAACTTTTTTACTTAACCCTGTATACTTACTTTTCATAAACATTTTTCAGTGTATCTTTTAACCAAGAAGATAAGGGTCGTAATGAAAGCCATAATTTTTTATTTATTTAGTATATTTTAAAAACGTTTTCAATTTTGAATTTACCATTTTCAGTTTGACCCAACAAGACCACCTATTGGCACTAACAATTACGGAGATACCCTATAAAAGTGTCGAAAATAAGACATTCTGTACTTACTTATTATTATTATACCTATACAGGGTGTATCATCATATTTCGAGTTAAGTATAGGGATCTCGCTTATTAGCATAGATAGAGAGTTGGTTAAATGGCTCGTTAAATGGTCAAATCAAGAAACAAAATTTACCCCCATCTCTAAAGTTTAATAAATATGGCAAAAAACATCATAATTGACGTTTTTGATTTTTGGCTTTAAAATTGTTATTTGGGGAGGTGTTTATCAACCAAACAGACTTTCTTGGGGAACTTTTTTTGTTCTTTTAGATTATGGAGATAAATTTTCGTTATCATTAATAATTAATTTTATATTGATACTAACTTTTGTTTTTCATATGGGAGCCATTTTAAAGTTTGTCATCTGATAGAGAAAAAAACCGTGATTTCAAATATTTATAACGTTTAAAAAAACCAAAAAAGTTAAAAATTAAAAAAAAACATTTTGAGTGACATTTTAGTCAATTGGAACATTAATTTTAGTTAAATTCCGGTTTTTATTAAAAAAATTCGATTGTTCATGCATATTATCTGATTTCAAAAATGTATAACATGTTTTTTTTAATTTATTTTATTTTAGTAAGTGTTAATAATAGTAATATGCATGAACAATAAAATTTCTTTAATAAAACCCCCACATCAAGAGCATTTAAGGGAAAATCTGTTCCAAATTCAACCAAATCGATCGGGTAGTTTCGGCTGAACCTTGTTTACTAGAATCATGCCACATGCACACACACAGCACTTTTTTGGACGCCTGGGACCTTAAAACGTAAACATCCGGTAAAATGGGTGATTTCAGTAAGCTCCCAATTTTTCATTGGTGAGATTAATAGATTTCAAAATTTTTTTTTGAACTGAAGTGTCACTTGTTTTTCAGTGTCACTTGTTTCTGTAGTTGGGAAATTTCCTTATATCTCGATTAATATTATCCTGTTTTGACTTCACAGTTAGTTATCATTTGTTAGTGGTTAATTTAAGATTAGTATACAGGATGTTTACATAATTTAGGGTAGGTCAATTTTGGGTAATGTAGGTAGAATTTTCCACAGGGTAAATTTTGTGTGGTTACGTAGGGAGAGGAATTTTTTCACATCGTAGCGTTTTATAATTTTAACAATTCGCAGGAAAGTGATTGAACTCGATTGAATTAATTACGATTGTTGTAATCGGCTTGTGCGATGGGTGGGGGGTTCTTGTTTGTTTCATATGGGGGCGTAATATTCTTGTTGACTCCCGTATATTTATGTTATTTGAATACTATTGTGGGATGGATACATGCTTGAATATTATACCACCCAACTATTTTTCCTATCTCATGAGCTATCTGTAGCTTTTAAATCTGGTTTACTCCATAAAATGTTCTTATGCCACGAGTGCGGATTTATCCGAATTATTTGAAAGATATGAAATGCAATTAATTGCTATTTTTAGTAGAAATAAGACACTAATGTCCTCGTGAAATCATTCACAAAGACGCTTCTTTTCAGGGCTTAGCTATGGCGAAAGAAATTAGTGCGGTAAAGTATTTGGAGTGTTCGGCTTTAACGCAAAAGGGCCTGAAGACGGTATTCGACGAGGCGATAAGGGCGGTCCTCTGTCCGGTAATGCAAGTGAAACCTAAACGCAAGTGCATAATTCTCTAAAAAAAAAACATACACACTCAGTGCGACATCTCTATTTTGTTGGCTATTGCTTATCGAAGGCCGTAATGACGGAGTTTGATGCGAATATTTAAAAAAAAAGGTAAATAACGTGGGTAATTGTGATCTATTTTTAAAATAATGAATTTCGTACACGTCGGCGATTTATATCAATTATTGTGTGCTAAATTTAGTCGAATAGCGAGGCCGGCGTGTGCAAATTATGTTATTAAATGATGTAAAAAATTAATTGGAAAGCCTAATTTTAATATATTATTTATATTGAGATAATTTTTGATAAAACTGCCGATTGTACTGTTTATGCAGTGTGATTCATTAGTAACAAACCTACCCGAAAGATAATTATTAATGTCAAATATGGTTCTACGAATGCATCACCCTGTACATAGACACCGATACTTAATTTGTTTGATCTATTAATGCACAAACGTCGCTTTATTTCATAAAGACCAGTTCGTATAAACTAATTGTTAATTAATATATGGTGTAATAGTTGTAATTACGACTGTTATCTTACTAATATGATTATTGTACAGTATGTTCGTCGCATAATTTTGAAATTTCTAAAAACTGAACGTTGCTGTGCAATAATGTACTAAGTAAATAAAAGGGTTAAAATTGTTTATTAGCTGTTTTTAATAAATTTTATTAAATACTTTTGTATTAAATGCTAATTACTATGCATATTATGTTGAAGCGCAGCCAAAAATTGCAACTAGCGAAAACTGACAGTTTAATTTCGATGTTAATTAAAAAATAAGAAAAGTAAAACATCATTACTTCATGGTTAAGTGTGATTTCAAATGTTGTATTAACAGAAATATGTGTGCATTTTGTAAATACTAAATATTAGAACGTATAAGATTTATAGAAATAAAATCTTTCTCACAAGTTTTATTTTTACTTATGTAATTTTGATGGGGCAAGTGTGTAGGCGTTGATTAATGATTGGTTGCGTATCTTAAAATCCATTTTAATTTGGACAGTACCAACATCGCGATGCATTCAAATGAATTTCTTTTTTTGTGTCTATCTCATTCTATAAAAATTCAATATTGCGTCCATAAGAAAGTAGGAGCCTGTAGTTCCTGCATCTAGCGTCTTAGGGAAATTCTGATTGTAGATTCAGATCCTCAGAAAAATGCCTGTAAAAGGTGTTAACGGAAATTGTGCATTTTAAGCCGTTTAAGCTAAGGAAAATGAAAACGTCATTTGGAATTTTTCGTTTATATAGATCTTCTAGTCACAAAAAGATACAATGGAGAGCTACGAATGTAAGAACGAAAATTAATTCTTATTTTTTACAGTTTCACTGCTGCTATCCATGATCTTCTCCAATACTTTTGTAACCTTATCCCTGTATGTTTTTCTAGGTCTTTTGTGTCTCATTCTTTGCAGAATAGATATCCAAAGCATCTTAACTGCTTTCCTTCGATTAATTCCTGTGCCCTTCTAATTCTTTGCTTCATTTCACATCTTATGGATTCCGTTAATTCCGTCCACGCTTTATAAGTACTTCATGTCAATAGCTTGTAACTTGTTCTCTGTGGCCTAAACATTTTCTCATTCTCATTTTGGCTTTGCTTTTCTGGAATGATGCAATAGCACTTCCGTTTATCTACTATAGTGCTAAATACGCCACCCCTTCCAGCTTCACCGCTTCGGAATATCGTGTTGTTCTTTCCGACAGGTTTTGACTTAATAAGAGAGTGCGCTGGGATTATTCTCCAAAACGTTGGAGCAACTGGTTCTGAAACATCTAAAATAATTTCACCCTTCAACATAACGCTCAGCGGACGTCTCCCTTAAAGCGGTTCAACCGCTTGGTGCACTATTGGTTCATCTTCTGAACAGATTTTCAGTTTTCTAGCTTGAGCTAAGTGTCAAAATTTCATGAAATGTCTGCGTTTTAGATCAACTTTTGAAAAAGAACATTTTTTCCGTCTGTAGGTATGTTTGTACGCTGACAATTATTTTCCGGCATTCGGCGATGATTCTTTGTTGCAGTGGGTATTCAAAGTGTATTTAAAATTGGGAAAGATAATTTTTGTAACGCCCTGTATATACCAAGGAACTGTATATGATTTACATAAATGTAACCTAACCTCAAATTGTAGGTTATGAAACGTATTTAAAATGTACATTTTGTTTATGATTTATTTTAATTAAAAATGGAATCAAACACCAGCAAGACGAGCTCGTTGCAGGCTCTACTTTTAAGAGCGTGGCGTGAAAGGTGGACCGATCTACAATGGGGCATTAACATCAAAACGATACTGCCCCGAGGAGTTAGTGGTGATGTGTACAATTTGGCCGATTGCATCCTTCAACAGGCAGTTGTCGGTTCAGGGGCCAATCAACTCGCTCTCAGCTACCTTAAGCATTCACTAAGTGTTCAACTAGTTTCCCATGCCGCAGTATTACAACATATCAGTCAGTACTCGCAGTTACAAAAGACACATTGCGTGTATAGCCTGTTGGAGTTTTTGGAAGGGGTGTTTCCTGGCATAACTTATTGCGGTAAGGCCGAGGAGACGGCCCTCGCCACCGCGTTGCTGTCCATTGCGTCCTGGTTGTTGCAGGTGTTATTAAATTGCTATTCGACTCCGCAACTCTTAGAAAAGGCCAATTCGCTTATCAAGACACTGCTTCAGTCCGAATTTTACATTGCCATGATGTGCTTATCACGTTACAGTGAATCAGGTTAGTACGTAATTGCCACAGTTTCAAATGAATCGTCAATTACTTCCAGAGTTGTTTTGTGACGTCACGAAAAAATGCGAGGAGGTCGAAGCGTGCCTAGCCGACAAGGAGGAAATACTCGAATCTGTGCGTCTGTTAAAAAAGTTGGACGTCGCCAGTTTGCCGCTACCACCGAAGTCCGACAACGGTCCCGGCTGTCTCGTTCAAGCGTGGATGGCGATTCAGCTCGTACAACAGCCCGGGAGTCCCACTCAAGTATTAGTCCGCCAGTTGCGCCTTATACAACGTTTAAAAGGATACACCGACGCGCGTCTTTACTCGGAATTAATGAGGGCCAGCTTACTTTCGTTGCAAAACGTCAGTCAGACACCTCACGAAAGCCAGTGGGGCGCGTTTGCATTTTTAAAAGTTCCGCATGTCATAGCGGCGATGGTCGACAAGGCGAACTGCTTGCCCGTGGTTTCAGCGATTGAACTCCTCTTACAGCACGCGCCCCTAATCGACACTATGGACGCACGTTGCTCGTGTTCGTGCCTCGAATGTCTACTGGGCGAACTCGAGAAGGCACGTTTGCTAACCGATATCCAAGTCGAGATGTTTATACAAAGACGGGACGTGCCCAAGTCGATCAAGCTCGATACGGCCCCCGCGACAACCGGGATTCCCAAAGTAATCATTTGCGCCGAACCTACACTGACGGGCATCGTGAAAACGTTATCGACGGACTACCACCAGGAAGCGCTACTGGGCATGCTTCACCAGGTGTTAACCGGGAAAAGTTTCGAGTTGATACTGGCCGTAGCCACCGTTGAAGGACAGTTACGGACTTTAGCGACGCGTTTAATTCGGTTTAATGAGTGCTCGAAAATGGGAGGCGACAAGGCGAAGGCGCAATTATTCGACATTAGCTTCCTTATGTTGGTCTCGATCGTACAGAATTACGGGGCGGAAACGGTCTTGGAACCCGGCGGTGATTCGACGCTGGAACAGTGGGTTAGGGAGTGTATGGTGGAAGTGAATCGGCCGAAGCCTCCCGAGCAGCTGTTGCGGTTATCGGATCCGATTTTCGTCGATTCACTGTTGCAGCAGTTTAATGTGGGCGAATCCGACTTTAAAAGCCCGGTGAAGTGGCAGGAAGTTTTGTTTAATATGGCCGGGGTAATGAAGGAGGTACTGGTCGCTTGGGAGCAAGGTGCGTTGGCACCGGCCGACGTAAAACGTATTTTAGATGCGGTTCGCGGACGAATGTGCTGTCTACCCGTGGCCGCGGCCGCTTGGCTTTGCGCCTACATGCGAACTGCACCTCAAGACACAATCCTGAAACCGGTCAACATGGTTCAGCAATTACTATCGCCTCCGATTGCCGAAGACGACAGTCTCAGGGAGCGTTGGCAGCTGTCCTGCGAGATAATACGTAAAATGCAAAGGGACCTGCAACTGCCGCTTCAGGCAAAAAGCGTCGGGAATATGGTGTTTCGTCAGCCGGCCACCGAGCAACTTCACAACGCCTGGCTGAAGGCAATTTCTAGGGGATGGCTCGATCATAATTCCGGAAGAAACATGCAGTGTCTCTTGGAAATGGCCGGAGCGAGGTGGATGGTTGCCGCGATTGTTCAGGAATTACTACAGCTACGCGATCGCGATGAACTAGAACGTGGTGTCGATTTAGCGCTGGCAATCTTTCAACTTGACATTGAGGCGTGCGCTCGAGATCTACTGTCACATGTTTTACCTCAGCAGTTACACAACAGTCTGCAGTCCGATACGTTGATAGAACCACAACTTTCTGCTTTGGCTCGCTTGGCCAGTTATGTCACATATTCTGCTTGTGATCTATCGGTGAAAAGTGAGGTAAGATAAACAAAATTATTGGGTAAATCGGTCATGAAGAATCGTTGGAAAATATTTTCAAGTTCTAAAAATGACCACCAGCGGGCGTAACTGCCATTTTAAATTCTAAGATTGAATTTTCTTTAAATTTCGCATAATAAACTAAACATTCTTTTTTCACATTTTTAAAGAGGACCAGTTTATCTATCATTTTCGTAAAAACAAAAACAAAGATGGTGTGGGGCGTTCAATTGTTTTTGCAATAACCTGCTGTAACTTCTTAACCATTTGACCGATTTTAACAAATTTTGTATGGTTGAAAAGAGCATTCCTTGGGAAACAAGAATTAAGAATATAGTTAATTTCGTTGAATCCTTGCCTGCCGGGGGGCTTGACACTATGATCCAAAATCCTCAAAAATTCAAAAAACTGCACTTTCTGAGTGTAAACACAGCAGAATAATTTACAAATTACGGCTGTTATTATTTTATAATGCATCGTATTTCATTTGTTTAATTTTCCAAGGCCTACCTAAGAGTGGTGCTTTTCTTTCGCGCCATCGACAAATACCGGAAATATATAAAAAGTAAATTTAAGATACAAGTTAAGCATTTTTATTAATTAATTAATTATTAATTAATATTTGAACCTTTCTTAAATGTTTTAATTCATTTTGAATTTTTTTTAATCACTTGTGTTTTCCCCTCGATTTTCCCTATCTATTGCGATTACGTTATACAGTGTGTCCCAGATCGGGTGGGATTGCATGGGTAACTTGCTTATTATTAAAGATAGAGAATTGGTTAAATGGACAATGTTTTGCGGTTTTAGATGCTTATTTAATATTTCCTTGTGGAAATTCAAAATGTCGAATAGGTTCGACGTAAATAAAAAAAAACTAAAATTGGTCATTTCCTTTAATGTCTTATATCATCGAAAGTATGAGAGATATAAAAAAAAGTGTTATATAAAAGTTACTGTCTTTGATACGCCTAATTTAGAATTGATGACAAACCAAATTTCAAGATGGCTACCTTTGAGGAACACTCACCAACTTCCTAAAGTTAAATAGGCGCCATATTGGATTTTTAGATTATTTGATAGATTTTTGAATTCTCTTTTCAACTAGCTATCATAGCATAAGATTGAAAATAAGATACCAGTTATATCAACGGTTTTTGTATTTTAATCATAAGTAGGCTATGAAAATAATTACATCACATGTTTAAAATCTGGCCATTATTAGTGAAACACACTTCAAGACTGTTTGCTTTAGGCAACGTGTCGCCTCACGTGTTGCCGTTGATACTATAACACGCCTTTAGAACGGCTTCGCGCAGTTGTGTTATTATTACCTATTAGTTTAGTAGCTACGAGTACTTCCATATACTTTATTCTTTAATGTACAATGTACACAATTTGTGAATTGTGACCTGGACAACCAGCTCAATTGTTGGTAGGTAGGTACCATAAACCAACCCTTTCTGCGAAACATACGTTGTCTGGAAAATCCTTTAAGGAAGTTTATTGGAGAATTTGTAATTAATGGTGAGTAGTTATTAAAGTTCCATCGAAGATTACTGGTTCAATTACATGACTTTCCATAATGCCATATAATACATTAATTTAAAATCTTAAATGATTTTGGCGTGAAACTCATCTAGGCTTTCCTGTGACGAGTAGTGTTCATTATGTCGATTTGAACACTCCACAGAAAAATAAGATTCATCTGTCCATATACTCAAACTGGTAAAACTGTGAGTTTCGATATTCTTACGGATAAACCACCTACATAATGTGACCTGGGACAATATCAATGGTAATACATTGTGTAAAGTAAATCGATTATCAAAGTGTCTTGAAATGTGTTTAACTGGATAATGGTATGGCATTTTTTCGAGGGGATAGTCTGTAGTTATACCAACATTTTGTAGGTATATGAGTATCGATAATATGATAGTCAATAAGTGACGTCATAAAAGTCAAAATTTTTCTACGCCTACTTATATAAAATTTTGGAGGGAGTAACGCCCCAACTCCTCTCCCATGAGTGCGCCCCTGATATTTTAAACATCTGATGTAATTACTTTCATCGTTTTGTTGCCTCGAATAGATTTTGTTTTGTTTTTTTTAAACTCATCATAGCCTACTTGATTGAAATACAAAAACCGTTGATATAACTGGTATCTTATTTTCAATCTTATGCTATGATAGCTCGTTGAAAAGAGAATTCAAAAATCTATCAAATAATCTAAAAATCCAATATGACGCCTATTTAACTTTAGGAAGTTGGTGAATGTTCCTCAAAGGTAGCCATCTTAAATTTATTTTTGATATCATTTCTAAATTAGGCGCATTAAAGTCAGTAACTCTTATATAAAACTTTTTTTATATCTCTTGTACTTTCGATGATATAAGGCATTAAAGGAAATGATAAATTTTAGTTTTTTTGAATTTACGTCGAACCTATTCGACATTTTGAATTTCCACAAGGAAATTTTAAATAAGCATCTAAAACTGCAAAACATTGTCCATTTAACCAATTCTCTATCTTTCATAAGAAGAAAGTTACCCATACAATCCCACCCGATCTGGGACGCACTGTATATTAAAAAAGAAAATGTTAATATGCTATCTTTTTAAATTAAAGTAGACAGGGTCTTCTATTTGTTTTGCGGACATCGTTTATGTAACCTATTTTGAAAACGGCAGATTACCCAGCAAGTAATTTTGTAATAAACATTTTTTCGTGTCTCTTTTCATTCTGATTGACTATTTTTGATTTTCCCTTGTATCTCTAAGCGAGCGAATGGTTTCAAATTTTGATTGTGCCATTTTTTAACATTGGCCCAAAAAGAGCACATGCCACTTAATTTGTCTTTTGGTATGTGTGATTTGAGTGGGCCACCCCCCATATTAGATTTATCAGATTGTATAGAACTTGTTCCATTGAAATACTCTTCTTTTTAGCACATTTCCACAAACATAAAAACATGTACTATTGTGGCCACTTTGTCCGTCTCTAGTTCTTCCACTTTTTTCGCTATTTGGTTCGTTATGCTGTCAATGTTTGCACCAAGAAAGGAATTTTTTCTGTACCGTTTACGAAAAAAGTTATGGTAAAAAACCCATTTTTTTTCATATATGCATTATGTACCATAATTTAACAATTTTATTATGCCGTTTATGAACGATCCTCGAGATTGTATTTTATTGCTGTCTGTCTGTATGTCCGTCTGTCAGTGTATCTGTTTGTCCGTCCGTATGCACAATAGCTTTTGTATTTGCGCAATCCATGTTTTTATTTGTTAAATATTTAAATGAAACTTTGTATGTAGGTTGTAGATATGTAGATGGCGACCTCGACTAAAAGTAAAACTAGTGCAGAGTCAAAAAATATGTTGGGCGCATCCGCAATCGGATTTTTTTTATTTGTCAAGTTATTTAAATGAAATTTTGTATGTAGGCACGTCGAATAAAGGTGTTAATGCCAAATCAAATAATTTGTTTTGCGCATGCATGTTTTAGGGTAGGATTTTTTTGAAGCAGCAACGTCAAAAATGGATTGCACATGTGCAACACTAACTTTCTTATTTGTGACCGGATTTTTACGTAATTTTAAGTTTAATAAGTTTGCTTGCATCTTACAGTATGGGAAATGAATGCGATTGTAATGCGCCGTAATGTATTGCATTTAACTTTTTGTAAATTTAATCCATCTCACACTCCCCTTTATACTTTCAGGAAGTAGTTCCACCACCCGCCAAGTTTCCTCGTTTACTAGAAAGCAGCGGTTCGGATTCGATTACAGTACCGCTCCGCCATTTACTTACCGCACTAGAAGGTACAGTACAAGATGGCCAAATAACTCAACAAACCTACTTCGCATTCCAATTATTATTTTACCTCGTCGACGTGCGTTCGAATAGCACGCCGCTAATTTTAGCAGCCATACCTCCGGCGCTAATAGCCGATCTTTTAAGAACGCTACCGGAATTATTTAATTCGCCACTTCTACTACATTTACATGATGTAAGCACGCAATCGGGAAGGACAAATATGGCAAAAGATCTTTGTATGTTACGAAATTATCAATTAAGAAAGAACGTTTATACATCTTAATTAAACTATTTATTTAAGGATAATTGTGTCAGCCAATAATTTATTAGGGGCATATCGTGACTTTGTACACCTAAGGCTTGGAGTAACTGAGGGTTGGTGCCTTTACTCCAATGTATCGATTGTGCAATATGCAACCACTTCAAAACTATTCCATTTATGTAAGGTACAAGAGCACTGTCCGGCAACTGTTCATTTTTTAGGCCCTTTTCAGCTACAACCACTAAGGTGGGCATTCGCGGAGGAAGCTGACCTGACCATTCAGCCACCCATGCACCATCGTTTCTTAAACGACAAACAGGTGCACTATGTAGTGGTGTAAAATTAACCGGCAGTAAAATTTTGAAACCGTCCTCAACAAGAGAATTGTCAATTTCCATTCGGTAACCGGTCACAGTGCAGAAGCATGCCACGTGAAATACACTCTCCTCCCATTCCATTGCTAACTTCCGAAGAACGGAAGGCGAACGAAATGGAGGCAACGGTAGACCTACGCTCGGTTTCTCAACCACGGTCTCACAGCTCAACATCCACGTGAACCACAAGTGAATATGACCAAAGACTGCAGGTCGCCCAGTTAATTGTGACAAAGATCTCGCCGAATTCCTCGATAATCCCTGTGCCTGTCTCAACGCACGTTGGGGACGTTGCGCTTGCTCCTCGCCATTTACTGCGTCGGCTTGTGTTTGTAACTCCTTCACGACCTCCTTCATGTTCTTCACTAGCATTGGCCAGGAGTTGAGGAGGTGAATTTTGTCTTTCATTAACATAATTATACTGTACTTTCTATAAAATCCTCTGGCTAACGAGTCTCTTAAGGTAAACGTGTGACTGATGACGTGACCTCTCTCATTGTCACCAAAGTATAATGTACCTCCTTCTTTACTGGTCTCCTCCTACAAGCACTCGTCTAGTCATTGAATACATGGCGAGTCACATACCTCACAGCTTAAGCTGCGCACGGCTGCCTGTTTTAATAAAAACGCGAGATCTTGCTGTTGGGGAGTTCGTGTCGTTACGTAAGTTGTTTTGTCGTCTCTGCTGACCAGGGCTTGACTAAGATCTATCGATTGGCATGCTTCGCACCAGGTAACCGTAAGGGTGTGAGGTGTCTGTAGAGGTTCGCCCTTACTTCTTTGGGTGCAGAGTATCACACAAGGGCCGTGTGTTTCGCAAAAATGGCACAAAGCTAATATACCGTCCATAATTAATTGTCTAATTTATTTCAACATAACCTCACTTGTTTGTCAACATAACCTAATTTTCATTTTCAAAAAAGTCTCATTCCCAAGTTCCACTTTATGATCCAGTTGCGGGTACCAAAAGAGAATGGATTCGAACACACACGAAAGCGATGCATCATCTTCAGGTGGCCTAAAAGTTCACCACAACAAATCACTTACATTAAAGTTACAGAGGACGATAATGAGATCGTGGCAACCTTTCCAGTTGCGATGTGGGACTTCAACCAGTGCGATCCTCGAAAGTGTTCCGGTAGAAAACTGGCACGTTTACGTCTGGTTAAAAATCTCAAAATCAAACAACGATTCCCGGGCATTGTCCTCACCCCGACCGCCACCAAATGCCTAAGCCCCGATGACAAAGAAATAATGCTCGGCAAAGGTCTGGCGGTGGTGGATTGCTCTTGGGCTCGCATCGACGAGACTCCACTCGCCGCACTGAACCCGAAATACGGACGATTACTTCCCTTTCTAGTTGCCGCCAATCCGATTAATTACGGAAGACCGTGCCAGTTGAGCTGTGTGGAGGCATTGTCCGCTGCGATGTATATTGTGGGACTAAAAGAATTGGCTCGGAGTTATCTGTCGAAGTTTTCGTGGGGCCATTCCTTTTGCGAATTAAACGATGAAATACTGAATAGGTATGCCGCCTGTAGTAATAGCCAAGAAATTTTATCAACGCAACAGGACTATATTTTAAAAGAGCAGCAACAGCAGGAAAAAGATCGCAATGGTATGAGGGGTAACGAACGTGAATAGTTTATAACTTTGCCTATTACAGCTTTACCAGATTATCCTCCTTCAGATACATCGTCAGATGAAGAATGCTAGTATAGGTGCACTGTATATAGACACAGCAATAATTATATAAAAGATAAGTAAACGTATTTCCTTCATCTGTGGAGATGGAGAAAGGGTTTCCACGCAGCTGGCTACATTGGAAAGCGCTTTAGAAGTCAACTGTTTTATAGGAGTGGGTGAATTAAATTCTTTTTAGACCTTTTCCTCCTGCTTCCCCTCTAAGCTTTCCACATGATAGTCAAATTCTCAAAATACGGTCTTACACTTATTAAAGAGTATGAGCGTAATTGAAGAAGAGAGGGGAGGTGTACCAATCTCTTTCAGAAAATGGTTTAAAAAGCTCTGGAAATGCACTAAGAGTGCTCTGATTTGCTGATGTTTTTCAACAATTGTTTTAGTACCCACTAAAAACAAAGATTTAAAAAAATGTGTATATAATTAAGATAATGTTAACAATTTAATTACAGATACGATATTAATTTTTAGATTTCTTCTTTTTTTTCTTCTTTGGTACTTCTTCAGTATCTGAATCATGTTCAACTGTTACTTTCCCTCGTGCCACTTGAACAGGCGCGACTATAACTTCTGATGTTTCCGACTCTGATTCTGACACAGACTCACCGTCATCTTCAACTGTTATAGCGCAAAGACTTGTAATTCTGCAACCAGTATTAACTTCCGATACCATTTTGAAGTCGTCATTCCATATCTTGAAATCACCTTTACTTGCCGCTGTTACAACGAGGTCTCCAATTTGTGCCATACATTTGACACGAGTTGTATGAGCCTCGCGCACATTTACTTCCCCCGTTTCCGAGTTAACTGTGGCGATTTTCCCATTCTCATAGCCCACCAAGAAGACTTCATTTTCGAGCCACAATGCGCAAATAACCTTACAATCATGCTCGATCGTGTTCAACACGCCCCCCTTCTCGATGCTCCACACTTCTGTATATCGACCTCCCGACAACAGAAACCGCACCCCGCAAGGTGCCCAAGTAATACGATCTACGCTTTTGGGATCTTTACTTTTCGTAGTTAAATTGATGACGTACGCCTGTCTGCCTTTAACGAGATTCCACGTGCATAACGTATGATTTCCGCCTAATGTTAGAGCTAGTTTTCCACTTGGATGGACCGCAATGTCTAAAATAGGAGAGCCCTTGTGCGCCTTTTCCCACACTTTCTCCAACTGCCAGCTGCCGACTCGTACAATTGCCAACACGCCGTTATTGCAGCCGCTAAGTAAGTGTGTGTGCTCGGGCGTGAACGCTAAGCAGTTAACTGTCGCACTGTGGTGCGTTAAGGGATGTTTTTCTGTGCGATGTTGAAGATCGTATATGACGATGCGATCGTCGGCTCCGCCTGATGCTAGATATCGTCCGGATGTGCAAATACTTCTAATGCTGGCACAGTGACTGTGAGTTGCAAAGGTTTGCTGAGTACTTTCATTCTAAAAGAGTGCGCTTCAGTATTTGGTGTTAAATTACGAACAAACCTTCAGAGAACATCTGTATCCCAATAAATACTCTTCATAAGTGCCTAGTATGACTTCTACTGAGCTGGTAGCTTCATTCATCGTCATTCTTCACATAAATGGTTTAAAAACGAAAACGTGAGGTAAAAGAGAATTTTGAGGTTAGAAACCAACAAAATTAATAGACATTTGACACTGCGTTGTTGCCACATTGTGCAAGTGCGTGGAAATAGGCATGTACAGGGTGATGTACCACTTTAAAAATACCATCACAAATCGAATCATGTTTAAAGGTACCTTTACACTATCATACTTCTCATGTGATTTGTCATATGATAAGTAACAAGCATTTAGATTTGTGTTTACACTATACTATTTTTGGTATTATGGCTGTCATAAGACAAATCATAAGGAAATAATATGGAAATAATACGTAAATCGTGGAATAGGGATGTTTCTATTTCTGCATGACAAATGACATGACTTATTTTAAATACCCAAGTGATCCCGCCCTTTTATGGTTACTTTTCGCATTTTGCTGTTGTACTTATCTGAAAAAGCTGAATACTTGAGTAAACCAGTAAACTTTTGATTATATCATTGATTATAGGTGTGTATAATCAATGATTATAGGTATATTAGTTACTAATGAAAGAATAAATTACATAAACAATAAATCGAGCAATAAATATTTACGAGTATATTGGTATTTGGTTGTCTGGTTGTAGTGGTGTTTTCAGACACACATTGTCAAATAGTGTCTTGATTGGTAATTAACCCTTCAAATGTTTGGGGTAATCTTTCAAATAAGGGTACACTCATCCTTAATGTCGACCAAGGGGACGACTCTGTTTGCTTTGTTAATGAAACGCATAACGGAGAAATTATTTTTAAAATAATTGTTAAACTTTTTTCGTTAAAAATGTACTATGATTTTTGAGGCACTTTAGAAGTTCACCTATTTGTGCTTTACAGGTGATTTTTTGAGTTCTAAGTTAGCCTGAAGGTACTTTTTTGTTGAATACTTATTGTGATAATTAGCGATTTATTTTAATACAGAAGTTAACCGCACAAAATTGCTTATTTGCCAATTTATTTAAAATTTTGCGGGATCCCGCAAATACCGGGTTCCCGCGGGATTAACATCTAACGATCCCGCAAATACCGGGATTGAGATTTTGCTGCGGGATTGCATTCCCTAGCTGTAACTTTTGAACTAGTAGCCCAATCTTGGAACTGTTTGAAATTATGGATTCTACAGGCCACGTTCTATAAGAAAAATTTTTTTCCGGGTCGATCTGAGACAATTTTTTTTTCGGGGCAAAAAAAAGGCAGTGTATAACCTTCCTTTTTTACCAAAAATCGACTGCACCAAAATTTCTCGGGAAAACACTTTTTCTTATTAATTTTGGTGCGTAGAATCCAAAACAATTCGTACTTTTTCGATCAGACTTCTCAATCAAAAGTTATAGACTAGAAACCAATTTCGAAAGAAAATTCAAAGGGCTGTAACTTTTGAACTATTATAGTAGCCCAATCTTGGAACTTGGAACATTTTAATTTAGAGAAGTTATATAGGTTTCGTAACTTCTTGTATTAAAGTCATATGAAAAACCTGTCAAGTGTAAAGTAAAACATTAAAACTCATACGAAAAATATGTTGGTAGTAAATATCATATAACATATCATATAAAAAATCATGTGAGATATATTATAGTGTAAAGGTACCTTAAAAGATATGGATATGTCCTAAAAACCTTTACGATTATGGTGGAAGTTGTTCTTAAAAACATCGTAGAATTTTGAAAGTGTTAAAATTGCTCTTCAAAGCCTTTTAATTGCTTTGAAAATCACTTAAGGATTGAAATATAAGGGTTAAAAGGGACTGCCTTTTAAAGCTTTTGACTGCTTCCAGGGACCCCTTTGATTTTTTTATTTAGCACGTTGTTATATCACTTATATAGGTTTCCCCTTAAAAGCTATAAAAGCCAAAACAACGACTAAAATGGCTTTACAATACTTGGTAATTTTGTACACCTTCTTCACTATCACGAACACGCTTTTCTTCAGACATGGGACCATTTTTTGTTGGGTTTTATTAGGGAAAGAATGTATTTTGATTCCCTCGCACGCAAATTTTGTTTCAACATATATTGTGGCACCCTGTACATAATGAAAGGAAGAAGCCACAGGGGACCACAACGGAAGAAAGCCATTAACCTTAACTATAAATACAAAAGACCTCGACAGTTTGGGCAAAAATCCAAAAAATTTTGTGCTATACCTGGAACAGGTAGCCCCAAGAGGACACTGTGCAGGTAGAATGAATCTATATTAAAAATGGCAAGGCCACTACAGCAACAGGCTTTCGCCTTAGATGCCCGTTTCAACGCCCATCGGGCACCTAGCAATCCGAACTTTAGTAAGTCAACTCTCACTTGACGTTCTCTACCTATCACATGCTTGCAGGAACCCTTTACATTCGACGGCGAAGTCAACTGCTGCGAGACACCGAGCGAAATCCCGAAAGCTGGAAACAGTACTTACGTGTACGAACCCAGCTATTGCAACAAAGGTATGGGTGCTCTCTCGAACCCGGTACTACCTCGACTGCCCTCTCAAGAACAGTTAGCAAGGTGAGTGATGAAAGTGCGAGTTTTTTCTAAATGTAAGTGTTGCAGGCGAGCATTCAGAGCGAAGTTTCCCCTTTGACTAGGAATGTGCAAGTGACTGAGGGTAGTGTTGTGCCGACCAATCAGGCTGAAGCCTCAAGAGCGATGGTTGGCGGTACTACAATTGCTGAGAACTATGCTTTTGTCGGGGTCCATCACATATTCGATCAGGTATAATTCTATTAGAGTTTGTGGGTGTTGCAAGGACTTTTCTCTAGAATTTGAAAGTCATGCAACAGCTCTGAATTCTATTACCCATTTTGTTCACCACACTTTTCGGTAGCACTCAGAAGCGGTCACGATGGTAAAATTCGCGAATAACGACCGGTCACGTTTGTGTTGCTCGTCACTCGATACCACTTTGTCGATTTGCTGCGTCGATACTAAGCCCCCGTCTGTTATATCTGTACTGAGAGGTCACAACAAGGCTGTAACAGGTGGGTGTGTACGATTTGAAACTTTTGACGGTGAAGGGTTGTTTAAGGATTTGATTGGTCGGCGAACAACGACTTGATTGCAAGCTCGTCTTTGGATGGTACTATTAAAGTGTGGAATGTCGTTAAAAATGTTTGCTTGCGCACCATTAGCGACCCGACAAATGCCCCTTTGCTTTGCTGCCTATATAATCCCATAAACAACAATCTGCTCATTGTAAGTATACTGGGTAAGCACTAAAGGCGCTTCATTGCACATTTTTTTAAGACTGGTAACGGTAGAGGTGAAGTTTGCATAGCAAACGTTTCAACGGGACTATTTATGAAGAATTCCTGTAAAATTGGTGGAAATATACTGAGCCTGACTTCGGATACCAACGGACAAATTGTTTGGGTCGGGAATGATAAAGGCGAAATAGCTTCCCTATTGTGCGATATAAGTGGAAATTTATGTCGCACTCGTCGACTAACACTGAGCACTTCAAACACGATCACCAGCATCACCTATCGAGCTTGGATAAGTCGGGAGGCTCACGATCCGATGCTGCTGGTCAATTGTACCGATAGCACTGTGTGTTTATTTAGGTAGAAACTTACTAACGCTACCTACCCTAATGCGATTTTTACAGGGTGATCGATCACGAAGGCGGTTTGCAGCTGAAGCGCAAATTTCAAAATAGGCACCAAAGGCATTTTGTGAAGTCTATATTCTGTCCAATTATGTCTTTCAGGCAGGGTGCTTGTATTGGTAGGTGACCGCTTAGAGTTAGATGACTTAATATCGTTTGTTTAGTTACAGGAAGCGAGGACAGCTGTGTCTATTTTCTTGATATTGAGAAACCGGTCAGTCGGGCCTGTGTAAACACGTTGCAAGGGCATGCAAGTCCAGTTTTGGGAGTCACTTTTAATTATGACGAATCCTTGTTGGCTACATGTGATTTGGAAGGTCTTGTGATTGTTTGGAAGAGAGCAGCTGGCTCATAAATTTTTATATTTTGATTTATTTATATCGCTTTTATACTCTTTAATATATATATTTACTTAACAAATGCTACCATTGAGTTTCTACTCTGCAGCATTTAATTTATAACTATCCAGCTTTCTGGCCACCGATTGTTGAAAATTATCTATCTATTTATCTATCTAAAATGTACAGGGTTGTCCAAATTGGACATTTTTGTATTGACACACCCTTTATTTTAAGATATAGAACAAAAAATGGACCTAGATGTTTGGAGCTCAATTAAGTTAAAGAGACAATCACTGGTGCACTTAGCGACCAAACGATTAGAGATAGATGAAGTCTGTTTATGCCAGTGATTGACAACCTAGGTCCATTGTTGTCTATCTCTTAAAATAAAGGATGTCATAATAAAGTGTCCAATTTGGACCACCCTATACAGGCCATTCATTCGCATTTGTGTTACAAAAAAATCATTTGAAAGTCAATGAAATTCTTTCTATGATGATCCTATACCAAAGAGTACCTGCACTTTTTGCTTATACTTCTAAGCTAATTTTTTTCCGATTCTAGCAAACCACCCGGCTTATACTTTCCTTTCCAGACAGACAGACAGAATTCTTCTAGTTCATATGTATAATTATGTTAAATAAAATGACGAATGTAAAATGGTTTTGTGTTTACATTAGCTTTAAACACTTAATTTTTCCTTCCCCCCAAGTCTGGTTCAAACTTTCTTCGTGCTTCTTCCACTTATTTTTTCCTTCGCGTTCCCCACGCCCGATTTACATCAACTAACGTTTTATACGCATCTTTTTTACGATATTTACGTTTTTTATATGAAATTGGTAAACAAGAGCTGCAAATAACGATTGAACTTGTCTTTGTTCTTTGACTTAAATTTAAATGACAAATCTTATTGATTGCATAATATTAAATCTTTGTTACTACCCACTCCACTGAGTTCCATTTAAGCACCGGCTCTATTTTTGGATCCATCAATTATATTTGATCGCACTGTATTTTTCGTCCAATACTCGCACACTGTATATCTGGTTGTCTAACGTCACTAACAGATGGCGATCAGTAAAAAAACGTCAAAAAAAGCGAATAGGTTGGCTGTCAAGTGTCATATTAGAAATAAAAGTCTAAAGTGATGTTGGTTTATGTAAAGTTAATTAAAATTCGCGATAAAACGTTTAAAAATCAATTGACTGTGGTGGTTGGACGACTTAAGATGTAACTAAAGATGTGATATTTTAGTTTTTAATTGTAATTGTAAAGGATTATCAAACGAAAGTACAAAGCCAAATGCGAAAGTTACGTGTGTAGTTAAGGCCAACCGATTGATTTCCGAAAAAAAATGGGATTTACTCATTTATCGTTCGAAATCATTTTAATACAATTATGTAGTGGCTTCCCTATCGGATTAGAGAACTCCGCAGCAGGTGAGTCATACTTTAGCTGGTGGTGTCTGCCCACTATTTTGTAACTGTCACTTTCATATGTAGATATGTTTGTCATTTTAGCATGCAGTTGGAGCTGGTTTTTAAACGAAATTGTATTGGCAATCAAAGCCAATTGTAACTTTTTTTTTCGATTCATCGAAAACAAATTAATCTCATCTCGTTGAATCGCGAATAATTGAGCACAAGTGCCTTTTGAAGTAGCAAAATTGTCGAGGTTTTAACAGTCTTGCTACTCGACAGCATTTCAAAGAGCTTTGTAATTACAATTTAGAATAGCCACTTCAACTTGCCGTGCTCTTGGAAGGAAATTTAGCTCAATGCAAGTCTGTTCTTATAGTCGATGTAAGTGGCACTCGAAGCACAGTGGAAATGAGCATTTTTACCTTGTAAAATGATTACAGGCGTCTTTTAATTACATAGTGGATAGTCCCTTGTGGTCAAAGTAACTGTAAAGATACTCGCTACTTTCGTATTTATTATTTTTGATTTTAAATGAAGTGAGGAGTTGGCGAGAGATTTCCAAAGCCGCCTGGTCCGACCAGAAGATTATCAAGAATAGGTATTCATTGAGTATTCTGAAACAAATGACTGGCGCAGTGTTGCCTTATAATATTTTGTTTATTAATTTTTAATATACACATACTAAATTAGCCAATAGAATGTGGGGACATACTAGCTATTGAACCTATTTTTTTGAAACTAATTCGTTGCATATTTGGACCCTGGTTTGAGAGGGTCTTAGAACATCCAGAATCATCTGAGCTTTCAGAAGTTCCCAAAGGTTTCAGAACCCTCGGCACCTCCTCAATTTTTAATATTGTTTTTATTGTTTTTTCAGAATCTCGAAAATCTTCAGAAGCTTCTGAAATTTTAAAACTTTCAGAATAGAGGGAGGCCACATCAGGGTTGGCAAAAATCTGTGTTTTTGTATGCTTTGGGTGGGGTTTTGGGTATTTGTGTTGGGTTTTTGTGTTTTTCTTGGGTATTTGTCGAATTTCCGGAACTGTGGACTGATCTTCGGAATAAGTTACTGCCCGATAACGTAGAAAAGCTTGTAAAAATAATAAAAATGAGCCACTTTAAAAAAGAAAAAAAGTTGTTTTAGGTTTTTAATTATTATTTTTATTTTATTTTGTTCCTAATGAATAAGCCGTTTTGTATTTTATATTTTTTCCTAGTAAACTACATTATATTTTGTTATTAAATACTATATAAAAATTATCTCGATTTTGTCTCCTTTTGTGTCTCAAATTCTTTGGGCTTTTGTATGGGTTTTTGTATAGGTCGTTGGGTGGGTTTGTGGCGTTTTCTAAATGAGTTTTTCGTTTTGCCAACCCTGGACCACATTGGAATTACGGAAGTTAGTTCCGGTGTGGTCAGACAAACTTTTTGTAGCATGACCCAGTAAGTCACGGCCGAAGTTTGGTACACACGAGGTGGCCAGTTTCAATAAGTTCATCAGGTTTTGCTTATATGGTACATAGCTCCGATCACCCAAGAGCTTATTAGCCTCGGTGATACTTCATAAATGTAGAGTTTCAATGTACCGATCAATCACATTTTAGGGTATCTGATCTATAAATTTCTCTGCAGGGTAGTGAACTGTGAAAGACTGGTTGCATATTCTGCAGGATTTATCTGTTCAGCAATCATTACTTTTGTCAATGACTGTACATTCCTGTGTGTTTCTATGGGCTTGTCTAAACAAAATATTTTCAGTTTCATATGTCTTTCGATTTTACCAAAACCGAGAATTTATATTATAATGGGATGCATTTGTCATTTATAACAAAAGCTACAACCCTCGCAATTTAATATTGCTTTATACTTACGTAGGGGCGACTTTTCTTAAAAATTACAACATTTCAAAGCGGAAAGGGATTTTATGCTTATTTGGTAATTTGAGGGTTGCTTGTACGTCAATTGAACGTAATTTATTAAAGAAACAAACAAATTTTTATGGTCAATCAAGGGGTAAATTGTGTAACGACACTAAAATTCTAAAAGAAATTTTAAAAATTAAAAAAAAATTCAAAAAAATTCCTGTAAGTTCTAAAAAGATGCAGAATATTGTAGAAAATTCAAAACAATCCATTGCATTAAAAATAGGACATTTAAAAATAAATATTATTCATGCATATTGAACTATTCTAAAACAAATTCTAGAAAATTTACACAAAATTTCTCTGAATTAACGTGAAATGACTAACGTTACTTCTCAATCGAAACCTTTTATTTCTTTAAAATTTTCTCTAGATTTCCTCCGAATTTCCTCAAGATTCCTTCAGAATTTCCTCAAAATGTCTTAATATTTCCCTAGAATTTCTTCATTCTGAAATTATCTTTTATTTCCCCAAAATGTTCTAATATTTCCTCTAATATCGTCTATTTCTTACATATTTCCCATCTATTTTCTCGAAATTTTCTATATGCCCCTCGCGTTTTTTTAAAACTTCCTAGAATTTTTTAGATATTTTCTCGGATATTTTAGAATTTTCTAGAATTTCTTTCCGAGCGCACATGCACACGCAATTATTATTTTATAGAATTTTTAGAATTTTCTAAAAGTGGCCCCGACATTCCCATTTATGAAGATACTACGCTTTAACCTGGACATAAGGTCATACAAAAAGATGTAATTCAAAGTGCCACTGCCTGGTGGCGTAATACCAATTGTTTTATATGCCATCTGTTATACTAGAAAGGCTTTTTTTGTCATTTCAGTTTTTACCACCCTTTTGCAATCACGTGATTTTTTTCCATTTGATAGCATCCGGTTTTTAGATTTGATATCTCTCAGTTCTGCAGCTACAGTGGGAAGTACTAAAGTCAAAGGTGATTTGCGTGTGTGAAAATCAATGTTTCTTATAATACAGCGTTCACTTTCGAAACAGTCATTACCCACACTGCAATGAATCTGGCGTGGTCAACCTTCACTCTACTTTCCCATAGGAATTTAAATTTCAATGCGATTTTTGAATAAGACATTCCAAATACGAGGAAGTTAACGGTAAATAGCGTAATAAACGTACATATTTTGAAAGCCCGTATAAATATTCAAGATGCGCCGTCGAGTAAATAATTAAATTATTCATGAATTGCCGATTGAAGCGATGACTTTTCGCATTCCGCGTTTCGAGATCAGAAAAGAATGTAATTCATAGAAAACTAGCAATTAATTGTGCGAAATGTGTTGTTTTCATTATACATCGCACCGTTTAATCAATCAAGCGTTTCAATTATTGTTTGACGTAATGTCAATTTACTACAATATAATTACTAAGCGCGTCTTAGATCAAACAAAAACTGAAACTAAACAAAGTCTAGTAGGACCTGGTGTTTAATTTTAATTTGTCGTCATTAATTAAAACAATTACTTAATTAACTCAAGAATTCCCGCTCATACCTATCTCGCTACGCCACTGGGAAAGCAACCCTATGCCTCTTTTTTGTGAAACTTTTAATTCCACAAACAGAATCAATGTAGGGACGTTTGTTTCTGAGATACATGTTTGGAACACCGTTTCTGAGATTTGACCCAAAGTTGGCATTTTTTAAATGTAACACCCTGTATATCTTACGTCAATTTTTTCATTCTTTTTCCTGATTACATTGAATCTTTTTTATACAATTACTAATTATATCTTTTTTATATAATTACTAATTATATAAAAAAGATTCAATGTAATCAGGAAAAAGAATGAAAAAAATTGACGTAAGATATACAGGGTGTTACATTTAAAAAATGCCAACATTGGGTCAAATCTCAGAAACGGTGTTCCATACATGTATCTCAGAAACAAACGTCCCTACATTGATTCTGTTTATTAATTACATATATTATGTATATCATATTTTTCAAAATTTTTAAATGACATGTTTCTATCGTCAGCCATTTTTATTGATTGGTATCAGCTGCCTTAATTTTAATTGCCATGGGTACAATAAACAAAACAAAATCTCCATGAATCCATGGCCTACTATTTAAAAACAGTAAAAAAATAAGGTTTTCAGAATTAAAATTAAAAAAAAAATACGGTTGCGAACCATCAATGTAATCAAGGAAAAGAATGAAAAACAATTGACAGGGTGTTGCATTTAAAAATACCAAGATTGGGCCAAGCTTTTTCATTTTACCACCTACAGTTTTGGGGATATTTTGCTCAAATTTGGAATATAAGTTATACTGAAGGGCTTACATCATGTTGATATCAAGTAATATAACAATCTACAGGGTCATGGAATATCTCGTGGAACACTGTGAAATTATAACACCCTGTAGATCGGTCACCAAGCGTTTCCGGACCTTTTATTCATAAAATGAGCCAAAGAATTTCCCATCTGTATCTAAATCACGTTTAGGAACACCCTGTATAATACTCGGAACTTGATCCTATAATTATTACGCTACTACTTCTGCTTTTAAAGATTTATTTCGATGATTTTCTATGATTCATTCTGAAACATTGTGGAGGTCCAAAGGCTTCTGGTCTTGAAAATTAGGCACATTCCGAATATTGTTCCAAAAATTGTGTTCTGAAGATTTTAAAGCTAAGACGATCTCCATTTTTCAGATTTTCACACCCAGTTCATTACCGGATTAGTAGGCGTTCTACTGATCGTTTGCGGAACAGTATTTTTAGTCGGTTGCCTTTGTTGCCAAAGAAGAAATGGATTTAAGGTAAGTTTCGATTGCATAAATTGTGAGCGCATTGTCGCCGCTGACATTTGACAGGAAATATCCATCCTGTTACATTTCACAATTGTATAAATCAAGTTGGCGCTATTAGCTTAATTAGATTCTGTTAACAACATTTTCTTTACACGCATCACATAAAAGGATGAGAAAAAGCAGGTAACACTTTATTACTCATTAAGGAATTGCATGCAATGAATCGATACTATAATTAGTAGTTCTTCCTGCAAATATGACATCATATTTTTACCTCGATTACCTTGATGCCTTTTTAAATGCCAATGAAATGGCGACATGCTTTCTGGTTTTACGTAACCTGAACGCTATTAATCTATTTTTTTTTTCATTAGGAATTTCAGAATTGCCAGGTTGTGGCTTCTTCAACTTCTAGTCTGGATCACGGACATATCAATCCAATCGCGAACGGGGAATTTACGATATTTACCCCTCTTTCCCCGCCGCATCATAACAATAACGTTTTCCTTGCCAACGAGCGAATTGTAGTAAGTATTTTTGTTAAATCCCGCCTTCCAAATTTCCCAAACTTTCCCGGCGCATTTCACAATTTTGGACACTCTTCAAACTTCGTACAGGGTGTCCAAACATGAAATCATTTTTAATTTCTGATCGAATGACACCAATACCAAGCCTGTAAGGGGTATAGTTCCGGAGCCTTCTCAGACACAAGAGCGCAAAAAATTCAAATGATTTAAAAACGACTCAAAAAAATTTTTAAAATTAAAAAAAATGATTTAAAAAAAACAAAAAATTTTTAAAATGATTTTTGTATTTTTAGACCATATTACCTATAATAAAACTTATAGTAAACATTTTTCTGTATCTAAGAAAACCCAGTCATTCTGATTTTCCCCCGAATATTTTCAAATTTTTATTTTACCATTTTAAATATGACCCAAAAGGAGTACATGAACTAACAATTACTACATGAATTTTAAATGTTGTTCAAACTAAAAATTAATATCATTTCGCGTTGCAGGGGCGAACTGAGATCGATTGCGATAATGAGAATGCGGATCTTAGTTCTTGGTTTGGTAAGCCGCCCAGCTTACCATTCAACAATTTTGACCGGTGCCTTACAGATCGTTCCGAGGCAGATTTCCCTCGTACGAAACTAAAGTACATTAAAGAAATTGGAAGGGGTTGGTTCGGTAGAGTCGTTGAAGGAGCCGCACAAGGATTAGATGATAATTGTGATATTTGGAGTCCGGTCGCTGTCCGTATCTTAGAGGCGAGCGCGACGAGTACGGAGCGCGCGGTTTTTTTACACGACGCCAATATTTACCGGTGTGGTAAACATCCACATATCTTGAAACTACTTGGCCGTTGCCTTGAATCCGTCCCATTGCTTCTGTTACAAGAGCTTTGTCCTTGTGTAAGTTGCCGCTTTCTTTATCGACAGGTCTCACACGTGTACTTACAGGGTGATCTTAAAAAGTATTTGTTAGATAATCGAAGTTCCGCCGAGAAGTTATCGAGTAGCGACCTGCCCTTACTTTGGTCCTGTCAAATTTCGTCCGCCATTAAACATCTCCACGATCACAGATTGACGCATCCGTAAGTTTAAACGTTTTTTTTTTTTGGAAAATTGCTCATGCGCGCCCTTAGAGATTTGGCGGCCCGAAATTGTCAGGTGGTCAATGAACGTACGATAAAGCTAGGCGATTATGGCGTTGCTGCTAGTTTGTATCCGGAAGATTATTATCAAGGAGCACCTGCGGTTCCTGTGAGATGGTGTGCTCCCGAGTCGATAGTTTACACTTGCACTACCATTCAACCCAAAAAAGTAAGTAAATTAATGCGATGTTCTTTGGGATTTGGTATTGTGATTTTATGTTAAATAGGTAACATTAGAAAGTAACGTCTGGTCGTTTGGTGTAACGATGTGGGAAATTTTGGAGCATGGAGCGCAGCCGTACTCGCAGTTAAGTGATGATGAGGTGATTTCGCAAGTGGTAGGCTCTGGAACCGTACGCTTAGCCAAACCTACGTCACCTGCCCTCTACACTGATTACTTGTAAGTGGATAGTGGCGGTTAAGTGAATTTATGTAGACAATAACAAAATAATTTACAAAAGCTCGCTTTAGACTTTCAATTTTGTTGTTTCACGTGAAAATCTGTAAAATTGAACTTTAAGTATCCAAATAGGTCAAGTGACGTCACACGCTGAAATGAAAGTATTTTTCCAAGCGACACTTAAAAATCTTTTTTCTTTTGTGAAGGGTTTTTAATGATTCTTTCGCATTATTGTTCATTTTACTTAAATTTTCGTAATTAATAATTTTTGTTTGTTTTTTTCTGCTTTTTTTTAGTAATTTCTGATGATTTTTCCAAGTAGTTCTCGAGCGACTTCTGCTAGAATGTATGCAAATTTGATTTATCACACAATGCGCTGTCCAATGACGTCACTCCACTTTGAGAAACTTGCTTTTAACTAACCAATACCTTTAGCTATCCAAAAACATTACTTTGTTTATCATGATTTTTAATGTCAGTTTATCTATTTGCAGTTTGGTTTTAAAAGCAACTCACTGACTCGAAAATGTTCCTTCGCGTGAATTTTATCACTCGTAAATAAAGGGCCTTATTACAAGTCGGCCAGCTAAAAAGTTTTCTTCTTCCCAGAATTTACTGTAATTCATCTATTCACACACATAAAATTGCAACGATTCTTTAATTGATTCCTTAGGTTTCTTCGCTTCTTTTGATTCCTAAGATTCATTTGTTATTTTATTTCTTTTTCAAATTTATCACATTTTTATGATACTTCGATAAATCGACTACACCAAAATTTCCCGGGAAAACATTTTTTCTTATTAATTTGGGTGCGTAGAATCCAAATCAATTCGTACTTTTTCGATTAGACTTCTCAATCAAAAATTATAGACTAGAAACCAATTTCGAAAAAAAATTCAAAGGCCTGTAACTTTTGAACTAGTAGCCCAATCTTGCAACTGTTTGAAATTATGGATTCTACAGGCCACATTCTATAAGAAAATTTTTTTCCGGTCGATCTGACACAATTTTTTTTTCGGGGCTCAAAAAAAAAGCAGTGTATAACCTTCCTTTTTTACCAAAAATCGACTACACCAAAATTTTCTCGGGAAAACAGTTTTTCTTATTAATTTGGGTGCGTAGAATCCAAATCAATTCGTACTTTTTCGATCAGACTTCTCAATCAAAAGTTAATTTTTTTTCGGGGTTCAAAAAAAGGCAGTGTATAACCTTCCTTTTTTATTCCTTTATTCCTTTCGCCTCGAAATGTACCTACTAGTTTAGGTTATTCGCATCAGTTTCCATTACGATAAATTTTGGAAGCTGTTCCGGGTAGTTGAACACCTTGTATGCACAATTTTGTGGGAGACGTCTCCTCGTGGTGTCTCCTGGGTAACCGTAACAGGCTCTTTTAATCATGTGTATGATACCATTTTTAATCCGTTATTCATATTAGGTATAACATAATATATTCTCTTAATTTTTTGTTGAAGACACAATAAAGTGATTAGAATGAATAATTTATTTTTTATTTCTAATACAGATGATTTAGTCAAATTTTTATAGTTTCGTTTCTGTTGGAATTGGCTTAAAAATCTTTTAAATTTTCGGATTCCTTGTATTTTGCGAATTCGTTGGAGTCCAAGGATTTCATGCATTTCTTCGATTCCTGGGATTCTGAGGGTTCCTTAAGTCCTTTAGATTTTTTGATTTCTTTTTCAAATTTGTCACGTTTTAGATTAGAAATCTTGGATTTTCAGATCCCTTGGAATCCCTGGGATTCTTTAGAATTTTTATTTATTTTTCAAAATTTTCACATTTTTATGATGCTTATAAATTTCTTGGATTTTTGAATTCCTTGGATTCTTTCAATTCCTTATATTTCTATGTATTTTTCAAATTTATCACATTTTTCTATGTCTAGGTTGATCACGCTTCTTTTTTCTTTCTAATCTCTTTTTCTTATTCTTTCAATATTCGAGTATATTTCTTCCAATACAAAAATTTGTAGCATAAAAATGCTGTAAAAATTAGACAAAACGCGGAGTTGTACAGGGTGGCGAACTAATAATGCGAGGTACTGTATCTGAGAATCTATCCATCGTAGAGGCTTGCGGTAAAAAAATTATTACTAAAACGGCCACGAGCAAAACCTGGAAAATATTTTTAAGTTTCTGCAATGGCCGCTAGGGGGCGTAACTGCAATCTGGAATCTAAAACAGTGATTTTTCTGTGAATTCCGCCATATTAAGCTAACAAAAAATGTCCGGTCTTTGAAGTTGACGATAATCTGAACAATTTTTGTTTGACAATTTTTCCCGTATCTCTAAAAATGAAGTGGTGGGGGGTATTCAAAGGTTTCCTTACGGAACACCCTGTATCTTCGAAACGGCTGATCCGATTTAAACAAATTCGGGTTAGTTCAAAAGAGCTATTCTTCAGCTACAACTATTATACTATTTGAAGTTTTGTTAGTTTCACATATCACCGCTTGAGGGCTTTTTTTGACATTCCGACAGAAATGGTTCATTTTCTCAAAAAAATTAAATGCATTGGTTCGATTTTTTTTTCATGAAAAAGTAGCTAAATGATGCCTAAACAAGGTCGCGAAAACAGCATCTCGATATCTTGAGAGAGATATATATATATATTTTTTTATATCGTGATGGCCAGTATTTCGAGCATTTACGGCGGCATTAAAAGCTTCCTTTTTTAAATCGATCCACCTTAGGGCAACAAATTACATAAGAAAAATAATTCCGGAAAAATTAGCTTAAAAAAATAAAATTTTGAGGGTATAAAATTTTCTTTGGCCTAAATTTTAGGTTAGGAACAAGATATCGAGATGCGCTTTTCGCGAGCTTGTTTAGGCATCATTTAGCTACTTTTTCATGAAAAAGAAAATCAAACCAACACATTTAATTTTTTTGAGAAAATTAACCATTTCTGTCGGAATGTCGAAAAAAGTCCTCAAGCGGCGATATGTGAAACTAACAAAACTTCAAATATTATAATATTTGTAGCTGGAAGAATAACTCTTTTCAATTAACCCGAGTTTGTTAAAATTGGCTCAGTCGTTCCGAAGATACAGGGTGTTCTTTACGGAAACGTTTGAATACCCCCCCACCACTTCATTTTTAGAGATACAGGAAAAATTGTCAAACAAAAAAGCTTTAGATTGTCGTCAACGTCAACGACCGGACATTTTTTTGTTAGCTTAATATGGCGGAATTCACAGAAAAATCACTGTTTTAGATTCCAGATTGCAGTTACACCCCCTAGCGGCCATTGCATAAACTTAAAAATATTATTATTTTCAACTGTGAAATGCCCCTTAGTGAAACCAAAGAGTACCCATCTCTTTGGTATAACAACGCGGCGCGTGAACATTCTAGTATACTTCTGACTTTCCCCGTCATAGCGCCGTTAAGCCGGAACTTTTCTTTCAGATTCCGTCTAATGCAAATGTGCTGGTCAACGCTCGAATCGCGCCCTTCCGTTTCACAAGTGCATTTAATGCTGTCCGACCTAATGCAAGTTTATCAAAACCAGACGAACTCGGAGCCCGGCATTTTGCTGGAAGACTTCGATAAACGCTGGGACAGTTTTAAACCGAACTCGCTCGCCAGGACGGACAATCAGGATTTTTTGCGCGATAGTAAGTCGCTGGCGGACATTGATCTTAGCGATATCACCGTACTGAACATGAAGATGGGTAAGGACGACGATTTGCTAAACTCGAAACCGATGTCGCCGAGTTTGAATAACTTGCACGGGTCGTTGGACAATTTGGTCAACGACGAGATGGACTCGTGGTTGCAGAAGGTCGCGCATAAAACCGGCGATATGTCGTACGTGCGCGGTTTATCGGAGGCCATGAGCGATCTGGATAAGGCGCTGGCGCTGGAGAACGTCTCCAGTTCCGATTCTAGTTACCAGCCCAGCCCGGCACCGGAGACCGTGTCGACGAACAAGCTACAGTTTCAGTTGGGGCCTACGCGAATGGAAACGTCTCAAGCACAGCAAAGCAGTTTGACTGAAAGCATGCAACGAACGAGTAGCGAAAGTGAGACTGAAGATGAGAATTGGAGGCGGAAAATCGAGCAAGGGGCTTACTCCGAGAAGGTACACCAAAAATCAAAGTCCGTGACCGACCTCATGGTTCTTACGCATATTGATTACTCAGAATCGGATTCCGAAACTCCATTGCCTAGTTTAGATTATAGGGTCAATTATAAGAATGTAAGATATGCGCCTAAGCATAATTTAGAAAATGCGAGCTTATTGTTCGGAAGCGAGGGTAACCTTTTGAGCGTCCACGATAAGTTTCAAGAGGAACTGAGGAGGCTCCAAGAGGAGCGTAAAGATAGTTTACTGTTTGTACCTGAATACAATCGTTCTCGTGATAATGATACTAACAAACCTTACGAGGATAACGTAGTCGATATTGATAATTTATTATACCGTACTGAGCATATTAGTAGTAGCAATACGCAATCAAACTTTACCAATGCCGAGCAATCACCAAATGCCATTTCGCAAAATACAAGTAAGTATTTGTGATTTATACATTTTTAGTAACCAGCGTGGAAATTTCACAACTACAAAAAGAGAAAGAATTTCCATTCAAACTAATCAGTAATCACATTTCATCTTAACTGCTATTGAGTTTAAAATTTACATTGCACTGCTAACATTAGCACGAAGTGTTCGCCATTATTATTATTATTATTAGCAGAAATCTCAACTTACTGGCTTCGTAACCGTTGTAGCTAGTAACCTCTCCAGAGGCAGAGTTCCCTGCTTATGGGGAAACAGTGTGTGCTTGGCAAATTTATTGTGCAGATCAATTACTGTATTAGTGACACGCTGACGCGCAAATTAACCTAATTTTAGACATGATTTTAGATAAAAAATAATGAAAGTTCACAATGTTTACAATTAATTGACGCAAGTTTCATAACACTATGTAAGAGCGTGCGCATGCGCTTTCTCCATGTGATAGCAGCATACATAAGTATTAATTACATTCATTTTAAATAAGGGGCTTCTTAATTTTTTTAGACAACCCATTTGCAATGTGTTTGTTTAACATATCAAGATTGCTAAAGCTGGTTTTACATCAACAATAAATTGATCAATTCACTTGTCACTTTGACACGAAAACTTTACGAGTGTAAACACAGAATTGGATGCAATAACTTGATTAATTTCTTGAGCTCGATTTCTTGTCGGATTAGCGTAAGTTTTATTTTTCCGGCAATTCAGTAGTACCAACTACCAGCAACCAACATAAATAATAAAAACAATATTAGGCTGGTCAATCCAGGCAGGTTTATACAAGTGAGGTAGAAAAAATTAGTAACAAAGTGATCTCTGCGGAAATGAGTAGTCAATAGGGTCCTTATTAACCCCTCAAAAATCGCAGTTTGTCGCATTGGTGGAACTTGGAAAAAAATGGCCGCCATCTTGATTTTTTTCGAATTTATTAAATATTTCGTAAAGTATACATTATATCAAAAAAACTCAAGAGACTTTTTTTATGGAGAATCAAAAGTTACCTATGATAAAAAAAAGTTTAAGTCTGAAAAAACAAAAAAGTTATTGAAATTTATATGATTTGGGTAATTATCACATCTGTGTCGAGACTTAGATGTATTTCAAGAACTTATAGCAGTTTTAATTAAATCAGGACTTAAAATTATTTTAAATCTGTACCCGTGTCCAAAGAAGATTCATGATATTAACCAGTTACGTCACACACTATACAGGGTGGTGACTTGCATAACGCATCATAGGGCTTTTAATGTAAAATTCATAACATGCGATTATTGGCTCCCCAAATTATTTTAGAGCAAAAGTGTATTAAGTTTTTTTGTAGGAAAAATTTTTTTACGGCAATCAACCGTATTAGTTTTCAATTTTTTGCATAATAAAGACGGAAAATTCGAAAATTAAAACCCCCATCTTTTTCAATAATCTGTGATGCCATATAATTTTATAATAGAAAAACTAAAGTCACTAAATATAGAAAGTACCGCAATCCATTGGGCTCGTGTGTTAGAGAGAGAACGCATGTTTTTTGCCCAAAAATGGCGGAAGTTACCAGATTCTAGTAACTTTAATGTTAGGGATTGTTCCACCTGTTTGGAGATATCTGTATATAGGTATTTTTATAAAACATGACAGTACTATGAAGTTAGGTTATAAAAAATGACAGCTATTCAGATTTTATTTGTCAATTTTTTTAAGTTGGCAGCAAATTTGCCCAAAAATGGCGGATGATTGCGGTACTTTCTATATCTAGTGACTTTAAGAAAAACTACTCCAATATCTGTCATGCCATGGAATGTCTGCTATAAAACAAATCAAATTCTATCAAAAAGTATTATATTTAGAACAGCGAATTCAATATAAAGAAAGACCAAATTACTAAAAACGGTTTCCTAATATAATAATTTACAATAAATGTTCGAATAAGTCACCATTAACTGCAAGACAGTAACCAAGCCGATCATAAAATCCATTTCGATCTGCTGCTAATTGATATGGGTTTTATTTTTCCAATTTTTCGTCTTTATATGAAAAAAATTTAAAACTAATACGTTGATTGGCGTAAAAAATTGTTTTCTACAAAAAAGCTTAATACATTTTTGCTCTAAAATTATTTGGAGAGCCAATAATCGCATGTTATGAATTTTACATTTAAATCCCTATGATGCGTTAAGCCAAGTCACCATCCTGTATATGCGAATGACTTCAAGGCAAAGCTTAAATTCAGAATTGTGTTTAGCCTCACTACCACCAACCGAAGAAGCTGCCAAACAGCACATTAATATCATGAATCTTTTTTTTTTATTGATGTATTGCTCCATGTGAATTATTTGGATATATTTAATGTAGCAGGTAAGTAGAGGGAAGCAAATAATTGAATGTTTTTATGTTCTTTAGGTTATCGTTTTCGAAGCTCACTTCATCATCATACCTTGCTAAAATATATAAACGACTATTGAACCGATAACCTAAAGAAAATAAAAACATCCTTAACAATCCTTATTTTCAAAATTGGGCATACAAAACAGTTTTAACTAATTCAGATATTAACCAAATTTTTAAAAAATCCATTTTGCCAAATCATATAAATTTCAATAACGTTTTTGTTTTTTGATCAATAGACTTAAACTTTTTTTTATTAGAGGTAACTTTTGATTCTCCATAAAAAAAGTCTCTTGAGTTTTTTTGATATAGGTAACGTATACTTTACGAAATACCTTAACCACCTATTTTGACTAGCTTATATGTTTTCATCATTTTTATGAGATAATATTATAGCTATCTTTCTTTTTCTATTCTATTCTATTCAATGACAGAGGGAAACATTTTTACACTTTTCACTTTTTTTTTAAAATGACAACCTAACCTTAAATTAATTAAAGGTTGCTGAAATTGTATAATGCTTAGACTATCTAGAGGTCTCCGCAATGAAGAAGTGGAAAAAATGCATTAAAAACGTTCCTGCCTTATTATTCTGCTCAAAGTTGGTGCCTTACTACGTCTGTATTGCAATTTCAATTTTGAGCTTTTTTTACCCGTCTTGTTTCATATTAGTTCTATGCGTTAACTAAGAAGAAGAAAATCCATCTGCTGCAGTAACAACTGACTTTTCCATCTGTCACGCATGCTTTGGCCCAAAATTGCTTGAGACCTTTGAATTTTGGGTTTTTGTAGAGGTTATTTCTTCTGGCACCCAAATTTTATCGCTTATGGCGGATCACTGGTATTCCCGATTAGTTAATTTTGTAAAGCATTATTTTATATCCTACATTGTAATATGTGGGAAACAACTCTATTATCGATTCCTATAGTACAGGGTGTCCCATTAATAATGGTCACGGGCGATATCTATGGAACCGTTAATTGCACAGCTTCGAGAAAAAAATTTTGTCAACAAAAGGAGCCAAGAGAAATCGCTGGAAATTATTTTCAAGTTTGTAACTTCGCCGCTAGAGGGCGTACGATTCATGGTTAAGTAAACAAATGACTTTTTTCCTAAAATATACCCAACAAACATGCATAAAAAATACATGCATAGTAATCTTGTATCAATTTTGCATCATTTTGATGGAGCGCAAATTGCTCTAGCTCATAAAATATGAGGAGTGGGGAAGGGGAACATCTCTTTAAGGAATTGATTGTAACTTCGGATTAGGTTAACAGATTTTCACATAATAGGTCTTGTTGGAAAGAGCTCTCTTCGTGGAATCAGATTTTACATGAAGAGAGTCTATTTAGTAAACGTGACGAGTGGTAGAGGGCGCGATGTGACATTAACATAAACTTTGCAAGTTTTTTTAAAAGTTTCAAATGGAACGATATGATTATTATATTATATTATCAAATAAGATGAAAAAGTGAGAATATCAGTGAAAACCGCATTTTGATATCTGTTTTCTAAGCAGAGATATGGGGAAAATACGAACATTCACAAATTTTAATTGCAATATTTATATTCATCCAAGTTGGATTTGAAACAAATGAACACATAGCAACCGATAATTATGTCAAAGTGAATAAGGCGATGGCAGTTCAAAATTAACACTCAATCTAAGTTTTTTAATTATGAGCAACAAGAAAATGATTCAAACTTTAAATCAGAGAAATTTTGTTATCCTAATCATTTTGGTAGGCACCTTGTATTTACCATAGTGAGTAGTAGATTGGCGTTACTCCCTTTGTTCATCTCGTTTGAACAGTTTGACTCTTTGATCTTGTGGGGTTGAGGAAACAGCTCAATTCTTTCAGCCGTGGTGAGAGTTGGGTGGTTGTTTCTAGTCCATATTAGTTTTATGAGCAACTATACTACAAGGTGTGCTATAGTAGGATTTAACTAACGCACGTGATTGGTGTATCACATCTGAATTATGTGCGTTTACATAGTATCTCCAATCGGTAGAACACAATAAGTATGTAGGAAAACGAACAGTGCAGCATTGTTAGTATGGTTTCCTACATATTTATTGTGTTCTACGAGTGCTCTTTTTTTTTAAATATTATGATATGTTCTGACAGGTTCATTGATTACAGATACTATGTAAACATACCTTATTCAGATGTTATACACCAATGACGTCCGCGCAAACGTAGGAAAATCCTACTATAGATGTCTCATTTGATAATGCGTGATTAGAGTTTTTAGCCTCAGTTGGGAAGAGAGTATTCAGCTTTTTTTACTTTTATTTTTTCTTTCAAAAGATGTGAAGTTTTCAAGTTGATACCACAAACGCATTTTTTGCAATACTAAAAGTGTGATACCTTCCAGATCATCGTAACCCCGAGTTTTTATTAGAAGAATTAAGTAATAATACAATTGATATTCAGCCTGCGAATCAAGTATACAATGTATTTAATCTCACTGTAGATACCAAGTTTACCCCGAATCACATAACTAAAGATCTGCAAAATATAATCCTACTGGAGGACAAGCCGATAAAGAAGAGCCTATGTTACAACGTGCCAAAGTTATCCGAAATAATACAAAATAACGACGGATTAATGGATTACATTATTAATAAGTACGAAACCGAAGAAGATCTAAACAATAGCAAGGAATTTAACAACAATACGCCATCGAAACCGGTTGAGAATTGTGAGGTGGCTCCGCCCACAGTGAATTTTGACGTCGGTTCGAACCAAGACGAAGTCTCCCCCAATAGCATGACGCACATGGTCGCCTTTAGCAGTACGCCGTTCGCGAAACGCGACCACGCAACGTCGCAGTTTTCTTCGAATTTTGATCCAGATGACGCGCTGGCATTACAGTACTCTTTGGAAACGTGGGACAACTTTCTCGGAGAGGCAATGGAGGGTCCGAAGAAGGCGATTGAATTGAATGGCTTCTCGGCGGCGGAACCGACATCGCTCATGTTTACAGAGGGAGGGGAGCCTGCTACTGATGATGATGACAAAACTTTTATGATTGATCAGCCAGGCGATGCGACTTACGTCAAGGAAGAAAATGACGGTGACGAGAATGTAGCCAATCAAACCTACGATCTTAGTTTCACTTCTTCGGCCGATAGTGCAGGTGTGAATGAGTTGAGGTGCGTCCATCGGATTGACTTTTGTAAATTGCAGAGAAAGACAGCGCGCCTGGATCAGGTCAGGGATGGTATCTCCACCCCCAAGAAAACGCACCGGTGACGGGCGAGTTGGAGATGTGTCAAACGGGCGACGCTGAAAGTTACGTCGGTTTCAGTGTGGATGACGAAATTGTGGCGGCGCTTAGAAATGAACTATTAATGAAACTACCTCAGGCGCAGGTACGTTTTTTGGGCGTGAATGATTGACGTTTCTAATGTGTTTATAGGGTCACGTTAGTGAGCAAGTCCAAGACGATGATGAGGAAGAATTGGAGGAACGGAATGAAGTTTTGATAAAGTACTACAATGTTCCACTGTCGCCGATACCGGAGGAAAGTTACAGTGAAGATAGCCGTTTCATATGCAATCGGTAGGTCGTGGGAAACAGATTTAACTATGACCTCGCCCATTCAAAAATAAAATAAAAATGAAATTAAAATAAAAAAATTTTTATTTTTTAGCCGGAATAGTACCGACTCGGAAAATGAAGAATGGCTCGAGCAGTTAGACGATGGAATCACGCCCGTTCCGGATACCGAAACTGTATCCATCCAAAACAATGAGAGTCCCGCGCACGAACCACCACACCGGCATACGCCCAGTCAGGACTCGTGCTGTTCAAACGATACATTATTTAATCTCGAGGAACTCCTTTGCGCAGATGCCGACAAGAAAGGTGAGGTCCTGTTAAGATCTGAAAAGAAGCAAGAGACTGACGAGCATCAAGCCAAGACTGATAATTTAATACTCGACAACATCTCTGATATTAACGTGGAAGATATGTGTAAAGGAATAATGGAAGATCTGGTTAGCGGTTTGGTGGTGTACGAAAATGGCGATACATGCGACAATTTAGTGAATGGATTTTCTGTACCTGAAAATGATTGGTTGCCAGATATCACTCGATTTCTAAATTGTGAACGCAAGAACCACTTTGAATCGAATAAAGAAAACGGTCTGGACGAACGAGAGGTGGATATCGAGGATATACACTTCGTTTCAAACGGTCCAGAGTACATAAATGTGGACGATCTCAACCGGCTTAAATTAGATGTTGACTATGTCAACGTGAACGAGCTAGATAAAATTGTTAATGTTAACAATGAATCTGATTATGCCAATGTAAATAGCGATGGGGATGTATACGACGCCCTTACCGATATTCGGTTTACGGGTCCGGGTGATGTGCAAATGATGTCGACTTCGTTTAGCGAAAGCGTCGACATTGACGAGCAAGATTGGGATAGCGGATCCGATACGAGGTCAAGTTCAAGCGGCGAATTTATTTGGAAGGTGAGTTGAGAGCTGCTGGTAGCTGTGATTGCGTTTTTGACACTGCTTTAAATGTATCTGTACATATTTCGTGTTTGTCACGTAGGAGGGGGAGCACGAAGAGTCTGTGAAGGCCCTACGAGCTGCCCCACAAGATGTGGTGAGTTGTTCAATTGCTTATTTCTTTCTTCTTTTAACACACCCTTTTAATTTTGCTTTTATGTGGAAGTCAGTTTTTTGTGTGCCTCATTTATACACATGCTACAGAAAACTAATTTGCCTTGAATAATAACAATTTTCAATCTGTGCTTATTGCAAAGCTCAGAGTTAAGCGAAATAATAAATAAAATAAAAAGTTTCCAAAAATTCCAGTGGTTTTTCTTTTTTCTTAAATGATTTAATTCGTTTAATTTTAGTATATTTTTTACAGAAACATTATAGCATGTTTTTTTCTGTTTCTGAATTTTTAACAAAAGCTATTTTAAGCTCGTTTTTGTGCATGCAAAGAATTGTTACACAAAGCTAATGCTTCAACCTCAACCATTCTACGATGATTCCGTTGAATATTATACTTAAAAAACCTTTGCAGCTGACCAAGCGAACATCCAAAGTGAATATATAAGCGCTACTTTTTTCCAAAACGCGCTAAAAATTGTGAACATGGCATCTGTATTAATTACTTTTCTTTCCTCTCTCCGTTTTTGCTGAATTTTTTTTAATGGTCTCTTTCTGGATGTGGATTTATTGCTCTTTTATTCAACATCACCTTCAGTCTCCAATCGCCATACATTTTCCACCCCTTTCCACAGTGTTGTTATGTTTAAAACAATACATGTTTTAAACAGTGTAGGTGTTTTAAACAAATTATGTTTTAAACTGTTTAAAACATGTCAAACAATGTTTTTTTAAATTTCTAAATATCAAGAATAAAAACAACAATAGCACCATATCTATATTGCATATATTATATTATTATTATATATATTCGCATCGAACTCTTTGAAATATGTATGTTTCTACACGGACTCAGTTATTTTTTTAATCTCTTATGTTAAAGAAATCATTGCGTTTGCGATTTAGAACAACTGCTGGCAAAGGAAAATAGATTGCTATACAAAAAAACCTTTCTTGTTTTTATAAAAAACATGGTTTTTTTCAACCGTACCTTTCCATATTTATTTTGTCAATTTTTGAGGGTGAATCGTAATTTTACCTTCAGTGAATTATATTAGAATACTCTCCCAAACACGTGACCAATTCAAACTTTCAAATTTAGATCATATATAGGTACATAGATGTAACCTCCCATTTAGGTTCAATAAGGAGCATCTGTGCCAATGTATCGAACAGAGCCCCTTTATATTCTAAGTAAATAAGACACCACACGCCAGTGAAATGCTGGGACTGTCTACTCAATACCTGTGATCGGTACCACGGCACGAAAGTTGTTTTCTGGGTCGAAGGCGAAGCCAAGGCTAGTCATATCTTCATTCGACCCGAAAAACATCCACTTTCACACCTTGGTACACAAAGTACTATTATTTGTTACTCAATAGTAAACGTTGATTAACAAAACAAAACGCAAACGAATAAATGTCATGTTTAAACGCTACTGACTTGTAAAAATTTTACAAGTTATACATTGTCTAGTATAAAAACAGTGGCATGGGCCACATAGAGATAAAAATATAATAGCATAATTTGTGTACAACTCACAGGCCAAACGGCGAATTTCTTTTATTTCATACTATGTCCCGTAGATGCTCGATTACACTATCAATTTAAGTCCGGTAGTTACCGGACTGTTATTTTTATACACCAAATTTGACCATAATTACTTATTTGGAACATTACCATTTATTGTAAAAGAGCAATTTGTAGTTCCCACACCACTAACGTCTAGGTTATTACTGTAGATATCGAGTTAGTAGTTTGATTCCCTCTGAGGCTCTGCTGTAGAACTGCAATCAAATTTTGGTCACGAATTGATTTATTGGAAAGCGAGATCGAGAGATCAACTTTGAAACTCGGTCAGGGTAAACGCATGTTTTGAGTTCCATAAGATACTACCAAACCCTACCGTTGAAACACCTAACCCCTAAAAAATCCTCAAAGGGTTGAAAATGCCTATTGTTGTTTTTTGGGAATATGTATCTTGAAAACAAAGCTATTTAGGGAAAAATATGAAGATAGGAAAATTAAAGCATATATATTTTTTCCTATAAAATTTATTATACCTATATTTTCCTGTACCAGTGGCGGAGTTATGATATTAATCTTGGTTTACTAATCTTTAAATGACAAGTTCCTAAATTTCTTCAAGAATATTTTTTGTCAAACGCTACAAATAACCAGAGTTTTATAAAACAACGTGGTAAATTCTTTATTAGAAAAGGGAATTAAATCAAGACACTGATGCCATGGTGTTATTAAGTCGCTATGCCAAACAAAATTTATATATGTTATGGCCAGGAAATTGAAAACCAAATAAAGTCACGGATATTTCAAAATTGCAACATAAATTAGGACCTCTAAAAATGTTATTTTTGCCATGCACGCCATTTCTGGAGGCGACACCACATCTGGGCTTTTCGACATAGGAAACATTATTTTGTTTATACTGTAGACAAGGAAGGTGTTGAAGAATTTTACAAACCAAATATAACAAATGACAGATTAAGGACCTTGATATCTAGGTTTTTTATTGCTTATGCGAAGAATACAACATGCAGTGAGTTAAATGACGTTCTCTACCAGAAATATGTAGTACAGCAAATTTTAAATAGGGATTTTAATTTAGCATCGCTTCCACCGACTCTGAAGGCAGCTCAGTACCAATGGCTGAATAATAACTTACCAGTCCAGGAGTGGACCAAGACATGGACCCGAAAGGGTTTTAAAGCAAATTTTTGCAACTGTTCGTCCGACGGTTGTAAAAAAGCATGCTTGTGGCGAAAAATTGGTCTAAAGTGTACCCTAGCATGTAGACAGTTAAAGAGTCTGACGAATATATAGAAATATCTAATTAGGTACCTAATTAAAAACTTATGTTATGTTAAGTATTCATTTATCTCAAAATAAGTTACCCTACCGCACTGCATAGATACCTACTGAGTACAATATATTATTGTTTTAATGTATTTAAAACTGGATGTCATAAAAAATTTAGTACACCACTGTTATGATTTTTTATTTCATTAAAATAGGCATGAGATGAAAGTTTTTATCTAAATATTTTTGAGAAATTCACAAAAAATTAAAAAATTAGATTTATTTTTTAAAATAGCCAAAATTAAGATTATAACTTCGCCACTGATACAGCACCATATACGTACTGTACTGTATAGGAGATTGTATGTTCAAGATATTGACAAAAAACCTTAAAAAAAGTCCGCTTTTCATCCCTTTCAAGGGTTATTTGGAGGTGATCAAAAATACTGCTCGCTTTTAATTTTTTTTAATTTTATTTTACATTTATTTGTTATTTAATAAAAACTGTTGTTAATTTGGGGGTTCAAAATTGTGCTAACCAGCCATTAATTTCGAATAATTTCATTGCCACTTTGTTTTTTTTTTAATGATCTTTTTCTATATACTAATAAATAAACAGCTAATGTATGCCTCTCTAATAGTAAAATTTTGATTTTTTGCTTTTTTAAGAAGAAATTGATCTTTAAAAATCACCATAACGTCGCAACTTTAACGCCACATATTTTGTTTTTTTCCGTATCGGTATCAATCAACACATCAATAAAATACCTTTAGTCCAGTCAAATTATCATAATTCCTTGCATCAGATATGTCATCTCTAATTTTTCTTTTAAATTGTTAAGATGAATATGGATGTCAAAAATCCAAGTTTTCGATGTCCAAAGACCTGTGCGAGCAACGCAGCACTCGAAAATACGCCATTTTTATATTATTTTTAGGTTTTGGTTAGTTTTAGTTCTGAAGGACAGATTTTAAAGCTATTACAGTCGTATACTTTTTTAAACTAGACAAAATTTGTGACAATTCAACCCCTTAACCGGATCTGTAAGTCTAATAGTTTTGGAGATACACAGTTTCAAAAAATCGTAAATTCTTCAGTTTTAATCAAATTTTTCGCATAATAACCTCATGAACATTTTTATAATTTTGTCCGTTTGGGGGGACTTTGTGGCGAGGAGTCTCCATAAATCCGCACAGAAAGAGCTACAATGTTGATATCCTCGGGATCCCCAGCATCTCCCATGATAAGAAAGTTGTCATCTTCTTCTTCAGCAAGATCCACTACCTGTTTCATGGATTGCGAAATCTGTGAATTTTTTCCTTTTGCCTAACCTTGCTCGACCATTCAAAAGGGACATCGAATATAGAAGATATGTGACAGTAGCAGAAAGCTTACTCACAACACTATTGGTTTGAATGAATAACGCATCATATAAACATGGATATTTTTCCACTAAAAGACAAAAATCAATATTTGATTTGCTTTCATTATCCGCAATTTTTAGAACTTCTTTAACAACAAGTTTATTACGACTCACGACTTACGACAATTCTTCGTGCATATTTTATAAGTTTACTTTCTGCGAAGAAAAAACACAAATTTTGATAAAACTTGTAAAACTAATAAATTTACCAATAGTTGAAGCGCCGTATCTCGGAAAGTATTACACTTACGGAGATCGTTAAGGGCTTAAATTGTCAGAAATTTTGTCTAGTTCAAAAAAGTATACAACAATAATTGCATTAAAATCGGTACTTCAGGAGTAAAACTTACAAATACCAAAAAATGGTAAGAAAAATGACATATTTTCAAGTGCTGTGTCGCTCGCACAGGTCTTTCAATGTCGAAAACTTGGATTTTTCATATCCATATTGATACTAACAATTTAAAAGAAAAATTAGAGATGACATATCCGATGTACGGAATGCCTATTTTTTGGTCCAGAGTCCTGATTCCTCTCAAGAATTATTAGTTACCCAGTACTTTCACTACCATTGTATTATATTTCAGGAAATTCAGTGATAGGTTTGTTGTTGTCTTTGGCTTCTACGAACAAAAGTCGAAGGTTTCTCTAGCAGAGTCTTCCCGTGCACTGGTATACTCGCTAGGGACTTCTGCATTTCTAAATTATTAGGGAATCCATTTTTTTGTCAATAAATATCTTTCGATCACATTTTTGACTGTTTTTCCTTCCTGATATCAGCCCCCATTCCGAGTGTAATTGGTTACAACTTAACGGTGAGTAACATGTAGGGTCACAATTCAATCACAGGCCACTTTGATCCTACAGTTGGCGGAAGACTGACATGGCAGCCATATTCGTTTAGTATTCTCCCGCCATATTTGAATTTAGTCGTCGGAGTGAAGTTAAGTGCTTCCGTAAGATCATTACAATGTCTATTCCCCAAATGAATAGGGTTTAGTGGACGTGTAAGGAAAGACCTGCCTATGACCATAAGAGGTACAGGGCTGAATGTGAAACACTGGAATTTTAGGATACTTTTCATTAAGTGCTTTAACTTTTGCTGATCTTTTTCCCTAACACTCTATGCTTTCCCAGAAGTGTAATTTTCATTTTGTAATGTAGAATTCAAATGAAAAATGCAACGCAATGAACGATATCGATGAGGTTTCAACCGAAACCAGCGACGAAGATGAAGACGGCGATAGTCCAGAATTCGTGCCATCTGCTTGGGACAAATATGCGACACCTACAAAGTCCTCTTTACGTTCTCCCGAGAAAACCTTAGAGAAAGCCGAAGTTAAGGTAAGCTTGCTTCTGTTGTCGATTGAGATTCAGATCTTTACATTTCAGTCGAAGAAGCGGAAAGGTGTTTGGTTTAAGAAACAAAAATATCACTGCGTGTACGAGTATCCTCGCGAACCCGAAAGTCCTATTGTTAACAGCTACGATTTATGGCAGCCTGTTACCAACTCTTTAATTGGTAATTTGCGCGTATTTACCGTGGTAAAAGTTTACAGTTAATTTTTCAGATTGGGAAGTTGATACTACCTCGTTAACCGACAACCAAAATTTGTACCTTGGTGATTTTTCGACAGGTAAATTGCTCTGCTTCTAATTTTTAACATTTAAAAGTCATTCAGTGGTGTCTTTCAATACACAACTCGACAGACAAACAAGACTGAACTACTGCTCAGGTTGGCTTTGGTTTGCATTCTAGGCATGACAGGATTCGACGACGAATTTTACATAAGCAGTACAGCACAACCGTTCGAAGCCCTCGCCGGTCTCGCTTCTCAATTCTTTCCCGGTCAGGCGATATCCGAGCAGTGGGTCGATTTAACAAAGTCCCCCTACGAAAACGTTACCCCGGACAGCGGCGTCGAAGACATCACCCCGGCGAGCAACTCTGACATCAACGAATTTCCACACGAAACCGCGAAACCCCAACTGCAATCGTTAAAATCGCTAGCGACGTCGGCGCTCAAACAACACCAGCCGACCCACCTCAAAACCGACACCACGAAAGACTGCCTGGGCGGCCTCAGACACACGCGAAACAAGCTCAAACTCGATCTCCCGCCCAGTCCCAACGCCTTCACCGTCACGAAGGCGTTCACGATAGAGCCCGAAGAAGAGCCAATCACCAAACAGGAAGTTCCTACGTTCACGACGTTCGGTAAAAGTCGATTTCTAGTGCAGCACGTCGATACGCCGACGCCCGAGGAGGAGAGCAAGAACGTTTCGTTCGAGGCGCTCCCCCACAAGCCGATTCGCATGGTTAAGGGCGATAAGGTCAAGGTGGAGATGCGGGGGGAGGCGAGTCTGCTTGATAGCGCGGACGAGGATAGCGGTATCGAATCGAGCACGTTGGAACGGCGAAAAATTGTGTCGTAATTGTTTGTTTTAAAACGCCTTAGTAGGATTCGCATTTAGTTTAATTTTCGTAGAGCAGTGGGACCACAATTTCATGCTCTTCCTTTAGCGCCCCCGCTTCATTTTGATCAAACAGTATTAAATGCAAAAGAGAATCGGTGCTAGACAAGTATGCGTTCGCTTTTTTAAAATTGTGGAACCACCAAAGTGAATGAATGCACTAATTTTGATGTACCTTGACCACACATTTTTTTTGTTTATTTTATTGAGTCTTAATTTAAGTGGGTAGTAGTCGGTTTCATAATTTATAAATAAAAGCGAACGTACATTTGCATAGCCTCGAATCTCTTCACGCTTAGTACTCTTTGATATTATTCAAACATGAAATGGTTCAGCTTAATTTATTAGCAGGTATTTTGCGTAGCATCACTGACAATATAATAACAGATCTTTGTGTAATTGTGATAAAGTCTTATTTATTTTTACATTAAATGGATACGTTAAATGTTATTGTTAAATGTTATGTATGGTCTGATCCATTTTCTAGTTAATTGAATTGAAATTCTCCAATTGTCGTATGCGTTCAGTATTTACGATGTATTACTAGTAGGTCTTGAAAAGTGAAAATTGTTTTTCCGAAATTAATCTCACGGATGAGTGGATAAATTCTGTTTTAACTTAAGTCATCTCGTCCTTTCAACTGTCTTCATTAATCTCGTTGAAACGTAGTTAATACCGAATTTAATACTCTTTGACATAACAAATTTCTATATTTTAATATACTAGCTGTGTAGAGGTACGTGTCTTCGTATTACAGTCTAATTTGTATGTAAATAATGTGATTTATTAGTTTTGTTGTATTAATTGTAGAATAGCTGTATTATATTGCACTAGGTAGATAAGTATGTTGTATTAATAAAAAATACTACCCATTTTCTGTTTATCTGATCTGTTGGGTTTAGTGGGATTTTCCTTGGTTTGCGCGTACGCCATCGGTGTATTATGACGTCATCACTAAGTATGTTTACATAGCATCATGCAATCAATGGAAGTGATTATACCTACACTTGAAATCAGGAGTCTGTGGCCCTGCGTCATTCGTTTGTGAATCAATTTCGGATCGATTTTTTATTGATTTCGCTCACTTGATAAATGTTATAGTGTTTTATTTAATGTATGTTTGAAATTTCCGGATATCAAGTGTATGTAGGCAGCAATATTCTGCATTGTGGGTAGTATACCCGTGACATCAACGACTTATAATGACCAATTACTAAAAAATATGTTTTGGTAGTTATTTGTAACAGGTTGTCGATGTCGCGATCTTTTACTACAGGCCACATTCTATAAGAAAATTTTTTCCCGGGTCGATCTGAGACAATTTTTTTTTGGGGCCTCAAAAAAAGGCAGTGTATAACCTTCCTTTTTTACCAAAAATCGACTGCACCAAAATGTCTCGGGAAATCACTTTTTCTTATTAATTTTGGTGCGTAGAATCCAAAACAATTCGTACTTTTTCGATCAGACTTCTCAAAAAAAAGTTACAGACAATTTCGAAAGAAAATTCAAAGGGCTGTAACTTTTGAACTAGTAGCCCAATCTTGGAACTATTTGAAATTATGGATTCTACAGGCCACATTCTATAAGGAAAATTTCTTTCCGGGTCCATCTGAGACAATTTTCTTTGAGGGCCTAAAAAAAAGGCAGTGTATACCCTTCCTTTTTTACCAAAAATCGACTGCACCAAAATTTCTCGGGAAAACACTTTTCCGATACTCACGACCCTTGCCACCATTGTATTATATTATGCATTTGGTGTGTGAGGGTAAGCAGTATAATCCTCTTAAGGATTTTTGTGCTGCCCTTACCCATTTTAGCTGATTGAAAAAACTAATTACTGCTCTGAACTTATCTGCCTGTACACAAAGTGTGCATGTGGCCTCTGCCACTGCACCAATCTTATCTTGAAGGTATTTAAGCGGTAGATGGCCTGTGAACAGCCCTGTAATTGACCGTAGGTCCTTCCTGTTCAGGGCCGAAGCTTCCTTGGCTTTTTATAACGTGGTCTTGATGAATAATTTAGCCTGTCATGAGTAATTAATCCTATTATTCATTTCCTCCCATTGGTTTAGGGCTTATCTTTATGTGGCTTTTGTGCAGTCCACAGAAGGGCTCCGTCTGGTTCCTTATTTAGCCAGTTCCTCTGCTTTCCTGTTGCTTGCCAACCCATTGTATGCCCTATGTAGGGCCGTGGTTATCGATTTACCTTTTTCATAGGCGTGTTTTTGGGGGGTAAAGCGAATTATGTTTTGTTAGAACATTGCTTCTTAAGAATATTGGACTAAGACTTCTTTCATCCCCTTCAACAATAACAAGCTGAGGCTGGTGGGTCTATATGTATATACGCCTTGGGCAGGTCAAATGAGCGTGCTCGCCCTTTTAGTATGAACACCACATTTACCTCCTGCCACGTTCTGCGGTCATTAGAGCTTACATATAATTTGCAGTGGAAGCCCAACAATCTTTAGGAAGATTGATGGATAGATAGGCCGTGTCCACCAGGCGCCTTTAGGGCCCATTCTACCCTCTCTTGTGAAAATGTTTGGAACCTTCGTTTTTAACTCTAGAGTGAGGCCTTAAGTAGGTACTTGGCCTTCTGCCTTTGCCTGTTGAAGAGTAGCGTTTACTTCTTGTGAGCCTGGAAACTGAGTATTTCCCATAGGGTTTCTTAAGATTTCCAATGGGAGTGGTCTTTTTGTAAGTGCGATATGCTGTTGGTATCGAATCGATTCCTTTACAGAATTTGTGCAAACTCCTTCTTTTAGACCTTCTTGTACTCGGCGCTTTTGTACACTTCCCGCCTCTGGATGTCGTTTGGCTTTGTTGAATAAGCTTCAAACTTTAGCCCGATGTTTTGCTAGCTCCTCACTCTACCAGAGAACGTTCCTCAGTAGGTAACCCTTAAGTTTTGTGGGGTAGCTCCTCTCATACACAATAAGTAGGAGTATTGTAGATCATCTGAGACTACCTCCAGTTCCTCTTTTGTATCTACCTTTGGGTGATCTCATCAACTTTAGACGTAAAGTCCTCATAGGAGCACCAGTCTGTCAGTTGAGGGACCTTTTTTTGTCTTTTTTAGCTATTTCAAGTGAGTGAGTAAGTTCACCCCTGTGAGACCTCATGGTATGGGTGCGCGTTGGCTACGCAGCACAATGGCTAGGTTGATGTTTCTCTGCTTACTGTATATTCCATCAGAGCCTTTACTTCTACTGTGGGTATCTCCGCCGAGTCCCCTGGGAAGTAATCCAAGGCCACTATATAGCCCCTGTCCCACCCCCGACGATTTCTACTGCAACCAGGTCCTTGGAAATAAATTCGGTTAATGGAGTTAGGAAGTTTACTTGGGATTTAAAGAACATTGCCGCCTTATGAGCTGCATCTTCCTTACTGTAAAGAAATTTACCATTGTTTGGGGCTAATCTTCTCACTGTCCCCCCCCCCCCCCATACACGTACCTATAGCTCGTGTATGCCCAATTGGTTGTGACGAACCTTTTACACAATACGTCAGAGGCCACCCTGTTGTCGCTGTAGGAAGGCGATTTTCCGCCTATGATGTTTCTTCGGCTGACACCCTAGGCACATATCAGCTCCCTCCCTTCCTGGGTGTCTGGCGCTCCTCTGGTAGCCCTCTTCGGCGCTTTCTTGGAAGTGGCGCTACTAGCCTTAGGCTTACTAGTTACAGTATTTATATATTTCTACCCGTGTAGGGTCGGAAAAGAATAACCCTACCGCAGAGGTCACTGCGTGTCGTAAAAGGCGACTAAACAACTGGTAGTGGGTCGAGGGTGTGGTATTAGTAGAAAATAAGCAACTCGCTTTTACACAACATATTTGTTAGTTCCCCTAACATCCGCGCCGTCTATTTTTCAAATCCATCGAACACTCTTGAGAGACACCATCACCTCGCGGTGTCAATATCACGACTGACTACCTACCTTTTCTATAGTTACTTCACTTTTCTGGTTGTAGACTTTTGATCTTTGATGAGTCACCTTATTAAGTGTTAATTTAATCATCTATAATCTAAGATAATATTAATAACGTACAGACCTGGAACAGCTCTCCACCATATATATAAAAGAAGTATATATATGCTTTCCACTAGTTTTGTGGTTTTTTATGCCGACTTGCGCCATGAAATTTAATTCTAGCATAGTTTAAAACGATTATATCCGATATTGTTACTAATTTTGCCTTTTTGGGACTTTTTGGTTTTGCAAATTGTCTTGAAAGTGCTTGGCAAGATGCGTCCGAAGGTGTTACATTTTTACGCGTTACACTGTATGTTCTGATGCAACAGTCGATTCTCTAGCGCTATATAAATTGCATATCTTCAAGGCGCTTGAAATAATTGCACGTGTAAGAGTAAAATGATTTTATTCGATTAGATTCCCAAAACGTATAAACAAACACACGCAACTATTTTTAGTACCACTGCATTTCTGCTGTGAGAGTATGTACAGTTGTAACAATCTCATGACATTTAATTATCAAAATTTACTTAACTTTCACTTTTTTTTAAAAATTATTACCATGCTTCACCATCAAAACTTAATGTAGCTTTCGCACAACTCACTAGTGTAGGACGGGTCTGTTCTTATTGGCTAGTTTGAATTATTTAAAAATTAGTACCCATATTTTCGGAGGACTTTGTGAGCTTGTTGGCACTGTAGACACAACAGTAAAGCTGCAGCGGCCGGTTCGACAGACACTCAAACAGAAAACATAACCTGCAAATTAACACCGAACATTTTTTTAAATATTAACTTTTATTAATGAGTTTCTAATAAATTGAAAAATGTGCGAGGGTGTCGTGAACGTCTTAAACGATATTCTTCGCGTCGACACCATAGAGGAGGCCTTTAGTTGTTTTTTAGTGCACCGAATCACATCGGAAAATGACAAAATTACGAACTGGCTCAACGACTTGAGCACAGCACTACGCGCCGCCACCCCAGAACAGGTGGAACTTGCCGTACGACAGTATTTAACCGTTGCCTCCGGTACGTCGCACAGTCGTCTTAAACTGCTCATGGAATTACTCGAACGGTTGGTCCGTACGAATGTGCTCTCGCCGCGGCTTGTTTGTGAGGCTCTCATCGCTAACGAGAAGCTTATATATCAGTATCAGGATTTTTGGATGGAATCTTTCAAGTTGCTGCGAAATATAATCGATGGTGTAGAGTATAAAGGTGTTCGGGAAATTATGAAGGTAAGCTGTTGTCGAGGGGTTATCCATAATTTTAAAATAACCCCTCGTCTGTTATGTTTTTTAAGCACTTAATCTCTACTTCTATTTCTAGGGCTGTTGTGAAAAAGCGAAGAGTATACCGAAACGTTTGCATGCCGGTCTATTGCCACAAATGCAGATACTAATTCAGGTTTGCGAACATATCATGGACAGAGACGCCTCTCTTTTACCGGGTTATTTACTAGTTAACGAGCTGCAAAAGGCGTATCCTGACGACTGTCCGCATTGGCGATTGGCCAGGCTCTTCTCTGATTACATTTTAAGTTTTCGCGGTTGCGCGCAGATGGTGTCCGTGATCGGTCAGGCCGAAATGAGGCCGGTCGTCGAGCACAGCGGGCAGCCCGAACACCTTGTTAATCCGTGGAAATTAGATCCTATTACTTTACGGTTTACGTTAAAAGGTACTTTGCCCTACTCTCCCGATTTGTTGGTGAAGCAGACCGGTCTGTTGAGGTACGTGTTGGAGCAGCCGTACAGTCGAGACATGGTCTGCGGGATGCTGGGTCTGCAGAAACAGCACAAGCAGCACTGCGCGGCCCTCGAGGAGCAGTTGGTGGAGCTGATTGTTTTGGCAATGGAACGGAGTGAGGTGGAGGGTGACGAAGGTGCAACTCAAGGTCTCTGGTTGCACCTCTCCTCGCAACTTATCTACTTTGTACTTTTTCAATTCGCGAGTTTTCCCAATATCGTTTTAGCTCTCCATACGAAATTGAACGGTCGCGATCTAAAACGCGGCCGCGACCAGTTGATGTGGGTTTTGCTGCAGTTTATATCGGGGTCGATACAAAGAAATCCTCTCTCCAATTTTCTTCCCGTGCTACGGCTTTACGAGTTACTATTTCCGGAGCAAGACCCCCCGCTTTCCGTGCCCGACTTTAACCAACCCCAATGCACACGACAAATGGCTATGATTTGCATTTGGATACACCTTGTCAAGAAAGCGCCTTCGGAACAAACTAATCTTATTTGGCCGGTTCCGTCGAAGCTACGTGTACATCACGAGTTCTTGCAGCACTTGGTCCCTCCAAATAATGCTGCACTTTCGATGGGTAACGATTATCGCATCGCCTTGCTTTGCAACGCGTATTCCACCAACCAGGATTACTTCAGTAAACCAATGGCAGCGCTTGTCGAGACAATTCAAGGTGGTCCGAAGAGCACCACCCCTCCCACCGCGCCCCTTAGCATGGCAGTTCTCGACTCCTTAACGGTCCATTCAAAAATGAGTCTCATTCACAGCATTGTGACGCATGTAATTAAGTTGGCGCAAGCCAAATCGGGCCTCCCCCTCGCGCCTGCGCTCGTGGAGACTTACAGTCGGCTGTTGGTGTACACCGAAATTGAGTCTCTGGGGATAAAGGGCTTTATCAGTCAGTTGTTGCCAACCGTTTACAAGTCGCACGCCTGGGCCACTCTGTACACTCTGCTGGAGATGTTCAGTTACCGAATGCACCACATTCACCCCCACTACCGTGTCCAGTTGCTCAGTCACCTTCACTCGCTCGCTGCAGTACCTCAGGCTAACCAAACTCAGCTACATTTATGTGTGGAATCGACGGCGTTACGATTGATCACCGGACTGGGTAGCGGAGAAGTCCAACCGGAGCTGTCGCGCTTTTTGGGCGATTCCAAAAATTTGGTTTCGGCCGAATCCGAGGAGCTAAACCGGGCGCTCGTGCTCACGTTGGCACGTGCCACGCACGTTACGGGCGCCGACGGGTCCTGGTGTCACGAGTTGCTGGCGGCGGTCGCGCAGAGCACGCCGCACGCTTGGGCTCCCCATACGTTGGAGTGCTTTCCGAGAGCGCTCGCCGATTTCTTCATGCAGCACGCCGTTCCTAAGGAGAACAAGCAGCAGCTGAAGAAGGCGGTCGAGGAGGAGTACAGGAAATGGTCTTCGATGAATAACGAGAACGATATATTGGCGCATTTCGGCGTCGCCGGAGCGCCACCTCTCTTTCTGTGTTTGCTGTGGAAGATGGTTTTGGAAACAGATCACATAAGTCCCATCGCATATAAGTAAGTGAGGCACACATATTTTTTATATTTTATGCGGAGATTTTAATGTTAATTTTCTAAAACCTATGCCATTACTAAATAATACTTTAAATATTGTAACGGAAACGCTCCAGACATGACGTCGCCTTTGGCGCTCTGGAATTTTCTACGCGTGCGATAGTGGGATATGTATAGGAATATTCCAGACTTATCCGGTAAATTACGCGAGTGTTCTTGACTTACATTGCTTGCGTGTATAAATGGTTGCGGACCGAACATCGCAAGCAGTTTTACTACAGAACGAGATCGAGTACGTATGAAACATCGAGCGCGGAAATATAAATTGCGAAGTGTGTGATATAAATAATCACTTATAATTGCACAAGAGGTTTGTATTTTACCGAGTAAATTTGGGTTGTTTAGGTAATGAAAATCTGTTGCCTAGCAATTAGACGAGAAAAACTGTCAACTAATAAAAATGCGACACCGCAGGTGGAGCATTTTTAGGTTGACAGTTTTTCGAGTTCAATTGCTAAAAGGAAACAGATTTGAATTGCTACAACCCAAATTTACTCGGTTTAAATACAAACCTCGAGTGTAATTCGGCAGGACAATTTAACGAACAAGAAATTCACCAAACTAATCAATTATTGACAGACGTCAAACTAGCCATATGGGAAAGGATAATGCGATAATTTGTTCGAAAATGAATAAGTGAAAAAACCACTAGTGCATTTGTCGCTGGAAAAGTTGCAGGTAACTTTTGCCGTTGTCAAAGTGACAATTTCACTGCGGCTTATGCGATTTTTTATACATGAGTTGAATTGTCGATATAAATTGTACGGTTTTTATAGTGTTTCAGTTTTGTTTAATAAATATTGATATAAATCGAACCCGAATTTATAAAGCACGTTACAATATATTAAACACATATGGTTTAACTACTACTATCTCAACACCAACTAGGATTGCTTAACTCCAGTAGCTGTATCGACAACATTATTACTAACCTTCCAAGTACTTTTTACAGCATCTTCAATTTTTCTGTAGATTTCTCGGATCATAACGCCCAAATATTCATTATGAAAACTAATAGAATAAAACCTAGTCTATACTTGTGGAGACGTGTTACAAATCAAACTAATTTAAATTCATTTAAACACCACCTCCAAAGCATTGTATATTTTATTAGAAGTAGGCCAACGGATTAAAAAGCGAGCACAGAGAAAGTGGTGGTACATAACGGTATTATGTTGAACTAAAACGGATAAATTGAAGGTTTATACCTAAACTAAAAATGAGTCTGTAGATAACTATCCTTTAAATGAGCTTGTTACAGGAGAGAGACAACACTTCTAAATGGCAAAGATAATACTGTAACGTGATTTATAAATTCGGGTTCGATTTATATCAATATTTATTAAACAAAACCGTACAATTTATCGACTATTTATATCACACACTTCGCAATTTATATTTCCGCGCTCGATGTTTCATACGTACTCGATCTCGTTCGGTAGTAAAACTGCCGCGATGTTCGGTCCGCAACCATTTATACACGCAAGCAATGTAAGTCCAGAACATTCGCGTACAGTCTCGAATATTCCGACACAAATCCCACTATCGCGCGCGTAGAAAATTCCAGAGCGCCAAAGGCGACGTCATGTCTGGAGCGTTTCCGTTACAATACTAACTTTGTTTACTTTACAACGGCAAGTATGCATTATGAACTGTATGTCGAGACGCGATATTAGAACAATGGGTTTTTGTGTTACCTGTTTCTTCTCAAGTATAGCCTTGTGTAGGTGTACGAGCCCTAACACATAAATGTTCGGACACTCAAAATTTTAAAAATGTTGTAACTTAAAAATCATTGTATGTTTATTTATTTTTTTTTCTTACTATAGTTATAAGTTAAACATATTTAGTAACTGTAATTCTATATTTTGTTGCAAAATTAATTAATTTCAACTGTCAAACAACACAAAACACCTTAAAATTAGAATTTAAAGTGACACAAAAATGTTCGGACACCACCCCTTAACAATGAGTTATATCCCCTTTGGCTTTAATAACAGCTTGGATTCATGTAGGCATGGTCGTCACGAGAGCGATCGATGCCAAAGGTATCCCAAATCTCTTGTAACTTTTCACTCAAAGAAGCAATATTGCGTTGCGGATGAAGACGCAAACGTTGCTTCATTTTGTCACACTGTCTCAATGACATTGAGATCTGGACTGCTTGAGGGCACCTCTAAAACACTATTATTGTGGTCTTGTAACCATTTCTTAGTCGTTTTTTCCTGTGACATGATGCTCCGTCTTGTTGAAAAACAAAGTCGGCATCATGTGATAATGTCGCAAGTGAAGGCAATCAACTTTGTTCTAAAATTGGTAGATATTTCTGAGCATAAACATTACCATTTGTAAGTGCAATTGTCCCAGCCCATTTGCAGACATACTGCCCTACACCGTTACACCACTGGGGAATTTTACAGAACGCGTTAAGCAATTTTTGTGAAATGGTTTGTTTTCCGTTCTAATAACTCTTTCTCGATTATCGCCTACATTGATATCAAATCGAGATTCATTACTAAATAGTATATTAAAGTACAAGTGTCATTTGACGAAGATTGTCGCACGAGGTAGTTTGCCGCATAAGCCGCGTAGCGGCGAATGCGGCAAAAGCCGAGTGCGACAAGTAGACAAATGACACGTGTGCTTTATACTATTTTTTCTATTTCGACTTTTATTTTAAATAATAAATTATACAAATTATAAATGTTGCCTTTAGGCGTTGTTAGGTAATTTTAAACTATCATTCAGTGTATGTTGGTAATAGACACAGTTCATTTATTTTCACGTTGGCTAACCTGATTCCTGTATTTTCAAACTTCAAACTTTGGTCATAATTCCATTTTGCGGCAGTTATGATGAATACGGATGACAAACACGTCTCTTGTACCCCACCAGAGATCCAAGAGATTGCCAATGAAGCGACGTTAAATTTACTGCCTGTAAAATCGAAAGTAAAGTACGAGGAGTACAAAATTTTTGAAAACTGGCTGGCCGAGAAGGGAGTTCAAAAAGTAAGCAAGAATGTACTGCTGGCATATTTTACTACGCTAAGTAAAAATAAAAAAAGTTCTACCCTTTGGAGTATATATTCAAAATTAATCGGAATTAATACAATCGGTCAAGTTCCTCGTACGTTATTTTTACACTTTACAGGTTATGTTTAGTTTTGATTTGACGGATACCGTTGCGGCAAAAAAGCGAGGAGTACCAATCCAAAAAAATAAAAAAAATAATACCTTTTTATTTCTTTCAGCATCATTTCTGTCTAGAAACGCACGCAAACTGGGCCAATCAAGTACGGTTTCGGTAGTGTTTCCACATCGAAATAGAAAAAATGATTTTTTTCCAGTCTTTGTATGACCACGCCTGCCCTTCCCGAACCCAAGCCAACCTCTTCGTTATTATTTTTGTGTTTTAAAGATGTTTTTCTTTCGCCTATTTAAACAAGTATTTTCTAATGCTCAATAATTTTAACCTAAAGATCAACTTACTTTATAAAAATGTAAACCTGATTTGTGGATGCACCTTCGACAGGTTTAACTAGAAAGATGAGCATTTGTTACTTCGTTCCATTTTACCGTAAGATTCCGTACTGTGTCTCTTCGTCCAGATTTGCAAATGGTTATCAGCGCTTTCTGCATTCTAGGGGTAACTGTTGGCCGTCTTCCTGTGTTGTTTCCTGCAACTTCGATTGATGCTGTTTTCCCTTACTTTGTTACAGTATCTACCACCGTGGACATGGCAAATTGAATTCCTGACCTATTGTCCTAAAGGATTTTCCCTTATGAACCCATTTTACTATTAATTGTCGAATTTCTTTCCGTGTCGCTTTGCCATGTGCCATTTTTCTTTTAACAAAATGTCAAAGTGTGCTGACAAGTTATAAAAATTATAATTTTTTTTGTTTTTATCCTAGATCAAACTATCAAATATATGTGGTGTCCGAACGTTTATGTGTCAGTTAATTTCGCTGGTTTTCCCATTTTCATGTTGTGAGAGCATTAAAAAAATTGTTTTTTGGTATTAAACATAAACAATAAACTTATAATACATATTTCTATATAAGATATTTATGGCTTTATTGACATTGGACTGGTTTTATTTTAAAAATGCTAGATGTCCGAACATTTATGTGTTGGGGGTCGTATTCTGTCTCCTATACACAGAAACATCTTTTAAAACTGTCATCGTTATATTATAGAAATAGAATGGTACTTTCGGTTTGATGCTGAAAATTTACCTGTTCCTTTTTACAGAATAACTCGGGAATTTTAGATTCTGTTATCAGGAATCTAAAGTTTTGGTACTTTTATAAATACTTGATTATAGTTTTCTAAATAGGTATACTTTTTGGAAAAGTAGTTGTACAAAAAAATTCAAAAATAGAACACCCATAACTAGGGATGGGCGATAACTGTTTTCACCTATCGATAAGTATCGGGTACTTACCTATCGATATATTTTACTTATCGATATGCCGATAATTATCGAAATATCGATAGTTATCGATATATCGATAGTTATCGATATGTCGATAGTTATCGATATAACGATAGTTATCGATATTTCGATAGTTATCGATATTTCGATAGTTATCGATATTTCGATAGTTATCGATATATCGATAGTTATCGATATATGATTACTATCGATAGGTATCGATATATCGATAGTTATCGATATATCGATAGTCGATAGTTATCGATATGTCGATAGTTATCGCTAGATGGGCGATAACTGTTTTCACCTATCGATATAAGTATCGGGTACTTACCTATCGATATATTTTACTTATCGATATGCCGATAATTATCGAAATATCGATGGTTATAGATACACCGATAACTATCGAAAGATCGATAACTACCGCTATATCGATAAGTATCGGTATATCGATAGTTCTCGTTATGGCGATAGTTTTTAATATATAGGTATCGATATAATATTACCGATAATTTTTTTGAAAGCGTGTCTAAAAACTGCATGAGTTTACTTTTATATTTTGGCGAAAGAGCCCGACAAGACAAGAGGGCTCTTTTAACAAAATATGAAAATAACCGAATGCAGTTCTTGCAACTTTAATGGAGTTACCATATTAACTGTGCAATTATCGCAGGGCTCTTTAGCTTTCTACAATGCAATTACCGCTGTAATTAAGCGGTAATTGCACGTCTCATTTGAGAGAAATATTCGACGTATCGATAGTTATCGACAGGGATAGTTATCTTATCGAGTTTTATTAATAAAATCCATTTTCCGGTTTATTCTCGTGTAAAGTGACTATTAATAGTTACTCGACGTTTCTTTGCTACCTTTATCAAGAGTGTTTTTGTTAGATTTCGTAAATGTCAATCAATTGAAACTGTATATCTAAATTTGAAGTGTTCTTAGCTTTTTCTGTTTTTTTGTGACTGGTCCTCTGTAACCATCAGTCAGATACCGATACATAGACCATGATTACACCCTTTGATTGTCTTCTTTATTTTATCTTTAGTAGCCATTTTGATGCAACATTTTGTTCAAGTTTTTGAAGTGCTTCTTTTTTTGAGCAATCGTCAGTAAGACGAAAAGATCTATTTTCTAAAGATTTTATTACTGCGTTTATTTGGCATGGATGATGATGTGACGTAGCGCTTCTCTTGAGAAAGGGAACAAAGTTAAGTTTCCGAAACGTCGAGCGACTAAAAATAGTAAATTTACACGAGAGTAAACCCGAAAATGGATTTTATTAATAAAAATAGTAGCGCTCGTTGAAATCTCAACAATAACATAATTTTATCGTATGTACAGTTATCGACATATCGATATATCAATAGTTATCGACATATCGATAGTTATCGACATATCGATATATCAATAGTCATCGACATATCGATAGGTATCGATATATCGATACTTATCGATAAGTATCGATATATCGATAGTTATCGATCTATCGATATATCGATATATCGATATATCGATTTTTTTAGCTCTACCTATTGTTATTCGATATATCGATAACTATCGATACCTATCGATATATCGAAAAAAATTCCCATGCCTACCCATAACTACACACAGATAACACGTATTGCAATGAAATGCTAAAGTACATTTTCAATAATAAAAAATGTGATTCATCCTACACTTTTCGACCACACATGGGGATTTACGGAGATTTTTGCTTTTTACCTTTAAATGTAATTTGATCTATGTAAGTACGCAAAAGTATGTTCTAGGTCATGGAAGAACAATGCATCTTGTGTTAAAGTACGATTACGACTCTTTGATTATGGTGCGGTGCCCACACCTATTATTGGGATGGCATGAAAGTTTCTCTAACTAAATCGAAAGCATCTTTACTATTTCGCGTATCAATGAAATACGTTTTAATTTCAAGAATAGCTACTTACCACAGTACCATTTTCAAAACTTTATAAAATTTATTGTACATTTTTGGTAAAATTCTTAATCTTGTAAGTGAGAAACTGTTGGGTACGAACAATTCAATTCCAACAATCCAGGCGTTATACTAGATTGATGGATATGTTATTGTTCTTATCTAAAAACTCAAAAAAATGTTTTGGTTGGTTAAAAAAACTAGAAACTGAAAAATGTATAAATCATAATCTCAAATCTGGTCTCGTCTGTTCAAATGAAATTTCATCCTGCTAATCAGGAAGGTATGTTGGGATAGGTCATGTTAATCGTTCTTGTATCATATGTCTGGTTCTTAAATGAACAACTTAAGACCTTCTGCAGAGGCACCTCTAAAAAGCATTATGCGGGTCACTCTGTAATAGGGCGCAAGCCTCTTGAGGGCCCAGAACAAGAGAGGGATAATAAATAAATAAAAATAAATAAATAAATAATACTTCATTGTGTTTATTTGACTAATCGAACGCATACGAGTACGGCTTCGGACGAACGAATACTTTTACGGAATTATCTACGCGGGAAATAATGCTTTAAAGTTTAATCGGTTAGGCTCCGGGCTAAACACGCATCTTATCTATCGACCTCTGCATTACAGACCGCTACATTTTTGAAAAAATAATCTTGCGACTCTAGTATCCGCGCCATCTATGCGTGGTGTCCAAAAGTAAACGACCGTTGGCCTACTTGTAATACATCTACAATGTTCGAAGGATTGACTGGAGCCGTTTATACACCATAAACAACGTAGATTAGTTCACCAGTCATTTTTTTTAAATTATTCAACCTATATTTTTTAATTGTTTTCCCTTAAAGAAACATTACCTTGGAAAGAAAACCCGGAATTGGGTGACAAAAGGAATCCGAACTTCTAGTAAGGTAAAGCGGAAGCTTTACTTAAATATGCGAAATAATCCGCAATCAAATTTCACTGATCACTTCAAGCGCTACAATAAAATATTTAAAAAAGTCATTGCACAAGCAAAAAAAATGCAAACTAAAAGAATTATAATGAATTCGAGAAACAAAATAAAATCGACATGGCAAATTATAAATAAAAACCTAAATAAACAAACAAAAAAAACTTCATCTATTTCTTTAAACCAAAATGGCAAGGTTGTTACTAATTCTGAACACGTTGCTAATATTTTCAATGACTATTTTGTTTCCGTTGCGCATGAATGTAGAAAAAACATACCTCCAACATACGAAACTACGAATGTTATCCCATCATCACCAAATTCCTTCTACTTGCTGTCTGCCACAAAAACTGAATTGTTCAATATTGTAAATAATTTAAATAATATACGTTAGCTTGCGGTCACGATGGTATTCCTATAAAAATATATAAAGAAGTGTTTGATGAAATATATCAACCTTTGATTTACTTAATTAACCTTTCTTTCTCTTCTGGGGCTTTTTCAAGCCATGGTAAAATTGCAAAAATTAACCCACTTCACAAATCTAAATCAGAACCACAAAATTATAGACCAATTTCGATCTTAAATTCCGTATCGAAAATACTAGAATCTCTCATAAAAGTTAGATTAATTGCCTTTTTGGAAACCCATAAATTGTGTAATAGTTCACAACATGGCTATAGAGTAAATAAATCAACTACCACAGCTTTACAAAGTATGTTACACTACATACACACTGCGCATAATAATGGCAAGGTTGTACCATCGTTAAGTTGTGATTTGTGGAAGGCTTTCGATCTGGTTGATCATGACTTGTTAGTGGACAAGCTATACTCATATGGCATTAGAGGCGTGACGCTAAATTTATTGAGATCCTTTATTAGTGATAGGTGGCAATATGTTGCAGTTGAGCAAATTTCTTCCTCGGAGCAAATTATTGAAGTTGCATCCGAATTAAAACCAATCAAGTATGGAGTACCCCAAGGATCTATCCTTGGTCCTATATTATTATATAATTTTTATTAATGACCTATTTAACTGCTTCGATCCATCTTCATGTGATATCACCACATATGCAGATGACACTAGTGGGAGTGTGGCTTGTGTTGAAGAAGAGTTAGAAATTAATTTAAAAGGTGCGTTATCAACTCTTATTAATTGGTTTAATGCAAATAAACTTTTACTTAATTTGGAAAAAACAAAAATTCTTCTTTATAAGAAAAATATGGGTTTGGATATCGCTCCACTGCGTTACCACTCAGTTCAATTAGAAAGGTGTCAATCCTGTACCTTCTTAGGAGTTATTATAGACACAGAACTTAGTTGGAAAGATCACATTGGCCATCTCAAAGCAAAATTACATTCATCGATTTTCGCATTGTCCCGTTGTAACCATAAAACCCTTTTGCAAATATACTATTCAATATTTGAAAGTAAGGTGCGGTACGATATCTCATTATGGGGAAATGCTACTAGTCATAGAATTGCTAGCAAATTTAAGGTTCGAAAAAGAGCAATCAGGGTAATGTTTTCGCTACAGAAACGGGAATCCTGCAAACCGTATTTTAAAAACTTTCAGATTGCAACCGTCTATTCATTATATGTGCTTGAATGTTTATGTTTCGTGTTCAAAAACAAAAAATTATTTTCATTAAATTGTGATAACCACTCATATAATACTAGAACGAAAAATAACTTTTCTATAATGAGATCAAAAAGTAAGGTGCATAACTCGTCCTACCTACAGATGGGGGTGAGATTTTATAATGCCCTTCCGGCACATGTCAAATGTATTACAATGTTGGCTCCTTTTAAAAACCAAATTAGAAAAATTCTTCAATCAATGGTGCTATACACACTGGATGATTTCTTTACGAATATCAAAAAGTGGTAGTCATATTTAAAAAAAAAAAAAAGTAATATATACACCTATTTACACCTCTGAGCGAGATTGCGGGTTTTAACGTGCATAATTTTTGTAGAATTCTGGAAAGAATTGGCGCCCGAGCTTTATCCGCCCATCTACGTAAATTCTGCGACTGTCTCGTGTTCGAATTCACAAATTCACCCGGAAGTATGCACGTAAATAAATGCGTCGATACGATCAACGACATCATTTGGAAGTACAACATCGTGACGATCGATCGACTGGTGCTGTGTCTCGCGCTACGAACGCAAGAGGGCAGCGAGGCCCAAGTGTCCGCCTTCATTATACAACTGGTGCTGTTGAAGGCGACCGAGTTTCGGAACCGAGTGCAAGATTTCGTCAAAGACAATTCGCCCGACCACTGGAACCAAGCGAATTGGCACGAGAAGCACTTGGAGTTTCACAGGAAATATCCGGAGAAGTTCGCGCCCGAAGAGCAGGGCAGCGGTTATCATCCCTACTTTGGTAATGTCTGCCTGAGGTTTCTTCCGGTTTTCGATATTGTGGTACATCGTTTCTTGGAGATTCAGCAAGTTACCAAGAACCTGGAAATTCTGCTGGAACATCTGGGCTGTTTGTACAAATTTCACGATCGACCCATTACGTACCTATACAACACACTTCACTATTACGAGAGCTGTTTGAGAGATCGACCCCCGTTGAAACGTCGATTAGTCGCCGCCGTTCTTGGAAATTTGAAGAGCAACTTGACGGAGCCTTACCAACTTTATCTGACGAGATCCCCGGAAGAGGTGTGGATTCCCGAACTCGATTACTACATGCAATTGATGCGTCGTGTCGTCGATATACTTGCTGGTAAATCGTACGGTCTGTGTTGCACTCAACTAACCGATATTTACAGGTAGTGCGACTAATGCGTTAACCGACTGGAGGTTTAACGAATTTCCGAATGCAGGCGCGCATGCTCTTTACACAACGTGCGTAGAACTGATGGCCTTGTCAGCGGGACCGAAAGTCGTCGCAAACAGTCTCTTGGACGTTGTCGCGAAGGGTTTCACCGCGATCCCGTCCGGGGATATGCACCAGTGGATTAACGCAATCGGATTAGTTCTAGCTGCACTTCCCATGAGCTATTGGAGCATTTTATTGGATCGTTTAATCGAAACTATGGGAGAGTTGGAGCAGTGGCACTTCGACTGTACTCCATTTAGATTATTTAACTTTCGAGAGACTCACAACGGTCTGCTTCACAACCGGTTCAGCTACATGCTGGCACTGGCGCATTCTGTGTGGCATCACGCGGGGCCCGGTCAAATGGCCAGCGTTCCGAGATGGGTTCGAGAGACGTTGCCTGCAGTTGTTCATTCCGAAGCGCAATTTTTATTTGTCTGTCATTTAGTCGGCCCCTTTTTGCAAAGATTTAATGTTGCGCTTGTCGACTTGACGGGGGCTTTGTATGAGCTGCTTGCTCAGGTTGACCACGCCCAGCAGCGTTTGGAGTACATGGATCCCATATGCGACTTGTTGTATCACATTAAGTACATGTTTGTGGGCGATAGTATGAAAAAGGAATTGGAGAGTGTGGTGAGACGATTGAGGCCGGCTTTACAATTGAGGTTAAGGTTTATTGCTCATTTAACTATTGAGGAGGTACCTACAGCGACTGTGAATGGAATTAATGTTAGTACGTAAGGTTTTTATATTGTAACAGATAAAATAAAACACTTTATTGAAGCACTAGTATTGACTATGAATTTTTACTACCTGCACGTTAGTACTGGGGTAAAAAATGACTCGCGCAACCTGCTAGAACGTCCGCTTAATGCGGGTCGCTTATACACGTCCCAGGAATACTAATCAAACAAAATCTTGATGATGGTCGGTAACTGGTATATGTGCAAGCATTGTTTTGGATTCTTCGCACCAAAATTAATAAGAAAAAGTGTTTTCCCGAGAAATTTTGGTGCAGTCAATTTTTGGTAAAAAAGGAAGGTTGTACACTGCCTTTTTTTGAGGCCCTCAAAGAAAATTGTCTCAGATGGACCCGGAAACAAATTTTTCTTATAGAACGTGGCCTGTAGAATCCATAATTTCAAACAGTTCCAAGATTGGGCTACTAGTTCAAAAGTTACAGCCCTTTAAATTTTCTTACTAAATTGGTTTCTAGTCTATAACTTTTGATTGAGAAGTCTGAATAAATGGCAGTTCAAAATGTACAGAGCCTTGCAAGATCTGTAGAGCAATTGTAGTTTAAAGGCCCGGTTTTTGAATAAATAATTTATACAAGAACTAGTGCGCCATCTTCTTGGCAATCGATGCACTTTCTATCAATTATAGTTTTAGAAATCTAGTTGAGATGTCGCCACGTACGCAGCTTCTTTCAAAATTTTATTTGAATTTATGCGATTAATAGCAACGTTGCACTTATTATTCCTTAAATGCAGTGCCGTTTTTAAGTTTTTCGGGGCCCTGGGCCATTCGTTCGTGGAGACCCTCCTTACCCTCAATCAAAACGGCAGATTGGGGAGATTCAAGCAAATCCCTAATTTGAATATGGGCACTCGATATTTGTGTAGCCTGGTTTGTAGGCAACACATCATGCTTAATGAACAGAAAACATTTATTTTTGCAAATTTTTCTTATAGAACGTGGCCTGTAGAATCCATAATTTCAAACAGTTCCGAGATTAGGCTACTAGTTCAAAAGTTACAGCCCTTTAAATTTTCTTTCGAAATTGGTTTCTTTTCTAGTCTATAACTTTTTATTGAGAAGTCTGATCGAAAAAGTACGAATTGTTTTGGATTCTACGCACCAAAATCAATAAGAAAAAGTGTTTTCCCGAGAAATTTTGGTGCAGTCGATTTTTGGTAAAAAAAGGAAGGTTGTACACTGCCTTTTTTTGAGGCCGTAAGAAAAAATTTTCTCAGATCGACCCGGAAAAAAAATTTTCTTATAGAATGTGGCCCGTAGAATCCATAATTTTAAACAGTTCCAAGATTGGGCTACTAGTTCAAAAGTTACAGCCCTTTCAATTTTCTTTCGAAATTGGTTTCTAGTCCATAACTTTTGATTGAGAAGTCCGATCGAAAAAGTACGAATTGTGTTTGTAGTTAGGACTCGGTAATTGAATTAGGTACTTTTCCAAAGTGCTTGGGACTTTGAACTTCAAGGAAAAGTGCTTCAAGCCCTTTTTTCCTCTACAAGCCCTTTTCAAAAGCGCTTTGTGCTTGTAAAAGTGCTTTCAAGCTCTCTCAGGGCTTCCAAGCACTGTGGTTGTCTAAATTACAATTTTATTCAAGCACTTTAATCACACATGAACATTGTGTGGTACGAAAAATTACCTCTCAGCATTTCTTTTTTGAGAACACGTATTGCATTCAGATTCAATATGCTTTTTAGTGTTATTGAGAGTTATCTAATTAAAAGTTTTGCGTGATGTGTTTGTGTTTTAATTTTACAATTTAATTAATTACACAGGACTTCGCGCAGAAGTGCTTCAAGCCCTTTTCCTAAAAGTGCTTTGTGCTTGAAGTTCAAAGCCCTTTTAGAAGTAATTTGTAATTTCAAGTCTTTCTGATGACTGATGGTAGTAACTTGTGCTTGAGTATCGGAGCACATATTGACTAAGCGCTTTGTGTTTAGAGCTTCAAGCCCTTTCAGTAAGGGCTTTGCCCAGCTCTGACAGCCAGATCTTTATTTGATTCAAGCAGTTATTTTGGTTGCATAAAATTAGGCGTATTTCAGAAGCTTTTTATCATTATGAAAGTAGACCTACTTTTACATGAATATCACTGTATTGTATGTATGTAGGTATGACTGGTTATGAAAACGGCTGTTACAAATGAATCCAAGGGTGATATCTTAGCAACTTTTAGTGTGTCCGAAAAAATGACAAAAATTGGCTCAAATAAATTGAACGTGTAAATTAACGAGCTTTAAGTACCAGTATTATCAGAGTATCCAAATGACGTTAAGAGGGTACCTATGCATTGATTGTTAGTTCTGGATGCCCCAAGCGAGAGCTTATTGTGCCTGTGCGGTGATTCGCCTCTGTCCGTTCGTCTGTGCATAGTGTACAATATTGACTTTTTTGTCGTTTCTTAGAGAGGTATTTGTCGTGCCCTTCGATTTTCTGTTGGTTTGGTTTATTACTGTTAAGTTAGTTGAACCTTTCCTTCGCAGAAGACACCATTTGTATTTTCTTTTCGTTTGTTCATTGTGTATGATGTGTTGCCTACATAACAGATTAGATATTCTCGTCATGGAAATATCAAATCGGACATCTCTCTCAACTTCACTTGTAGGTCTCAACGCTGCTTGAGTGCGTGGTAGGTGGTTTAAGGAGAGTTTTGAGCCCCTGTAAAAGCTGAAATTTCTGAATATTGCTTGCATTTGACTTAAATTTTCCTATTTTTAATCCGAGATACCAAATTTTCTCAGGCTCAGAATGTTTTCGTCCAAATTTCCTTCAGTTCTTTTAAAATGTACCCCTATTGCGCTACTTCCATATCTTCTAACTTCTCTAGAGCTTCTTGCCCCATCTTTGATTTTCGTCGAAACTATTTCCTTTAAATATAGCCTCTCAAATTTCTTGGACATTTCTCCAGAATTTTTTATAGGATAGGATTTACTTATATTTCTCGAAAATTTCTCCGAAAGATTCCTTTATTTACTCCAAAATCTCATTAGATTTCTTGCAAAGTTTCACAAACCTCTCCACTGTAGTTGTTACATTACATTAAACTACTACACGTTTTCGTTGCAATTGCCATAGCTTTCTAAGGATTTCCTTTTATTCTCCCAACCCAAAACTCCCCCACACCACATATCCGCCAACGTCTCTCTATTTTGTACTTAAATGGAGAATTTCTTCAAAGTAATATAACGTTTGTGTTTCAACATTTTTTATTTCTTCTTACTCAAAATGTATGTACCTACTCCAAAGTTTAAGATTGGCATTCCTAGTGGCAACAAGAAGAACTTTAAATACTTATAAAATACGTTATGGTTTTTAAAAAAAAATGGATATAGATATCTAATACTTTTTGAAACCAAAGTGTAGGTACACATTGTGAGGAAAGTCGCAAAATGAAAACGTTGCATGGAATCAAAATTTATAATGTATTCTAAAAATAACAACATGAATAAAAATAAATAAACGGCGCTATACACAATAGTTAATATTTACAAAATAAATGTACATCTGTAATGGTCAATGTAATGGAAAGTGAAGGGCGATTATTCAACTTTTTTCTCATACTCCGGACATAAATCTCCATTTTTGGACTTGAATTTTTCTTCCTTACTTATGCTAAAGAGTGACGCGAACTCCGCCTTCTTTTCGGCGTAGGACTTAAAATTTTCTGAAAACGTCACGTTAGAATGGCGACCGAAAGCTCGAAGTCTTACCAAATGTAACATAATTTAAACCTCGTCTGTCAATTTGGTGGAAAACGTCGACGGCTTCGTTCACCCTCATTGCCAGCGTCTGATTTAATACTTTTGCGAAGTCGTCAAGCGACAATCTTCCTACTCCATCCCTATCATAGATCTACGCAGAAAATCGAGAAGCATCGCATTGTACACACTTACCCTACATGCTATTTTTATGGTTTCTAGGACGTTTCTCTTTTTGCACGTTGCTAGTACTCCTAAAAGATACTCCCTAAAGTCAATTACTCCCGATGCGTCCTACAAAATCGGAGGTCTGCAGAAGATCAAAGATTTAGGAAACTTACAGTGTCTAGGTATCGAAAGAGCTGATGCACCGCAGGACTGGTCGAGGGCAGATTTAAGTAGTTGGCGAACATTGCCAGTGTGGTTCTTCTGAAGTTTTTGTTGTCGACTGCCACCTCTAGTAATTTTTCTTCAATGTTCGATTGGTCCAATCTGAAACAAAGCGGATTGTGTGAAGAGCCACAGTTTTTTGGGGGTGTACCCCAAGCGCCTGCGTAACTTCTGTATTTCAACCAGAGAGTTTGCGTGGGGCAAGTTCATTTCTTTGGCACGTGTCATCAGCCTGCAGTCGTCGTACGTGTAGTCCAAGACTGGTACACCCAGCGCTCTGTGAACGAAACCGGATTAGACTCAATCAGTATTTTGGAAAACATACTTGGCCATCACGTTTCGTACGTTGTTCGCAAATAGTTTGGGATCCCGCTTTTCCGCCTCGCTCGGAGTGTAAACTGGCAGGAATTCGATTTCGCAGTAGCTGTAGACTTGGGTCAGAGTTAGCCATAGCAGTTTCAATCTGGTTTCGGCATAAGTCAGTTGGAAAGTCAATTTTTGGTGGTATACTCACGCGCTCGGACCTTCCCAAGTCCACGTCACCGTATCGAGCTTGTTCGGGTACCTGATGCAGACCGGCTGAATGGGCACGCCCGGGTAAAATGCGCCAGGCTTAAACGTGATCAAGCAAGATCGATTCGTGCACGTCCCCTCTGGAAAGATGAGTATCTGGGGCCAATCCAAGTCGGAGGTCGCCCTACTTATGATTTCCTTGATCGTGTTGTGTCTAGAATCTGGATCGTCTCTCCACACATAAACAGGTTGGGTAAAATTAATTAGCTCTGAAAAACTCGGTAGTAGAGATAGGTTTACCGAAACGGCGAGTTAGTGACCAAAACATTTATAATAATAAAAGCGATAAAAACAAAAAGAAAACATACTTCCAATGTATGGATTGGCACCGCTCTCCCTTCTAACGATAATAGAGGGGAAACCTGTGACGTATATAATTCCTCCATCGAAGAACGTGGAGTGAGGTGCTATAACAAGTATAGGAGCTTCCGATCGGGTAGCTTGTCTGCCTTTGATAACCATATGTAAACCCCCGGCCGTGTAAGTGGTTTTACCCAAAAAGCAGACCAGTCCAGTTAACTTCCTAATAAACATTTTGGTCATCACTCATTTAATTTAGTTATAATGTTAGTAGTATAAACAAAAATGTTTTGATCACCAGGTTCGCTTTGACAATTTTTAATGACTGTCCCGCGAGGGGGGGAAATCATTAAAAACCGTCGACGATACCAAACTTAAAAAAACGTACTCCCAAAGAAAGGAATATTTGCCGTTTCCGCTTTAGCAACAATCGACGGTGCTCCCATATAGACCATACAAATTGAATCGATGAAGGAAGAATGGGGAGCAAGTGCCACTACGGGAGCCTCGGCGCGCGTTGCTCGCACTCCAACAACTTTTAATCGAAATCCTCCAACCGTAAACATCAAGAGGGTTAATCGGCAGGCTACGTGTCTCACAGAGCTACCCAGAAAGGTTTTGTTAGTGCATATAGTTGTGCAATAAAGCTTTAGATTTGTGTTAGAGCTTGCAGTTAGTTGAAAAGAGGTTTTTTTGCGCATGAGCTTGTTCGTGAACTTACTGAAGGTACATTAATTTCAGGTTGTGATTTGTAATTTTTAATTATTGCGACAAATGGGTGTGTCATTATTCTTACTTTATTACGACCAATTCATACTTTTTAATATACAATGCGTCTCTTTGATTAGGCGAGAAATACACCAAGAATCCGAATCAAACAAAGTCTGGATGATGTCGATTCGGTCTATGGGTTTTTATTCTTCTCATCTCTCTACTTATCTTCTGCTGTAAAAATCGGTTTATCTTCTTTAATCACCCTCATTTCTTGTTATTTCTTGTTCATATCTTTTTTGAAATCTTCTCGTTCTAAACTGGCCCTCATTTTTTCTTGTGTCTTCTTAAGCTTCACGTTGAAGTCTTGTGCTCTCAAAACATCTTCTTGAGCTTTGAGTACCCTTTCTTCCTAACCTTTTTTCTGGTTGCTTAAAACTTTTACCCTCTCCTGACTCTCTTACCCACTCCAACTTCTGTAAAATGACTGGTTGACCTTTCGTCATATTCATCTTCTTGAATTAAATTATTTAAATTTCCTTCCTCTTTAGGGTGACAAATACAATAGACTTGAGTCTTGAGATATCCCCGTGTAGGGTCGGGTAGTTAGAATAACCCTACCGCAGCGCCACTGCGTGTCGTAAGAGGCGACTAACTAAATGAGGAAAGGGCGAGAATCGTTTTATGGTCACGGAGCCTGCCCATTTTCTTAAAAATGTATTTGAACGGATATTACAATCTTTTACCTACATAAACTCTGTGGTTAAAACTCAACAGAATAATTTTTTATTCGCCATTCTATCAATAGATACGAGTAATTTCATTTCAAGCAGATTTCCTGCAAAGCATAAGAAGTGAGACCTCGACTCGACTATTCTGACTCGTTTCCCTTTAAAGTTTACCACTGAACCGTTGACTAGATGAGGACTAATCAATTGATCGTATACCTAGTATGTTGAGGGGTAGCATTTGTAAATGCAGTAAAGGGGTTGATTGTAGAATAATTGAACAAAATCAATCAAAGAAACCGAAATATTTCGTGTACCACAAAAGTTACACCCTCCTCAAAGTATATGAGAGTAATTAGTAATAAAGAATCTGTAAAATAAATTCCCAAGTTCAAAATTTTGAGGGGTAGCATTTGTACATGCAGTAAAGGGGTTGATGGTAGATTAATTGAACAAAATCAATCAAAGAAACCGAGATATTTCGTGTAGTACAAAAGTTACACCCTCCTCAAGGCATATGAGAATAATTAGTAATAAAGAATCTGTAAAATAAATTCCGAAGTTCAAAATTTTGAGGGGTAGCATTTGTACATGCAGTAAAGGGGTTGATTGTAGATTAATTGAACAAAATCAATCAAAGAAACCGAAATATTTCGTGTACCACAAAAGTTACACCCTCCTCAAGGCATGAGAATAATTAGTAATAAAGAATCTGTAAAATAAATTCCCAAGTTCAAAATTTTGAGGGGTAGCATTTGTACATGCAGTAAAGGGGTTGATTGTAGATTAATTGAACAAAATCAATCAAAGAAACCGAAATATTTCGTGTAGTACAAAAGTTACACCCTTCCGACGGTATATGAGAATAAATAATAATAACGAATGTGTAAAATAAATTCCTAAGTTCAAAATTTTGAGGGGTAGCATTTGTAAATGCAGTAAAGGGGTTGATTGTAGATTAATTGAACAAAATCAATCAAAGAAACCGAAATATTTCGTGTACCACAAAAGTTACACCCTTCTGAAGGTACATGAGAATAATGAGTAATAACGAATGTGTAAAATAAATTTTCAAGTTCAAAATTTTGAGGGGTAGCATTTGTAAATGCAGTAAAGGGGTTGATTGTAGATTAATTGAACAAAATCAATCAAAGAAACCGAAATATTTCGTGTACTACAAACGTTACACCCTCCTCAAGGCATATGAGAATAATTAGTAATAAAGAATCTGTAAAATAAATTCCCAAGTTCAAAATTTTGAGGGGTAGCATTTGTACATGCAGTAAAGGGGTTGATTCTAGATTAATTGAACAAAATCAATCAAAGAAACCGAAATATTTCGTGTACTACAAAAGTTACACCCTCCTCAAGGTATATGAGAATAATTAGTAATAAAGAATCTGTAAAATAAATTCCAAGTTCAAAATTTTGAGGGGTAGCATTTGTACATGCAGTAAAGGGGTTGATTCTAGATTAATTGAACAAAATCAATCAAAGAAACCGAAATATTTCGTGTACCACAAAAGTTACACCCTCCTCAAGGCATATGAGAATAATTAGTAATAAAGAATCTGTAAAATAAATTCCCAAGTTCAAAATTTTGAGGGGTAGCATTTGTACATGCAGTAAAGGGGTTGATTGTAGATTAATTGAACAAAATCAATCAAAAAAACCGAGATATTTCGTGTAGTACAAAAGTTACACCCTTCCGACGGTATATGAGAATAAATAATAATAACGAATGTGTAAAATAAATTCCTAAGTTCAAAATTTTGAGGGGTAGCATTTGTAAATGCAGTAAAGGGGTTGATTGTAGATTAATTGAACAAAATCAATCAAAGAAACCGAAATATTTCGTGTACCACAAAAGTTACACTCTTCCGAAGGTATATGAGATTAATTAGTAATAACGAATGTGTAAAATAAATTCCTAAGTTCAAATTTTTAGGGGTAGCATTTGTACATGCATTAAAGGGGTTGATTGTAGATTAATTGAACAAAATCAATCAAAGAAACCGAAATATTTCGTGTACTACAAAAGTTACACCCTCCTCAAGATATATGAAAATAATTAGTAATAAAGAATCTGTAAAATAAATTCCCAAGTTCAAAATTTTGAGGGGTAGCATTTGTACATGCAGTAAAGGGGTTGCTTGTAGATTAATTCAACAAAATCAATCAAAGAAACCGAAATATTTCGTGTACTACAAAAGTTACACCCTCCTCAAGGTATATGAGAATAATTAGTAATAAAGAATCTGTAAAATAAATTCCCAAGTTCAAAATTTTGAGGGGTAGCATTTGTAAATGCAGTAAAGGGGTTGATTGTAGATTAATTGAACAAAATCAATCAAAGAAACCGAAATATTTCGTGTACCACAAAAGTTACACCCTTCTGAAGGTACATGAGAATAATGAGTAATAACGAATGTGTAAAATAAATTTTCAAGTTCAAAATTTTGAGGGGTAGCATTTGTAAATGCAGTAAAGGGGTTGATTGTAGATTAATTGAACAAAATCAATCAAAGAAACCGAGATATTTCGTGTACTACAAAAGTTACACCCTCCTCAAGGCATATGAGAATAATTAGTAATAAAGAATCTGTAAAATAAATTCTCAAGTTCAAAATTTTGAGGGTTAGCATTTGTAAATGCAGTAAAGGGGTTGATTGTAGATTAATTGAACAAAATCAATCAAAGAAACCGAAATATTTCTTGTACCACAAAAGTTACACCCTTCCGAAGGTATTCGAGAATAATTAGTAACACTGAGTCTCTAAAAAAATTCGTAAATTCAACAATTTTGAGGGGTAGCATTTGTAAATTCAGCAAAGGGTTTGCTTGTAGATTAATTAAACAAAATCAAACATAGGAGTGGATATATTTCATTTATTTAGTCTAAGTAAAAATCTTAAAGCTTCTAGTCCAATAGAAAATGTACCTACTTTTCATTCAGACTCAAACAATGACACCATCTCTCGTTGATTTTTAGGGTGTATGTATTCGTACGCATATTTCGCGAATTATTAGGAGATTAAGGACTAGCACCTAAAGCAATAGTTGGTGCGTGTTAATGAAAGAAAGCGGTGGATACTCCCAATCATTTTTTAGACACGCGAAAGAATCGTCTCTAATGATAATTTGATGCACAAATGATTTCGAGTTAATGACACAAATTCCTATCGGGGTCGCCCTTAAGAATTACGAATCAAAACCTGACTCCCCTTAATTTAAGCTGAAGCATTGCACCCACTAAAAAGCACGTGAGCGAAGTGCGCAAACTGAACTTCCAATAAATTTCCAGGTATATACTCACATTTAATGAAAAACAAAATTACCTTCTCCATCCCGTAACTGGTTTCTCTCGGAGGTCATCTTCAGTCAACCCCCATAAGCCAACGATCGCTATCATCCATCCGGCGATTAAAAGCGAGCATATTATGACGACCCTGACCGGCAACAGAAGAATCGTAAAGAGACCAGTCTGAAAACAATACAGAACCGTTACTTCTCAATAGATGCGCAAGGTGTAACAGGTTTCGTTCGCAATGAGAAATCTGGTACCGTGCCACATTTCTTCGCATTTGATATTGAATCGCGTTATAATTGCACAAAAATGTGCGATGGAAAGAAAGTAAGTCAACGATCGATTCCATCCACACAACGGTACTTGTTGTGAGTATTTACATTTTAGAAATTCCACCTTATCGGGGCTCTTAACTTTGAACAGGGGAAAGTAGCGCCAACGTGAAAGGACAGAACAATGTCGAGAGTGCTAATTGCGCGAACCACTTTGGGTGTTCTGTTATGCAATTGACTTCTTCAATTTTGAAGTTTGCCTATTTAGTTACGTTGGAAGTAATTACAAAATGTGACCGTGCATTTCCCCGTTTTGTAATTATTCATTAGTCACGGAACTGCATTTAAGTTAATCCTTTATTAGAATCAAGTTGATTGTTCGGTTAGCCAGCGAGGATTATCCAATTAGAGGATTCCATAAATTAATCTGCACATTTTCATTAAGAATTGAATTGAAAGCAAATGAATGAGACGACGAGTTGACCTGCAGAAGAATAATTGTAATCATTATCTTATTCTATTCGTAAAGTTGCCTCAAACTTCACCTTTAGTGATGAATACTCTTCCAAAGGGCGAAGAGTACGAAAGCGTATTAGAAGGGCTATACGAGTTACCTTTTTTTAACGCATTTTCCAAAAGGAAAACGAACGCTATTGTCCGCATTTTATCCGTCTGTACCACTACTAGTCCTTCAGTTTAAGCTTTTTCGTTATGGTTTCTTTCTTATAGGGTGTAGTACCTACAGCCCAGACACCAGAACGATAAAAGTTTATTTGGATTGGTCACTTCCTTCTAGACTCGTTTTTAAAGCTTTGTAGGTCTGTGATCGAATTTTTGAAACTCATTGCATAGCAGGAGCATTTCACGGCTCCTGCAGAGAATTGTAGGCTTGCTTACCTCTCGGAAGGGACCGTTTCCCTTCCTTTCCGATCTAGCACCAGCCAAATGAATTTTCCCTGGGTTCATTGTTCTGACCCTTAATAAATAAAGTAAATACTTTTCTGTGCACCAAGGGTCAAAGTTCTCTACTCGGGACCTTTTTTGAAAGGCCGTGTACGCTGCGGTTTATTTATGATTTAGATGCTCAAAGAGAAAAAGGAAACTTTAAATTTTAAAAATCATCATAAAAATTGTTGCAAAAGTCTTATCATATTTCCAAGTCCTTCCTCTAAAATTTTCTTGAAATCTTGCTGGAAACTATAAAAATGTTGCATAGGCCACAAACACAAGGTATGCGGAATATGAAACAAACCTCGGCTAATTACAATGTCCAATTCTGAATTACCCATGGACAGTCAGAATATATAAAATCTTAAACAAAAATAACCAATTACGTTGCCTAATTCAAATGAAATTTGAATATAATGTGCAGGGGTTTAATTTACATTGGTAACTCATACTGTTTAAGGGAGGTAGACAAAAATGAATTTTATTGTTAAATTCGCAGTCGAAATCCGATCACAATTATAGGGATTTCACGAAAATTATGTTTCAAATTTCTTAGAAACAAATCTTTTTTCTCGGAGCTCTTTAGTGAATTTAATTATTTTTTAAAACGTTGGAATTTTTTTTTAAAAACTTTCTTTTTCGAAGAGGAAATCATTTTTCCTTTCTCAGAAATTTTGAAAACTTCTTAGGAGCCGTCCTAAGGTTGAGTAGCATCTTGTGATTTAAAAAAAAATATTATTTGAACCATAGGAGCTTTATAAAATTAAAAAAAAACTTTTTGGAGATGAAATTGAGATGCACGTGTTTTTGATGCATATTTGTTGGGTATATTTTAGGAAAAAATCTTTGTTGTACCTACTCAACCACGAATCACACGCCCTCTAGCGGCAAACCTAGAAACTTGAAAATAATTTCCAGCGGTTCCTCTTGGCCTCTTTTGTTAGCAAAATCATTTTCCCCAAGCTGTCCAATTAACGGTTCCATAGATAATGGACCTTTATTAACAGGAGACTCTGTAGTAAGGCAAATAAGGAAGATTGTGCGTGAATTCTTCGTCCAGGAGGATGACAGATTGACAGCGCAGAAAAGTACGACCAAATACTTTAATAAATGGCATTAAACTTCTGATTTTTCCAAATTACATAACTTTAAGACTTTTTGGTCATTCAGAAATTAAAATTGTGATCCATTTTTAGGACCAAAACCATGTTGGCCACCCCCAGGTGATCGAAATAAAATGAAATTGAAGCATACTGAATGAAGATACTAATCGATAATCGTTAAAGGATAATATATATTTATTTAACTACTACCACTTCGTATCGCCTTTGGGAAATCACGTTTTTTTTCGTACCCGCGGGAACTTCGAGAAATCTCTCTGGGAGTACACCTTAACGCCTTCAAAAAAACCTACGTTCTAAATGTCAAGCGTTTCCTTGCGACTTAAAACATAAAATCGTGTTTGTTCCTGTTTCCCCTTCCCGTTGAATTTCGGAATAGTATATTTTAATAGCAGTTCAGAAAGGAAGCGTTTCCCGTGGGCGAATGATGTTTCCCGTGTGAGCCGAACACGGGAAGTCATTGTACAATCAACTTACTCGCGGTGGAGGAGGAGGGGGTATAAAATAAAATTGGACCAATAGGGCTTCCGGCAAGATCCGAATTGTTAATCTACAAGCTTTTCTGAACTTGGATCAATTGGCAGAATGCGGTCCTCGGATTTTGCATACTCATCAAGTCCATCCAGCGCCGGGTCTAAATAACAAGGTGACTGCAATTCAACTATCATAGTAACCATAGTAAAATTTAAATTTAAACTGATCGCATACAAGTGTTTTTACAGTTTTTATTATACAGGGTGTTCATACTGAGTCGTTACACCCAAAAACGGCTATTAGAACAGTTTTATATCAAACAACGTTTCTTAGTTCCAATTTTTGATTTTCGGCCCCGGTTCGAAGTTATTGGTGTTCTTTTCTTTTTCGAAAAATTGTCATAACTCCCCTATTTTAAGGACTATTTAAAAAAAACAAAAATTCCAGCTCTCTAAAACGATTGTGTTTGCAATTATTTTTTATTTGCTCAAATAACAAAATAGTGATTGCTCCAAAATTTCAAAAGAACATTTTTTTATAACCACCCCATCGTTTTTTGCAAAACATTTATAAAATTCCTATGTCATCTACTACTTATCCTAAACATATTTCAATTTTTTGTTAATTTCGATTTCCAAAATGGCCCCCTTCCCAAGATAGATTGAAAAAAATATTGAGGACAAATGTAGTAGGGAGCGTATGGATTTTAAAATTGTTTTTCAGTTCATATGGTACTTTTTTGTAGGGTTTATAATGGTTGTGGATGCTCCGCCAATGATTGATTTTATAGTTTTAATGGCTATTGCCTACATGTACATTGAAGGTATTAGAATTCATTATGAGAAAGCTTCAGTACAAAATTTGCGTAAATCACACTATTAGTCTATAAAAAATCAACTGTCTCTATAGAGTCACTGTATAGTAGATCTCGCTTTGGCGTCATCTATTAATTATATTGAGATTTAAAATGACGGAAAAGAAAGTCATTTTTATTTGTACAGGGTGGGCATGGCCGTGTGGGGGTGAAAGATTATGGGTCTATTAATGCACATACTTAAAATTCATTGTCGGGAAATGTTGAACAACCCTTAAGGCTACAACCTAAAAATATTCTTTTGTGTTAATAGAAACTCCGTTAATTTTCAAAATTTCAATCAAAGGACCTAACTTGATTTTTTTAAATGAAACTAGCCAGCATTAAATGCAGGATTTTATTACCTTTCTTACGATATAAGCATGACGGTATGTATCTCTACCTATTTTTTGTAATTCAACAATTTCTAATAATTCAGTGTTTTTGATTTTCAAGGCCTCTCAGTAGGCCGTTATAAATTATAAACACCAATTCAAATGGTAAAACATTTATCTCCAACAAAACAAAACAAAAACTTTTGTTTTTCATAGCCCACTTTAAAAGATAAAATAATGAATTCGACAAATGTTTGGTCTTGAACATTTATTGAAATACGTAATTGTTATTTTCCTCTTGTTTTTGTTTAAACTTTTTATTTTGATTTTTATGGTTTTTGAATTTTTGTTTTGTTTATTTGGAGCAAATTTTTTATAATTTCAATTGTTTATAATTTTTTACGGCCTACTGATTATTGAGAGGTTGAAAATTGAAAAACACTGTGAATTATTAGAAATTGTTGAATTACACAAAATATGTAAAAGAGAAATATCGACATGCTTATATCGTTAAAAAGGTAATAAAATCCTATATTTGAAGCGATAAAAAAAGTTGCTAGTTCCATTTAAAAAAATCAAGTTAGGCCCTGGTTACAGCCATTTGAATTTTCTTTCGAAATTGGTTTCTTTTCTAGTCTGATTGAGAAGTCTGATCGAAAAAGTACGAATTGTTTTGGATTCTACGCACTAAAATTAATAAGAAAAAGTGTTTTCCCGAGAAATTTTGGGGCAGTCGATTTTTGGTAAAAAAAGAAGGTTAAACACTGCCTTTTTTTGAGGCCCGAAGAAAAAATTGTCTCAGATCGATCCGGAAAAAAAATTTTCATATAGAATGTGGCCGGTAGAATCCATAATTTCAAACAGTTCCAAGATTGGGCTACTAGTTCAAAAGTAACAGCCCTTTGAATTTTCTTTCGAAATTGGTTTCTTTTCTAGTCTATAACTTGATTGAGAAGTCCGATCGAAAAAGTACGAATTGTTTTGGATTCTACGCACCAAAATTAATAAGAAAAAGTGTTTTCCCGAGAAATTTTGGAGCAGTCGATTTTTGGTAAAAAAAACCCTGAGTTAGGCCCTTTGATTGAAATTTTGAAAATTAACGGAGTGATTTCCTTTAATAGAAAAGAAGTTTAACTTTAGCCGTATGTTAGTACATTTCATGATTGGTAACATT